GGGGTTGGGATCTGTATGAAGAGGCTTAACGTGAGTGCCTTTTCGAGAGCTTTGTGGGAAGCTACGCATAGCGAGCGGATTATTGTTAAGGCGAAAGCGCTTGGGGAGCAGATTCGAAAGGTATGTGGTCTTTTACTACCCTCTTAAGTTTCTGAAACGGCACCATGCTATAATTTAATAGGCTCTGAACTCCCATGTACTGATCTCTCTCATCGAACAACAGGAAGACGGCGTAGCAACCGCTATCCAGGCAATATATCGGGATCTGGAATACGCAAAGACTCTCGTTCGACAGCGCTCCCATACCTTATCAGCTTCCCAGGCCGTTGCTCTCGCAACATCGACACTGGAAGAAACCGGCATTGACATACCCGACATGGGTCTCGATGACGATGGCCATGGCTCAGGCTCCGGCTCCGGTGATCCAGATTTCTACGGCGCCATGGAGGACTCGTGGACATTTGTGGGCGATGAAACGGATAGTGATCGTGCTAAGAGAAGTGGAGATCGAGAGGAGTTATGACATGCGCGCTAATGAGATGGGTGTAGCTGTGGTTGTAATGGTTGTGGTTTTAATAGTGGTGGTGGTGGCGGTCGGGGGTGAGATGAAATGGATTAGAAGAATAATATAATTATAGAGGTTTTGGGGGGTTGGGTGTTGGTTGCTTGGAGCACATCCCTGTTTTATTTTGGTTTTACTTTTTCATTATTATCAACCCCCCTCACCCCTTCTTTACTTTTTTTGGTGATGGAGTTGCTTTTCCCGATTTTTAATTTGGTCCCCCGTGTGTTTGTCAGTGGGGACTTATGATGAGTATGATTCTCTCTATTTTTATTTATTTATTTATTTATTTTTGGTATGTTTGTTTTCTTTTTAGTCTCGGCTCGACTTCTTTCCATGAACATGAAAATGCCTGGAAACGATCCTTTGGGTATAATATTAGTGATAATCTTCAGGGAACGGGTGTTTTTCGTTTCTTCTTCCCCTTGCAAATGGAAAGTGGCATATGGAATATGGATGGGCAGAGGCGTATATGGATTACTTCAGTGAATTGAATTAACTCATTGAACATGCTCAGTTGATTAATGGATTGTCTTGTCTGCTTGATTGGTTGAAGGGCAGATTTCAGCATTGAATTTAAGAATATTGGTATTTTGGTGTTTTTACGGGCTCTTTTCTTACTTTCTAGTAAAATGCATTTGCATGTTGACATCACATCGCCCGGTCGAGGGTAAATGGGATAGAGGTATATATGTGTTATATAGACAACTTTCACAGTTTTCTTCCCTTTTCTATCTTTTAATATCTAATTCTTTGCATGTGTCTCCTTATCTTTATTCTGCCCTTTCTCACAGGCCATGTAATGAATATTTACCCATCCTGTTCTAATACTCTATCGACATACTAAAAATTGGAACGAGATATCAAGGGCTAATCTGCATGACATATTTAAATCTACTTTTAAGTTGGCGTAGGCTATAATGCAACGTTGCTATTATGATATTGGGATTCAATTTGCTGTTCTTGAAACAGGGTTACTGAACGTAGATTGTATCGAACTCCTTGAAGAGTTTAAATGCTTCTTTGCCCGATGTTCTGGTTTTTTTCTTTTCTTTTCTTTATTATTATTTATTTATTTATTTTTTGAACAATGTAGTTACTGGGATGAGTAAAGACCACAGCAAGATATATTTCTCTATTTCACTCTCAAAAAAGCTCCTCCAGAGTTGCCCATTAAAGAAGCCCAACACATAATCAGAAGAAAAGTAAGAAAGGAATTAAACCTCTCTGATTAATGACGTACGTTCCCCTAACCATCCGGCCCTGTCTTCCCCTCCTTCTCCTTTCGCTTCTGCACGACGTCCCAGTTATAGACTCTGGCCGTAGCGACTTCGAGAGTCTGGTACAAATGGCAAAAAGAAGGGAATGAAAGTTAGTGTTTTAGTTTTATTATTATTAACGGTTAAATCACCTCTGATCCCAGAGGTAAAGAACACCGCCATTAAGAGTAGGTGTAAGAGAGAGAAAGAGTGGGGAAAAAAAAAAAAGGGGGGGGGGGGGGGGAATACTGTAATTTGATCGCGCAAAAACTCCAGGTCCTCCTCGCAGTTTGCAAAGCTGGCTTCTGCGGCACGCAGTTTTTCTGTTAGCAGATCAACAGCTTCTTCGATGGGGTATGCGAGCATGACATTTGCGCCGAGCCAGAGGAAGACCTCGTCTGTATCTTCTGGCTTTATCAGGGCACGGGAGTAGAGAGTGTCGTTGAGTTCGAAGGTGGTTTCGAGAGCAGTGCCGGTGCCGGCCTGAGCATGGTGGTGTATGTGAGTAAGTGGTACGGAAAGGGTTACATGGTGTGAGTTTTAGATGCGGGACGAAGTAAAGGGCATTTGGAAGATGATTGAGGAAGCAGGGAAAATAAGCATGCAAATGACATTTCGTATGCACATGGACGATATTCAACCATTGGGCCCACTGGGGGCGTTCAAACACAGGCAGTATGAAGAAAAAATAGTAATAGCGAACCTTTCTCCTATCCCGCAAGAACTTTACCGTCTCCAACGTTTTCTTAATATCGGGGATCTTATCCTTCAGTCCCTGGCCGCGCCGTTGTGTATTCAGCTCCATGAACTGGTATTTCGATATCATCTCCTGGAACGAGCGCAGTGTCGGCTCTACGTCCGCGCGGGAGGAGACGTAGTCCGCAACATTATCGACGAAGGGTGCAACGGGAATACCACGCGGATTGGTGGTTGACAGGTCGACGGGGGGTTTTCTTTATTGGAAAAAGTTCACTTGTTAATTCGGGATAAATGTTAATTGTGTCTGGGAACAATAGTTGTACGCACTTCTCTGCCTGTTTGTCGCTCATGATGGGATGCTGCGGTTGGTTTTAAGAGGGGGCAGCCCCTCTCTCCCGTCTATTTAGCTTATCAAGGGAATTAAGAAGGAGAAAGTATAGGCGCTACAACGTTGGGATAGAGGGGTTGGTGGACATTGATATGAAATAAGTAAATAAATGCGTCGCCGAATAAATATATAACTAGTTATGTGGTTAGGTTCAAAACTGCGGCATGAAAAGAAAAAGCCAACCCGATGACGTCTTGAGCATCAACACCTTTTTTCGAGTTCAACTACCAACATTCAATACCAACCAATACGGAGAACAACCATCGCCATGCAAATAAAGCAAATATACATACATTAACTAATCCTGATGTAATAAATGGTGCTTAACGCCTGTTTATATCCAAAATGGTCCTTCTTGTCATCACTCCAGCGATAGCTTCCGCCCTCGACGGCATCCCAGCATCAACTCGCGACGAGCTATCCCTACCCACTCCCACCAGCTGCTCTGCTATATCACATACACAGCTTGTTACTCTATCCAGACATCTTGTGTCCAATCCGAGATTCATAGAGAAAGGAAAAAGGGACGCCAGTCGATATGGGGGGTCCACTCTCAACTCCCTCCTGAAGGGCACCAGAGTATACGTTCCCCCTCCTCCACCGAAACCAGAACCTGTACGTTACTCATTCCCAGTTACACAACACGCATGCAAAGACATATATAGGACGTATATCTATAACCTCCTTCTAACGCATACAGACACCCGAATACCTCGCCCTAAAAGCCTCCCTTCTCGCCGCAGCCGAAGCAAACAGATACAATGCCCTCCTCCACCCAACTTCCACCCCGGCGTCGTTCCCCCCCTCCCCGTCTCCCTCTCGACTTTGGGCCCTCAACGACAACCAAAATGACCCCCTCACCCCCTCTCTCGTCCTCAATATCCTCGTCTCAATCCTCTTCACCGGCTTCGCAAGCTACTGGGCCCTATCCAACTACCGCATCCCGACCTTCCTGACATTTACATCGTCGCCGTCACCGTCGAATCCTGGCGCGGTATCCTCGCAGCCTGCACGGGTGTTCATTTCACTTCTTGTTGCGCTGGTGGTGGGCGTGGCGGAGGTGGGTGTTTATGCGCTTTATCTAAAGAAGGTGGAGTTGGCCAGGCGGAAGGAGAGGGCGATTGTTGAGAGGAAAGTGGTGGTTGGGGAGGTTGGGGTTGGTGATGGTGATGGGAATAGGGGTGGTAACGGGGACGACGGTGGAGTCAGGATTGATGGGAAAGGGGAGAAGGAGGAGATTTGGGGTAGGGGAGTTAATGGTGGGGCGAGGAGGAGGGTTCAGGAGCGGTGGAAAGGGAGGGATGTGGATATGGAAGGGTAGTAAGTAGTTAGGTGAGTGCTGGTTATTCCATTCCCTCATCTTGTTCAAGGCTTCTTGGTTGCTGAATGCTACATGTAATGGGTAGGAATTCTCAATAATATGCTAAACCAGATGTGATTTTTTTTATTTATTTATTTATTTATTTTTTAATAATTTTATATCTCCATTTATCATTTCATTTGCGCCATTAATTCACGCTGTCAGGATTGCTGAAAAACCTCAGATCTCATCATTCCAAACATCTGAAGGGAATCTGAAACCAACGCCCAAGCAGAATGATAATGTCATCCCATCTATCGACAGTGTATGGGTATATATGTGCATGCATGCACGCTCCCCCCACCCTCCCTTCTCCACACACACACACACACACACAAAGAAAAAAAAAAAAAAAAAGGAAAAACAAAATAAAAGCAAGCAAATAATAATATTCATAAACATCATTCCTTCATCAACAGCCCAGACCAAAACCCCTACGCCGTCATAGTCTCCAACAGCAACGTCCCCGTCGGTTTACCCTCTACAAATCCACCGTCCCTCGAATACACCTTCTGTCCCCTCAGCCACGTCTCCAGCACAAGCCCAGTTAGCCTCTTCCCCTGATATGGCGAGCACTTATTGCGAAACAGCATGGTATCGGGCTGCACAACCCACTCTGCCGTCTCATCAAAGACGCACACATCCCCATCGTATCCAACAGAAAGATCACCCTTCTGGGACCCTAGACCCACCTGCTTGGCTGTATTGGCGCAGCACCACTGGACGATAGATTCTAGGGCAGAGGTCGATGAAGAGGTCGACGTTGATGTATCTGTTGCTACGATGTTGCTATCGGTTATCAGGGCACGACGTCGTTCCAATTCGGTCCAGAGAATCGGCAGGCCTAGGCCGACGGATGAAATTCCGCCCCAGGCTTTGAGGAAGTTTCCTTCCTCCTCCTCTTCCTCCTCCTCATCATCATCATTTGCTTCTTCGGATTTAATTTTCTTGCTGCTCTTCTTAACATTGTCATTGCAGCTACCGGGAATATGCGCCGGCAGCACTTTCAGCGCCGGCGTACAGGGCGAATGATCCGATACAACAGTCTTGATAACCCCCTGGTCACTTGCATGATTAGCCAGCTCCTCCCACAACGCATCCTGGTTTGCCCGACTACGGATGGGCGGGCAACATTTGTGACGTGTGTCGCCATCAGATACCTCCTCGGCTGCTAGGGAGAGGTAGTGGAAGCATGTTTCAGCTGTGATGTTTACTCCGCGTGCGCGTGCGGCTTTTAAGAGCGGGATGGCTTCCTTGGCGGATAGATGGACGATGTGTAAGGGGAGGTTTGGTGCGAGCGGGGCTAGGGAGAGAATTGTGGAGATTGCGGTTGTTTCGAAAGCTGGGGGGCGGGAAGTTAAGAAAGTGGAGTAAGAGGTTGGGGAGTCTGTGGTGGTGGTGCCGTCGGTGGTGCCATTGGTAGTATTGTCTGGGAGCATTTCGGCATGGAACATCAAGGTCGTTGGGGTGGGTAGAGAAGTCAGCTCGAGCATGGCGGCTTTGATATCTGCTGGTGATAGGGCTGGGAATTCTTCAACCTGGAATCACAAGGAGTTAGGAATGTGGAACGGAGAGAGCGGATGCAATTTATTGCATGTTGTATGCTTTATATACAGCAGCAACAAAGAGCCAGGTAGGCGAAAGAGAGAGGAAAGCGTCATATACATACCCCACTATCAATCAAAAACCCTTTAAACCCCCTCACCCCTCCTTCAACCAACCCCTTCAACTCCCCAACATTCCCCGGCACAACCCCTCCATAAAACCCCACATCAACCCAACACTTCCCGCTCGCCGCACCAATCTTCTCCCGCAGCCCGTCCACCGTCGTCGTAGGCGGCACAGCATTCAACGGCATATCAATGACAGTCGTGACGCCTCCAAAGGCCGCCGCCCGCGTCCCCGTCTCAAACCCTTCCCACTCCACACGGCCCGGTTCGTTCAGGTGGACGTGTGCATCGACGAGGCCTGGCAGGAGGATGTGGGGGGAGTGGTCTGTGTATTGTGTTCCCGGGGGGAAAGCGTTTGGTGGGAGGACGGAGTGGAAGACTGAGGTTACTTTGCCGGTGGAGAGGGAGATGACGATTGTGGCGGCGGTGAGGCGGCCGGTGATTATGGCGCGGGAGGAGGCGAGGACGGTAAAGGAGGGGGGAAGAGTGGAAGGGGTCGAGATGGGAGTGGGAAGGGGAGAGGCTGTGGAAGCGGTCGTTGTGGGATGATCCATTGGAGTTTTCTTGTGTCAATGCTGCTTCCTTTTTTTTTTTTTTAAGGGTGGGAAATAGGGGTCTAGTCTAGTTCTCTTTGTGGCCAATTGATGGGATTGTCACCGTTTTCTGTATGGGAGGATTTTCTTTTTAACAGGGGTTTTTTTTTTTTTTTTTTCTTATTCTGTACAAAATAGGGATGCCATGGGAGGAAAGCCACTGTAGTCTGTATCAAGCAGAAGAGAGAAAGGGAAACTGAGACAGAGGGGAGAAGAAATGAGAAGAGAAGAATGAAATATTTATTATATCGGGTATACACAAGAGTTAAATATATATACGGGAACGGAACCAGCGAGTGGCGATAAGGGGAACCCTTTTCCTTAGTTATCGAGGAACCGATTAAACTACACAATACGGGCAAAGAGCGGGCGCGGCAAAAGCAGAGAAAATCGGAAGAACAAGCAAAGAGAGGGGAATTCCTCTATTATTCCGTTGAAGACCCCGTGAGCATCAAGCCGTAAAAGCCTAAGGGATCAAAATTCGCCGCACGGAAAAAAAAAAAAAAAAAAAAAAAAAAGGAGGTCGATATGTACAATCAGTTACGACGAACTAGCTGATTGTGTTCTAAGGTTGGGCCCGCGGTTGGGGGGTTCAATACTCCAACGCAGAAGATTTCGATCGAGGAATGGCTGAGCACTGAGTGTAAGGTTGCAGCCGGGGGAGTGGAGGCGTGAAACTGGCAGCGTACTACTAGGATATCACCCCAAGCGGTTCAAAGGTGGTAGGTTAGAGGGTCTAGATGTGATGATGATGGATGCGATGGATCAGCAGGAGTCAAGACATGGGTTTGGGGAAAGGCTTTTAACTTGGCAGAGGTTTGGAAGTCCACCCACATTCTGCTCTGTCTCTGGCTGCATTCACCTCCAACATCTCTCTCGATGCAGCATCAGCATATCTCTCGTCTCTGCCCTCTCTCGATTCTTTCATGCAAGTAAATGTTGATGGTCACGAGTTACCAGCTGCTGCTGCCTCAAGGGCTTAGTCATCCGGACGGCCCACTCGGGGTAACTAACTAGTTAGTTAGTTGCCGTAATTCCATCCTCTAACCGATCTGTATACGTGCATTCATTGACCATCTGGTGAGTGGACTGGGGGTCTGGTTATTGGGCTTCCTTTATATCTCCTGCTGATAGCCCCAGCCTACGGACACTCTGCATCTCAAATCTCAACTTCTGCCATTTCTACGGTGTGTTGTGGTGGTCCCCTATTTTTGCAGTTTTTGCAGCCAACCTGTGGAACCCGTGCAACCTCTTAAATACAACACGGAACACATGCAAACTGGCCGCTATGGAAAACCACAGCAGCAGCAACTACAACTACATACAAGTAAGTACAATAAGTACAATGACTGCTAAACAATGCCGCGAACAACGTCTTCGACTGGGCCATCAACTGGCCGCAAGAGGACTTACGGCGAGGCGAGCCTTAGGTAGCTGGCTGGCTTAGCTAGCTTGAGTCTCCTCGTTGCATGAGGAGTACGTGCTTAGTCACCCAACCTTTAACCCCCTTTTTTCTTTCTTCTCTTCCTGTTTTATATATATATATATATATCAGACTTCATCCAACTTCCCAGCTTCTTCCCACCTCTACGGAGTACATCCATTCTCAAGTTTTTACATGTATCGTTGCAATCCGCAATATTGCTTCATCTTCCTATGATTTTCCAAAAATGTCTCACCTAAATCCTTCATCTGCAGGCCGCATCCTACCCGGCACTGCTCCAGGGGATTCCGGCGCTGGTTTGGCAGACAATAACAACATCAACAACAACAGCGCCAACAATCAGCCGGATGTGGAACTTCCCATCCCAATTGATCCCAGACTCCAAATAAGCGTCGGTAGTACCCAGCAGCCGCAGGAGTCGCGCCTTGTTGATGTTAATGCAACCGAGGCCATTCAGCCTGAAAACTTCCACCGAGACAGTAAGTTATTTTCAACTTAAGTGATGCGAAATATCCGCTGTATATTCCCTCGTCACTGAAGTTTCTTTTTTTCTTTTCTTTTTTTTCTTTTTTTTTCTTTTTTTTTTTTATTATTATTTTTTGTTAACTGTGTCTTTTTTGGCACATTCGTTTTTCGTCATTTTTGTGCGCAATTGTATTGCATTGGTTGTCTTGTGTTGTTTTGTATTACGTTCCTTAAACAGCATTTCCTGGCAAATATGCCCCCACTGTGCTACCAATTCCCATAGTAGTACCTATTCCCGTGGGTAGACTTGAATTCTGCCGCCACTTTTGATTCCTCTGCTGCTCTTTGGGCTATATATACCCCTCTTTTGCCCTCTCGAGCCGCATCATTCTCTCCAGACAGACAGACAGACAGACAGATGTAGAGACATCAAAAACAGCACCACGCCTTTTTCTCTCTTCTATTTCCCCCCCTCGATGTTCTGTTTCCATCGAAGACTCGTGAGTGATGTCCTGGTTCTCGCTTCCTTTATATACTCATTCTTGTATATACATTTCTTGTTTTTCTTATCTTGTATATAATCCCCGGGGCACATCCATTGACTTTATGTGCCCTCCTACCATGCAGGATCTCCCTCAGGGGACACTCTGCTCCAGGACCCGGAACAAGACCCGGTGGAAGAGGCTGCAGGCCAGAGCTTGCCTAAGCCACAACAGACCCGACAAACCGCCAGCCAGGCCGTCGATTCGCAGCTGCCGAAAAGGGTGGAGAAGCCGCAGAAGCCAAAGGACCAGCCTGACGTGACTGGGAGGCATTCAGCCGCAGAGATCGCTGCTGTCGAAGCGTTCAAAACCCAATTCTGCGAGGCCAACAGCATGTCAGGCGAGGACTTTGGCCGTATGGTCCAGCACCGTGAGACCGAAAACGGAGACTTCTCATCTCTAGGTTCCAACTTGACGAGATCCGAATTCTGGGACCTATTGTACGCCCTTACGCCAGGTCGACGGCCCCGCGATGTCCAACGTTACATGCGCTCCCACTACGTGGCCACCTCTCAGAAGCCACGCAAGTGGACAAAGGAACAAGACGACGAGCTAGTCGCATTGCACGTTGAGCATGGGCCCAACTGGGCCAAGATCGCCGAGATCTTGGGCCGTGCTCGCGACGACGTCAACACTCGCTTTCGCAAACGTGTGCAACATCGAGACACCCAGACCCGCGGGCCATGGAGTTCCAACGAGTGCACGCGTCTCGAGAGCGCAGTGCGACAATGGCTGGATATCGCCCAGTTCCCCGCAACGGCCATCTATACCACCAGTGACTCCAAGCCGGGGGACATCTACCGGATAGACCCCCGTTATATCCTGTGGACGCAGGTGAGCGATTTCATGGGCAACACGAGGACCAGGGAGCAGTGCTCGGCGAAGTGGAAGACGATGCGGTTGAAGAAGGGAAGGGAAACTTCCAGCCCCAGTTGAAAGGGGGAAGTTTTTTCCCGTTTTATATTTTGAGTGGCTACCTCGCTATATTCTTGGACGGTGGAATCCCTAGACTTCTTCCTCTTGTGTTGTCGTCCATTTTGTCGACTATTAAATATTGTCGCACTGCTCATTCTGGCTGGCTTCGTTGGTATGTTGTTCCACGGTTTGGTGGTATTTTTTTCGATCCGACGATTTGAGACGGCCCCCGTGGGCTGAGTGGAAACAACTGTGGATGGGATGAGATGTGGAGGGAGAGTTCGATATTGGCATTTGTCCGTCGACCTGTATTGAATATGCCGAGCCATGATATCCCTTTCTATATTGCCTTTCACTTAACCCTCCGAGACAAAATCCGTTTTTTAAGCCCCAAGCCCCCTTATCGCTTTCAACGCCCGATCCTAACATGGGGGGTATTTGTCGGTTCCCGGTTTGTAGTGTTTTCCAGGACCCTATACCACTGCACTGAGATTCGTCTTTTGATATGCTGCATTTCCGTGGTGGATGGAAGCCGCAATTTTCAACTTGGCATCTGCAGGAATAAATCCAATCTTCAGGGTCCCGCGAGGCTTTTCCTTTCCCGGCATGCTTGTGTGGCCCCGCAGTGGTGGTGGGTCGCTTTTTGCAGCTTCGTAGCGGATATCTTCTATCTATATTGTTGTTTTCCTCCTGGACTGGGCCCTCTTAATAACGATGGCATACAAACTCCATCCCAGGTTGTCCACCAATTTCTTTCACCTACCGACACCCAATAGATACAGGCGCTGTACCTATCCTGTTTGGCATATTTAGTACAGGGCAAACACGGGCATTCACACGATTTTCAATCCCGGGGCCTAAATGTCGGGCTAAGTTGATATCCGGGGAGCTTCCCGCCAACGCATGCTCGTGGCTCGTGACAAAGGTTTTACGTCTGAGAGATAGATCCCACCATATCTTACCTGCATCCCCATTTTTCTCATTCAATTGAACAGGCAGAGCTGGCATCCGTTTTGTTTCTCATACGCTCCCAGGAATGAAAACTCCTCGATCTCTACTCTGACCACACAGCCCACTGGATTGCTCGGGAATTTTTGACCAACTGAGAAAGAGCGTGACCAACATGTCAATAATAAACACTCCGTATATCCACAGCTGTACAGATGTCCCGCCTTGCACTTACCAGTCCAAGCATAACAGACAGTAATCACAAATAGCACATGGAGAAAACTGACGGGTAGGTGTACGTTCGATCTAAAAAAAATAATGTAAAGAACTGCAGTCGTGTCCCAACCAACCATGCTTCACACACTCCCCAGACTCCGATCATGAAAACTGAAAACCCCAAACTAAGGCACGATGGATATTCCCACCCCACTTAGCCGCCCGGCCCTGTTCCCTTACTTGGCCAATGCCTCTCATAACAAATAAAGCCTTCAATACAATTCCGCCACTGGTTTTGGAACCCGTTCAAGAGGGGAAAGCAAGGAAGGTGGGTCACTCTTATAGGGGCAATTTTGGAGATCAGAAGGGATGCCTGGTTGCGCAATGGAATATATCATTGGAAGAGCGTGATCGATGGCTTGCTTTCCCTATTTGAGCCCTCCATATCGTATGGATCCAGGATTCCTTTGGTCTTTATTCCACATATGGTATGTTTGTTTATTTTGTTGTGTGGAGGGATGCAGACTACCGGCGGCAATATGCCGTTCCCTAATGATACAGGAGGAATTTAGGTTCAAATCCATCCAATGGCGACTGGGAATTTGTGTTGATATTCAACCATGAAATACAATGATTCATGGTTAATCGGACATGCCAGCGATTTCTTGGGAACAAATACGCAAAGAGCGGGGTGGGGGTTTTAGGTGGGCATGGAGTTTACTGAAGTTGGTTTTCGCATGACCGTTTCTTATTTCGTTCGGGGAGTTTCCGTGGACTCTAATACGTCCACACGCCTGGCATCTATCTGTCTGATGTCTGCCGGTCATCTCCTGAAAATAACCGAGTTGCTACAGCGTCGGACAAAATGACTAAAGAATGCTTCTAGCCCCATATAGATCGCATTGCCCTTCTTGGTCTTCTCCCTCCCCGGCGACCCGATTTCTATATCCCCTTTTCGCATTTCCTCTTGCGGCGGGGGCTAGCTAATTTCTGGTCGTGTATGGACACTTTAGGATCTTACCTGCTGTTGGCTATCGCTTGCGTTTTGTTTTGTTGTTTTCGAAGTGATATTATTAACCGTGGTGATGGCGATGTTCTATGAATTGTGCAAGCTATGTACACGTCCATGATATGGAGTACGCATGCTATGTCTCCTGAGTTTGGGGCTGGGTGGGGAGTGTGAGGAAAACTGTTGACATTTAAGTTCTATTTATTTGATCATAATACCTGTAGCATATAGAATGACTTTTGAAAATCTAAAATATAAACACTAAACTTTGGAAAGGGAAAGCTTTTTACAATATGAGGTGAAAACCCCTGCGTTAAAAGAACCCCTTTAACTTCTATATTTCGTAGACAAGTGACAGTGACGAAGATAGAAGATAACAAAAAGAAAAAATAAATAAATAAATAAAAATAATCTACTAGAAGCAAACTAACACACTCTTACAGTTCGTCCTTTTTACGCTCCTTCTTCCCGTCTGATTCCCTTCCCTCCTCACTATCCTCTTTCCCCTTCTTACCCTCCAGCACCCTCCTCTGCACCGCTGCAATCTCCTCATCATAAACCGTCCATTCAGGTATCTGCCTCCTCGCCCTGTCCAGCTTCGGCTCCTTCGTCAACGGGTTATTACACAGATCAATCGTCTTTGCTGTCTTCAACGCCTCATCCGAACACCACGTCTCGCACCACAACCAGTCCTGGGGCAGGCTCTTAATCGGCAACACGCGTTGCATATTATTCGGCAGATCTTGGTCCAGGTTACTTAAACTATTTGGATCGACGGCGAGGGTGTGATATTGCCCACGCAACCTGTCACCGGCAGCTATTGCCCTGAACTGGTTCAGATCGACCACGTACAGCGCGGAGATGTGGTAGGGCAGTCCTTTAAGGAATTTCTTCCAGTATCCCTGCTTCCAGAAGCGGAAACCTTCCATGGATGTGCGTGAGTCGCACATAGGCGTGAAGCCGTAAGGGGCACCCTCGAGGTCCAGCGTGACGAGCTCGTACATGTCCGTGCGGACGATCTGGTCCGCATCGACGAAGATGACCTTATCCAGAGAGAGGGGGAAGAGGACGTCTAAGAATAGGATTTTGTAACCCCATATAATGCGCTGCTTCTCTTGCTGTTCATGCAGCCAGTTAGGCCATTTGTAAGTGACCATTTCGTACGAGAAGCCGTATTCGGCGGCGAGGTGGGGTAGGAAGGTTTTAAACGATGGCGAGAGAAATTGCTCGATGAACCAGAATTTCACGCTGTGACTTGTGTGTTTCATAACGGAGACCATCATGATATTGAGCATGCGTTCGTATAGGTGGCCGCTGGCGACGGAGAAGATATTTATATCTGCGTGTTTTTCTTTGGGACCAGTTACGCTGGAGAGTACGCTGGAGGCAAAGCTTAGACCCTTGGAGAGATAGTCCTTTGCTGAGCTTGGCTTCGAGTCTGGGTCTAGGACGTCGTCTGTTTCATGACCCGGCCGGCGGGACAATCGCGGGTAAAGAGTCTTGCCCCGGAAGGAGAGGAGAGCTACGTCGTTGTTCTCGTCGCCGGGGGTGGGTCTGTGACCCTTTCCACCAACGCTGTCCAGACGGAAGATGCGCTCGCTTTGGCCAGGCTTTAAGGTTATTTTCCAGCACCCAGGCTGTGCTTTGAATTGGAAGTACCCCAAATTTGCCATGATGATAGTATCTGCGAAATGGGGGTTTTTCTCGGTTCCTAGGAGCAGTTGAACTCCTCGTGGTGCTGTTCTTCTAGTAACATCCCACGAATGGCCTTCGATTAGAATGTGCTCCAGCTCATAAAGAGCATCAACGTTTGCACCTTCTTTAAGTGAGCTTAATTTGATGTTGTCAAGATCGTATATTGATTCCTTTGGGGCCACAAGCCACGAGTGAGGTACATCCATTCCTAAATTAAGGAGAGCATCACCGGGAATTCCGTGAAAGGTGGCTTGCGGTTTGGCTATAGAGCCGTCTTCGCTAAATGACGGAGTAGATTTGAGAACATATTGATAGAATCTTTTAATTGGCAACTCCTTTATCACTTCTCGGGGAGTAAGGAATATTTTCAAGTTGACGCCATTTAGCTCTGACAATACTTTCAAGATCGGAATACAGCGTTGAGCGGTCTCAGTCGCTGGATCGACCGCCGCAATAATGTAGATCGAGGGATCATCGGAGTTTGAGATAGATATTGCAGAGTGAGTGCCATTCCATTTCTCATACAGGTTAGAGCGCACATTCGATACTGAATTTAAGATTCCCTCCGGAATGTTAGTTGCGGTTGAGAGAGACAGTAGAGACAGTAGCTTAGCAAGGCTCAAAGGGTCAGATATTTTATCTTCCAAACCAAGGTCCAAAGCTGCCTGTGCGAGCACTCCAGTGCGTTTAGACCGTTCGTATGCAAACATATATTCCAGATCCAGAGCATCAAAAACGGTCGACGACGGCAGAGGACCAACCGTCCTACTGTTAATCACCATTCCATGTTCACCAGCACCAATTCCAATTTCTCTCACCAACTCCTGAAGTGAGTTCCAATAAGCGGTTGCAAGGTTGGCATCTAAGCCTGGTGCATCCTGTGCATCCTCTCCAGAAACGAGGGCATCGAGAGTGGCAGCAACTGCAGCTGGGTCAAGATCACGACCATGTCGAACACTATGAAGTCTTGACAAAAGGCCTTTCGAAACAGACGACGCCTCTCCATTATGAAGAAGTAAAATTTCTACTCCAGGGTGTTTTCCGTGAAGCTCGAGAAGGTAACGAAGCTGCTTAACACCAGACTCGCTCTGCAGATCGGCTATGAGGATGATACTAGTCCAATCTAGCATTGAATTCTCCGATTTAGACGTCGCGGGAATCCGGAGAAGAGTGTCAAAAATATCTTTATTGTTTTCGTACATTTTGTTGAGATCAACGGTACGAACTGTACTCGGGTCCTCGGGGATAAGTAGTGGGTTTCGAGTCCGTAAAGCACCTTGAAGAAAATATGAAGGAACCCAAACATCCTCCTCCAGATCACCTTCGAAAACAGCCCTTTGAATTGTTTCCATATCATTGGATACGGCTGAAATCATATATTGCATGAAGTTTTCATCTCGAACAAAGGCAACACCATTTACAAAAAAGGTTGGTTCTCTTCCTTCAATTGCCAGCCTCTCGAGATAGGATTTTGTGCTCGCAAGTATCGGGTCGTAATTTTCCGATGTTAAGACATCTTTGAATGCAAGAGGATTGTGGCCATCCCTCGCTTTATGATCTTTCAATGCAGCTGTGAAACTGGCCTGATCTGGGGAGGCAGTCTTGTTGGCAGTGAATGACTATGTTGAAAGATTAGTTTGGGAAATTTAGTGATTCTCAAATATGGATACTTACAGCTTGCAAGTAGGTCACCAAAGCTTCAATGCCGTGTGTATCTAGAAGATAATGGGCAACTCGCGCCTGCTCGAGAGAATTCGGATTCTGCAATAATGGTACAAAACCAAATCTAATTGGTATCCTTCTCTTCACAAGCGTCTGCATATTTTGAACGACAATTGCAATATCCTTTGAAGAGGCTAGGTCGACAGGAATAACGACATTGTGAATATCCCGTCGGATCGGAGGAAGCTGACCGGGGTAGACTGGTTTGAGTAGCTATAAACGACACAGTTAGAATTTCCATATAACAAAACCAGCAGATAGGTATCGGCACAGTGCTAGCTCACAGATTTTAGACTTTTTGTCCACCCATCATATCGGTGATCTTTTTCAAGATTATTCATCCAAATAATTACACCTTCACCTTCAATCTCGTCTCCGTACTGATAGCGCAGTGATTCATCAGATGCTTGGGTTTTAGAAACCGCCGGATTAGAAAACAGACCCACGGCTTGTCGCGCAGATAATCCAAACTCTCGGAATCTGTTGATTACTTTCCTTTCCTGTCTTAAATGACTGAGAAGGAAGAAGGGGTCTATGTTGTTCGGGTCGATCTGCATCCCATTAATCCACATAATGTTGAGCCCCACGGGCAACTGGGCAGCCTGGTTTTCGTGGAACTCTTTAATAAATTCAGGTGTAGCATTGCGACCTGCGATAGCAGAGGAATGCCTAGGAAAGTCCTGCGATAACCTTAGCAGCGTCGCAAGTGGGTCATCGCTGCTCATCACGAAACTAGCAGCATTAATACCTAGTGTCGATACTTCTGAGGCAGACAAGGGCTTCAAGTCAGTGGGTGGCTCATTCTTCGCATCGTCTACTGGAGCCAGGGTAATTTTTGCTGCATCCGTATCCTTCATAACGCTCTGTTCCGCGTCCCGATCGTCGATCACGACGTAATCCGTTCGTTTAAGAGCAAGCTCCACCCCGTATCCACTAACGAAAATGGGTTTCGAGGCCTCAGTGCCGGATGACCGATAGCGAATTCTATATGAGAACTGACCCTCTCGAGCCTTCCGGCTAAGTACCTGGTGAAATCCACTAAACATGGGAGAAGTCACATCGGCATATAGTACTAATGCGGGCAGCGAAGGATCTCCAAGTACTCGATCGAACGGTAAAACTCGTTCGTGCCTATAATCATATATTCCACCATAGATTAGCTCACTACTCACAGTTATCGCTAAATGTAACTCACGTACTGGTCTCCTGACACGCTCTGCTGCGCATATTCTAAATTCGGTGAACAATATTGATAGCCATCATAATACACCCAGACAGTGCAAACTGCATCTTGCGCCACCACTAACGACGGCTCCACCGACGTATGATAATATTGATAATGAGCCTCGATCCGCGGTGCGGTGGATCGTAACGATAGGGCAAATTTAAAAGACGAAATAGACTCGGGATCAGTAAGGTGTCCATTGTCCTGGAGTATTTGTGTAAATCGCTCATAGAGGTCTCGCTCCGTAGTAATTTCTGTGAATGCACCCTCAGCAATGTGGTCAAGGAGAGGGAAATAGCTGGTGGAGTTCTCTTCTGCAGCGGTTTCTCTGGCTTCTGCATTAGCTGTGGGTTTCTTCTATGGGGACTACGAAACTTGATTCCATCAACATGTGCAACATACAGAAGCTCCACCAGGTACGGTGCTGCATTAAAAGAAGCAGTCAGAGCGGCATTGACCAAGGGGCCAGCGGAAGCGATTGGAGTAAACAGGAAGATTGCTGCGAGCAGCGCCAGGCCGCCCAATCGCCATGGAGAGGAGATATATTTGAAGACCATGGTATATACGTATGAATGCATATATGACCAGCCACCAGCTTATATGGAAAGATATAGGATCTTCTTCGATCCCATTTAGGTCGAAGTATTGCGCATTGTCTTCTCAACGTACTCCGTCAGTATCCAGTTGTTGCAATTAGAACAGTTTCCACCAAACTGCTAAAGTTTTATAGTTTATCCGCAAAATGTAGTATCAATATTTATTTCTCAAGCCGACGCATTCTAAGCAGCAAGTGTAGAAAAGGCAAAAAGAGTAATTGAAGCTATCGAAATGGTAAACTATATACGAACAGCTGCGATGTTTTGGACACATTGTTAGCAAATGGCTTAGTAAGAACACCAGAAGTGCATAACATAATCAATAAGCGAGTCGGCCACATAAGCAAGTCAAGCCACTTTTCATCTCATCCCAGAACAACATCTTCATCATCAAAAATGTCAACCACACAAAGAAATAAAGCCTCTACTCAGGAAGGAAGGCTTCTTTTAGCCATTCAAGCATTTAAAAATGGTCAAATTTCAAGTGTACAAGCTGCAGCAAAGCTGTATGATGTTCCACATTCCACCCTAGGTGATTGGGTACATGATTGTACAGCATGTGTTAACACTCCTCCAAAGAACCAGAAACTTAGTCTTACAGAGGAAGAATCTCTTGTTCAATGGATTCTGACCATGGATGAACAAGGTCAGCCTCCCCAGGTTGCAGCTGTATGAGAAATGATCAACCTTCTTCTTGCCAGCTGAGGATTCAACCCCTCACTCACAGTGAGTGAATACTGAGTATGAAACTTTGTCAAGCACCATGATGAGCTGAAATCCAAGTTCTCACACAAGTATGATCATCAGTGGGCCTTATGTGAGAATCCTGAGGTTATCTGTGGGTGATTTAGGTTCATACAAAACACTATTGTGAAATATGGGATTCTGGAAGATGATATCTACAACTTTGATGAGACTGAGTTTCAGATGAGTGTAATTGGGACTGCCAGAGTGATGACTGAATCTGAAAGAGCTGAGAATCCCAAGCTTGTACAGCCTGAAGATCAAAAATGAGTGACTGTTATTGCTGAAGTCAATGCAACTAACTGGGCCTTGCATACAATGATTATTCTCAAAGAAAAGATGCATCAATCCTGCTGGTATGAGACAGAAGGACTATCACATGACTGGGTGATTGGAGTCAGTGAGAATGACTGAACCACTGACCAGCTAGGCTTATACTGGCTGAAAGAGGTGTTCAACAAGGAGACTCTACCTGTAAAAAGGGCAGATATCAACTGTTGATTCTAGACTGGCACTGAAGTCATGCTTCAGCTGAATTTGATCAATTTTGCACTGAGAATCAGATCATTGTCCTCTACATGCCATCACATTCCTCTCATCTTCTTCAGCCATTGGATGTTGGCTGCTTCTCACCCCTGAAAACTGCATACAGACAGCAGGTGGAAAACCAGATGTGGCTTGGGATCAATCATATTGACAAGGAGTTTTTGGGTCTTTATCCTGCAGCTCAGATGCAGGCCCTGACTGAGAGCAACATCAAGAGCAGCTTTAGGGCTACTGGGCTGATTCTGTACAATCTTGAGCAGGTTCTCTCACAGCTTAATACCATGATGCATATCCTCACCCCCCCAGGGACCTTCCACAGCTCCCAGGCCTCCTGGGCCATGGTCACACTGCATAATATACACCAATTGGAGCAGCAGGCTGAGAAAGTTAAAGGATATATCAAGCACTGTATGCAGAGCTCACTCAGTCCAACCAATTGTGCCCTAAGTCAGCTGGTCAAGGGGTGTCAAATGACAATGCACAGTGCTGCTATTCTAGCAGCTGAAAACAGGGAGTTAAGGGCTGCAAATGCCAAACAAAAGAAGAAGTGAGAAAGAGGCCATACATATGTAGCTCAAGAGGGTGCTTTGAGGGTTGAAGAAGGCTTGAATCATGTACAAAGGGTCAATGAATGAGAGCAGGGGGTAGTTGAGACTGCTGAGTCACAATCACAAAAATGTGCAGCACCACAGTGTAGTTTATGTGGGATTATTGAGCATACTGCTCATACATGCTCTAAGTGTATAGGAAATAATTTATAATGTAATTTGCTAGTTTTTCTTTATAGTTGAGACTTTGAAGGCATTCTTGTTGTACAGTGAGGAGGAAAGTGGCCGACTCGCTTATGTGGCCGACTTGCTTATCGATTACGTTAGTTAATTAAGTCTTACGTAATCATATAGCACAGCCAATCAGACTGCGTCTATCACAACTGCCAAGCCGATTCTAACCCTAACCCTAATAAAAGGTTTCGTTCTTAGGGGCTGGTCTCGTCCATGATGGTGGGGGCATAAAAAGTTATTAGTATGGCAGTGAAAATGAAAACAACAGATGCAAATTGATTTATAACGGTTGTAATATACTGGGGCTGCTATAAATTGACATATTGAGAAGTTGGTGTGCAGAAAAATGGGAATACAGCTATCATCAATTGAAAGCGATGTCTGAAAAGAGGACAGAATTAGGGCTATCCACCCTGAGACAAGACGTTCGAAACTTCAACGCCCGAGCTAAGTCACCCATCTTGCCAAAAGTCAATGCTTAGTTATTAACCCTCCTTCCCCTATTTGAAGCTCATATCTTTGCTCCCTTCGTCGCATTGATGCCAGCAAGCTTGAGGGCCTCACGAACACCTAAGTCAATGAGGACATCTTCGGAGCCACCTATACACACATTGACGTCAGCAAGTAAAACTTTCAAATCCTAGACGGCAATTCTGTTATCAAGGCAAACATACCAGGGACGATCCATGAATGAGTGGCGCGAGAAATCGACTCAATACGAGAACCCTGGCCTGTTTTGGTGAGACCAAGTCTGCAGTTTTAAACTCCGTTAGCAAACGTAGGCTCCCCTGAAAGATGAGGGGGGAAAGATTGATAGGGTCCATTAAAAATGGTTATAAAGAGAGTCCATACCCTCCCATAATCTGGACACAGTTATCCGCAACAAACTTAACCATCTGCCCACCCTTCACTTTCAACAGTGCCGTAACCCCACCCAACTGCCGATTACCATCCTTAAAACTCATATGATCCAACTCATAAATAATCTGCTCCGTCCACGCATGCAATGCCTCGACTTCCTTGGCCATGGAGCCGAACTTATGTCTCACGACCGGTTGCTCAATAAGCTTCATGCCAAAGGCTTCACGCTTTGTAGCCCATGCCATCGCATCCTGGAGACAAATGCGGGAGCTGCGGATGGTCTGGAAAGCAATCCACAGGCGCTCGTGGTTAAAGTTGCTCATGACATATCGGAAACCTTGACCCTCAGAGCCGACGAGGTACTCAACAGGTACCTTTACGTCCTCAAAGGTGACATAGGTGGTGGCACTGAGCCCGTCGGCTCCGATTTCGATTTTGCGTGTGCGGATCCCTTCACTGCGCGGGATTAGGAGGAAGGAAACACCCTCTGCGCCGGGGCCGCCGGTTCGAACAGCAGCCTACGTCAAGCAAGGGCAGTGTTAATGGTGAAATGCTTCTTGTATATCTTCGAGTTTTTTTAAGTAGACTCACCATGAAATAATCGGAATACATGCCATTTGTGATCCAGTGAAGTCGAAGTTAGCTTGATAACTCGCAGACAGATTTTGTTCTAGAAACTTATCTTTTTCTCCCCATTAACAATATAGAACTTCCCGCACTTAGATTTTTCTGCCGTCGTCGTCAGGTTTCTCACATCAGATCCGCATGACGGCTCAGTAACAGCAAGACAGATTCTTTTCTCCCCGCTAAGGATCTCCGGCAAGATCTTCTTCTGCAGCCACGACGACGCGAATTGCTTAAGAGGGGGAGCTCCAACGGTCTAGTTGAATGGACAATGCACGTTAGCATAAATATCTGAAGATATCCAAAAATTATTCTCCGGGGAGACAATATATAAAATTAACTTACCAAACCCACAAAAATGCTAGAAAGTGCCCCGCCCCGGAACAGCTCATCCCACATCACAAAATCATGGAACCCATTCCACTCGCTGGCCTTGATACCACCAATTATGGGATACTGTGCAGCAAACTCCTCCGGTATCGACTTGCCAAAAGCGATGGGCAACAGGAGCCCGTCCCGCGCGCATTTTCGGTAGACCTCGTCTGGCACTTTGCCTGCAGCTTGCCATTCTTCGCTTTTACCGACAACGTTCTATGCAATAGAAAAAAAGGGTAAATTTTTCTAAGCTTTAGGAAACTTTGGCTTTACTCCGTTGGATGGAAGATGGTCAGAAACACACACTTCCTCAGTCCATTTGCGCACGGCATCCCTCAGTCTGAAATGGGACTCGTTGTAATATGGCGAGGGACGGCCGGAGTACCTTCAATTAAACCGAAATACGGTTAACAAAATGCATCTCAGTAATGAGATGTGTCCAAATGAAAATAAAATAAGATTTATGGTTAACGCTGAGGTCCGCGTATAGAAAGTGATAACTTACCAGGATGGCTCTGCCCATGGAAGAGTGCTACCAAATTGCTTGTTTGTAGCCATTGTTATTATTCGAGGTAGTTAAACGTATATAAATAACGAATTTATGGAGTAATAATAATTATTGAAAAATTTATTTCGGGATTGATAATAGAGGCAGAGAGATGCCGATCTGAATAGATGATATTGGGAGAGCTTCGGAGTGTATGAATAAGCAGTTTCAATTCGGTGCTCTAAGGATTGGTCGTATCTGACCTCGGCATAACACTACATATATTAAAGACGGGCGCAGATCATACTCTAGGAGCTAGGGCTCAGAGACAGCTTTATCGAGACAACCATTAGTTGATCGAGGGATTAGCACCTTATAGATGCCCCTGAGGTGGATACCAAGGTGTCTAGGGTATGCTGCCTCGGCTATGTTAAGGGCTGCGGTTGATGGGTTAGGCTGGCTATCGGCTATATTAAGTCTGTCAAATTCACACCCGGATAATACTTTTATCAAGGTTCAAGTTTACAGTCAATTCCTGTAGCCGTACAGAGTACCTCGATACAGTACAAACTTCTCTGCAAAACAAAAACACGCCGGACCCCGCACCGCAAAGACTACCATGCACCAAAAGAGTACATACAAACAGGCCACATCGCATCACCTAACAGTGACATTCCATGGATAAAACCACATCAAAGGGGAGACGGCAGGCATATACAATATGACATACGGCACAGCAGACAGCAGCAATTGGAGCGCATCCTACACCCCTCCATGCCCCGCATGGCAAAATCAACAATACGCCGTCAGTGACAAACGCCGTTTCGCAACCTCAGAAACCATGTGGCCAGAACAAAATTAAAAAGAAGCAATAAAAGAATCGAAAAAGAAAATTAAAATTGAAATCCACGTGTTCCGCCCAGGTCGCTCATCTTAATCTCACACAGCCTGAATTCTGCGTTCCACTCGTGGGAGCCATGATCTTCCTTGCTGAAATTAAATAATAAAAATTTTAAGCTGAGATAATGCATTTTTTTGTTTTCGGGTTTCATCTTTTCCTCTTTTTCCTCTCAGCTTTTTCTTTATTCTATCCATTGTTGCGCCATTTTCACCCTAACTGAAATAATTTCCACCGTACTCTCTTTGCTTTCACCACTAAAGTCTCTCAAAGAAATTTAGAAAAACCCGAAATGAGACACAAACAAAAATACGCATCCCACGCGGACAAACACGTGGTCATGGACGAGCGTCAAACCGGTATGCGTTGTGTTTTCCCTAAATGCAGGTCCAAACAGCACAAGGCACCGAAAAGGGATGCGCAGAGCAAGGGGCAATCTCCAATCCCAAATTCAGATGCTTGTCCCAACGTCCAACATAGAGATAATAGACAAACGGCGAAGTATGGAATTCTGCAACTCGAACTGACCACACCAGTTTTGAATAGAAAGACGAAATGACGGGGATCAATGACAATAAAAGTAAAAAGAAGGCAGAGACATAATAGACAATAGTTGGAAAAAGGAATAACGAAAAAAGAAAACTGGTCGAAGCCTCCCATAGTAGAAAATAGTCAAGAAAAGAGGACCTCAAAAAGCAAACAACCAAGTGCATTTTAAGCGCGTATAGTTAGCCACATTAAAACGAAGGACAGTTTAGCAAATACGCAGCACAGCACAAAAACTCCGCCCCAGAAATCACAGTAAAACGCGAAAAAAGGACATCTCCCAGGTTCATGGTTCATGTCATCCCGTAGCGATCGAATTTCGTTTTCACATACGTTGCATTGCATACCCAAAAAGAAAAAAAGGGGAAAAAAAGGGGAAAAAAAAAAAAAAGGAAAAGTAAGAAACTTAAAAGTATAAGACGGGAATGGTGTTGAAACGAACGGAAAAAAACTGAAAATTCGTTTGTTGGGTTGCTAGTCCACCCATCCGTTCGTTCGAAGTCACTTGAAGTGGTACATAAAGTTTCAAATCATGCACTAGACCGTTTATTGTTATTCTCATTAGCATGGGCATCAGCATCGCCATCAGGATCCGCTTTTGCAGCATTTTGCTTCGCCTCCCAAATCATCCGCTTGCGTCGAAACTCCACAACATCAAACTCGCCCTCACTCTCGCCTGGGCCGGTGACAACATTCCTATCGCGCTCCCCTAGGATGCTGGAAGAGCGCATTTTCCGCAGCGCGCCACCGGCACGAGACGATGATCGGGGAGGTTTGGGCTTTTCTTCGTCAAAATCGCCGCGTGAACGCATCTTTCGTAGCTCCCTGCCTATGCGTTCGAGGGCGGAGTTGCCACTGACCTTAATGGATTTGGGCAATTTGATGGTTGGAGATGGAGGGAGGGGTTTGTTTAGGACTCCGGGGTTATTGTTATTGTTGCTGCTGTTGCTGTTATTGTAGCTGTGGTTGTAGCTTGAGTTGCTACTGGTTGATGGGCGGGGATGTTCTGAGTTGGATCCAAAACTGATTCCCGAATCCACTTTCCGGCCTTTCTTTTGTTTGCGGTGTCCTGACTGTTCTTCCAGGCTCTCGCGGTTGTTGACTTCGAAGCATTCGTTAATAATGTCAGTAGCCGCATGCATGTATTTGTTGATGTATTCGTGTACCAGCGGCCATCCTGTAGTTTCCCCTGGCCGTCTGTCCTTTGCAATGAGGGGATCGAGCACGCGTGGGCCCTTTTCTTCCACTTTGCATATGTATTGGAAGAACGTATGTCGCTCCTCCCTGAGCATCCTTTCACAAACGTGCGCTGCTGGTCGGACGGAAATCACAGCTGGGAAAAGTGTGTTGAGCATGGCAACGCAGTGCGCTTTGTTGAAAGGAGGTAGTAGCATTTCATTGATAAGAGTCTGGTATCAATGTTAGCAATGGCATGTACATGCATACGTCGGTATATAAACGCGTAATTTCCATGAAGGGAGGGAGTCACTCACCCAGTGTCTTAGACGGAGGTAGACTTGTGAGTATAGAGCAGCAGCGTATGTGTCTTTCTCCATGACTGAGTCGATCCAGCTTGATACACCAGGATACCGTTTAGCGAGATCGTCTTTGTCAGAAACGCCATCAAATATACCAAGCTTCTCCAACGCAGCTTTGATCTCTTTCCCACGGCGCTGCTCGAGGTCCCGGAGGTAGTCCAGAGCAGTCAATGCCTGGGGGAAATCAACGAGTGCGAGATTATCTGGGAAACAACGGCGGACGAATGAAGTAATGAAGTTGGGAGGTAGGGAGCATGGTTGAGAGGGTAATTGGGATATCTGGGACATAAGATGCATTTTGAAAATCGCAGCAGTGCTGCTCACGTTGTATGCAGGGGGTTTCTCTTCCTTGCGTCTGGGGTTGCGCGCAGAGGGGAACGCGTTGCCCTCGAAAGGGGACGTAGCTCCGGGACTCTTGGGAAGAGGGGAAAAGGGTGGATGCGCTCCGACTGTCGAGTTCAGGGCATACATGGTGCGGAGGGGGATCTCATAGCTCTCGGGCTGGCTATAGTGCTCGGCAATCCACGTCCAAGCCGAGCCCTCTCTTGAGGCAGGGGCGGCGAATCGACGATTAGTCATGGTTCAGTGATAGGAGGTTGAAAATGGCAGCAGTCGTAGCGATAAGATTGGTACCAGTGTTGGAAAATAGTATTGATATATAAAGCTTCTGAGTGGAGCAAAGAATGACACGAAGGAAGTTAGCACAGCCGGTGGTGCATGTAAAGTTTGGAGATCTCCGGGTGAGCAGAATTGATGCCAGCTCCAGAGGAGTTGAAATCGAATAGATTTGTTAACGAAATTAAAAAAATGGCGAAGACTGATGTTTATAACTGGCCGTTGTCACGGCACTCTCCATGGTAGAAGGAGTGGGTTGGGTTGGGGACGGGTTGCCGTGGTGGTAGAGATCTCTCGGCTGCAAAACAATCAACAAGAGAACATCACTGTCAATTGGTTTCAAAATACATCAGTATCAAGTATTTAGAGAACAGAAAAATGAAAAGACAATAAAATAGAAGCGGCTGAATCTTTCTTGTTATTGCTAGAGAGTGTGAAGTTTGGAACAAAACATACTGTGAGATGAGCTGAATGTCTGAGAGAGAAGCTAAGTTCACCCGTCCAACAGCTCCAAAGGAATGGTTTCGACCAACAATATCAACAGCAGAAAATAAACAATTGCTTTTTCAAATGGGCCAGCGCAAGCAATGAACTGCAAAAGTCTGAAAACAAAACAAGAGGTAAATGTAAAAGAAAAATATATCAAACGAACACTCGATGGTTCAACTGGCAGACTCCTCACTACAAGACTACCACTTGAGGGAGGGGAAGAAAAATGGCAAAACGGGAGTGAGAAGATATTCTAAGAATATAATATACGGAGCAACTAAAATCCTTGTGGAGCTCTGTATGGAGTATGGGGAGTATGGATGGATGGATGGGTGGGTGGGTGGGTGGATGGATGATGATCAAGGATCAGAAAACGGCCGCAGCAGGCCAGTGCTACTAATGTACGGGGCCTGTTACTCCGTATGCTATGGCACACAAGCTGCTCGCAGCTGCTCACAATCTCTCAGATTCTCTTCTCTTCGGCCTATTTTCGAAATATCAAGAAACTCTGCCAAAGCAGCTCGAGTCACAGGAGCTGCATCTGCCCCGGCATATCTAGACAACGCCACTGGGGACTCCACCGTGCTGACAGGTTATTGATTGGCCTGACGGTCAGTGCCATTTATCTTATTCACCCTATTCATCCTATTCGCCCTTTTTTCCTGATTGTTTTTTTTTTTAAAAAAATTTTTATTTTTACTTATATATATATATATTGGCTATTTGTTGCTTTATGTTATTACACTAGGTATCCATTTATTACAAGAAGAGTTTTAAGGCATGGAGCTGTTTTCGTGAAGCTACTGAAATGAAGGTAAATTAAAATTACTACCAGTGTTTGCTGTATCTATCTGCTTTCGTTCATTACCTCTCATACAAACAAATAACTATGACTATAGTTTGACGGTTGCTGGCTGCCGAGGATTTTATTTTCCTCAACTGCCTCTTGATGCTCATCTTACCAAGGACAACGGATTGTTCACTGCTTCTTCTCATTATAACTTTTTTTCCCCTTTTTTTCCCCCATCTCTGGCTCGACAAAACCGAAATGCATCGTTTTAGAGCTTACGAATTTCAAGCGTCAAATCAAAAAATAGGAACCAAAAGAATTTCCATAGGGCAATAGGCTCGTAGTCAGCAGCATCGTTGATCGTTGGACCATCTTGCAGATCTATCAGCGAGAGGCAAAAACCAAAAAAACACACGATCACGAAACAAAAAAAGAAATATATGGTTGTGGAGACTCTTGATAAGCGCATTTCTAAAATCTAGCGATGCGGAGCACAGGCTCTAGGCTGTGAGGGAACAATCTTTGGATATGCGAACTAAATCAAGCGAACATCCACACTCACAAGACAATCATGGATAAAGTAAACAGTCTTCTCGAGTCTCGAAAAGTCCGTTTTGATCTCATGATATAGGTTCTTCAGAACTAATAATCTGGGGGTGTGTGGAAGAAACAAGAAATTTGAACCATCCTGGGGGAAATCCTGGGAGGCGCCAGGCACGCACTACTGACCCAAAACCTTTCCAGCCCCCGCTCGCCTGGTAAAGGCCCCAATTTTTTCAGGGATTTGGCCTTTAACTCCCGGATTCCGAGATGGAGCCTTGTCAACTTTGTCAACGTAATCGGATTGGCCCTGCGGTGCTGTCCACACTACAGGGGGGCGTGGAGTTACTGATTCCAGGCATAGCGGTTGTCGCTGGGCGCGGGTCCAGCCCAGCCCACCCCACCAACATCCGCGGCAGTTATAAGTGCTTACTCTAGGGGGAAGTGGGCGCGCCCATCGGCGCCGCCCAGCGCCCCAGCCTCTGGCTCTCTGGGATGCCCATCCCTGTCCCGAATGCTCTTTTCCTCCTAGTCGTGGCAATCATTGATGGCGCAGTCAAGGATCAGTCGATGATGCGGCTATTTTTTTTGTAATATTTTTATATTTTATTTATTTACGTTTTTACTACTCAAGTGCAGTGATTTTCTTCAGAAAAGACAACTTTCGGGGAAATAATTCGATTTGTATTTTTCCAAGAGTTGGTTATTTTTATATTTTGCCACTTGCAGGCCGTAAAACGATGGAGGGTCCTTTTTCCATTCCGTTACTCTCTCCCCATCTCTCTTTCATCCCAGAAGACCTCGCCCGTAGGAATGTGAATGTGTGTGTGTGTGTGTGTGTGTGTGAGAGAGAGAGAGAGAGAGAGAGCTCCAGAACGTAAAAGAAGAGATACGGAAGGCTAATTGGTTCATAAATAATACACGCAGAGTACAAGAATACTCCTGTTTAGGTGCTGATTACTCCGTACGGCATCATGCGAATTCCTTAAACATAAACGGAATGACTTAGCTCAAACCTCAACATCTAGAATCCGGCTAGCGACATGCGAAGCCTGTCTAGTGAAAACAAAATTCATTTTCTCGGTTTCTGAATAGAGGGGGTGGAAAAAGCTACCAATGCTGCTTACTGAATTTTGAATTTTGGTCAACCTCGTCGATGCTGAGTGTAGCGGAGTCTTCCAGGAAAACAACGGGGGACGCCTTGGAGTAGGAGCGAACTATCTCTATCTTTTCAATGCTCATGATCTCCTCATCCTGTTCACTTTTCTCCTCCTTCCACATAGAAATCAACTCAGGCAGCATTTCATAATCTTCTGTGTCATCGTGCATAAATCACGAGGAGTGGACAAAGATGCGATGCTTCCAGCCCTTACATGCCTATATTGTGTTCATCTGACACAAATACAACATGAACCTAGATTGATATCCAAGGACCCAAATCAAACCACACATGTTAGCCTGAACCCTGCTCACATATGCCCTGTTTCCTCTCCTTCTCTTCCGCTTAGGCTCTTCCTACGCCTTCAATCTGTCCATGATGAAGCATGAAGCATGAATCATGAATCATGGTTAATTCTAGTGTGTGTAGATGTGTGCAAATGGTGTGGGAGACAAACTCCTTTGTTTACCGAGTGGCACACGAACTTACCCTCTCACCAGACCCCTCTCCTGTCCCTCTCCTGTCCGTCCTACGTTACTCACCATTCCCCCACTTCAACCCAGGAACGGGCGCACGAGGGGCATGGCCTTTTTGTGCGATATAAAAACAAAACAGGATAAGAAACAAATCAAGCCTGTTTACGACATTAGCAGTTATTATGCTTCAAGCAGGCATGGAACGGCCTCTTGAGTTACTGCCTCGAGTGTCAGTTCAAACTGAGGGGGAGGAGGAACAGAAGGAGAGTGAACTAGAAAATGAAGAACCTCATTAAATCCCAGCCACTCCGGTTGACTTCTCCCCAGTTTACCATCAGATGAGGAAATTCACCAGATCCTGTCAACGATCAGTTGTCTACTGTCCGTGCACATCGCACTTTTACGGGTTTGATACACTTTTCCATTAATCTCTTCCGAAACACTTGTTTCCTTTGCAATATCCATTGCTACGTCAACAATGAAGATCATGGTTAATCTCTATTATATTCTCTTCAAACGAGGCAAATACCAACCAGGAATGCATTAGGAAACCCTTTCTTTCTACAATGATCCCGTCCTTTATTTTACCTCACTGGCTTGTCGGTGAAGGAGGTGAAGGATGCACGGGTTTTGTCTTCCAGCCAAGCGCCATCAAAATAGAAAATAATAATAATAATAGTAGTAGTAATAAAAAGATCAATTCTCGGCAAGAAATCGGGATCCACCAGGGTATCGGGATACCTGCATCATGCCGTGTCGTGCAAACAGGTACAGTGCCATGTATGCAGGTATGTAGGTCACTAGTTATTCAGCCTTGCATCTACCATCTCAAGGCCGGGCACGGAGTGCCTTCTCACTCCGTTATCATTCAATTCTATATTCTATAGCCCGAGAAGAGAATAATTGTATGTCCTTCCATATCTCTTTCTCTTCCTATTTTTTTTTCTTTTCTTTTTTCCTATTGGTGCCTCACTCACTTCTATCCATTCGTGATATATCTTAATTTCTGCATCCATTTGCCTATTTGCCCCTCCTCCAATGCGCCAGTAACATAGATGGAATCTCTTTTCATTTACTTTCAATACCCTCCTTAGTCCTGCCCCCCAAAACCCATAAACCTCTGTTCCTCTCTTCCTTTTCCATATACTTCTCTCACAACGTAAGCCTCTTGATTCCCGGGCCAATTGCGCCGTAGGTGACGATCCATGGAAAAGCAAGGGGACCGGTATCGGGACGTCGCTTGTAATATCCATCCCGGTCCTGTCAATTAATTTTCATATACTGGATTATTGATGCAGGGGGCGCCCCGCGAATGTTTATTTCTGGGAACAGGGGTTAGAGGATCCGAGTTCGGGTGTGAAATGCGGATAGAGATGGTACGGGGAACGATACAACCATGAATAGAGTTGCAGAGCTCCCGCTTGATTGCTTGATTTTGATTGCTTGCTGTTGAACTTTGGTGAGAGATGCAGTGCCTATGTCAGGTGTGCAAGATAAAGTATAACTAATATTAAGAATTATTATGAAAAAGGTGGATTGGTCACATAGCTGCAACCGTGTGATAACCAGCCTTTTCAACGTGGAATTTGGCCCCTTTACGTTGGGATAGTAGTAGGTGATTTTCCTACTGGCGAAGTCCGTTTTCTATTCGAGCTATAAAAATATGACTGCCCCTCACCCTTAATAAGCCTTTCTTGTACTGTACAACCGACGAAGAGTCCGAAGAGGAGAAACCAAAATAAGATTAAGTGTGAAACGGACTAGAGCTTATATAGAATTAAGCTTGGTTCAATCACTCTGTCCCTCTCACATTTATTATTATTTATCTATATCCAGAGTATTCTCCCCTGTCTCTGAAACAAAGGGAATAATATCGCTGCTTCATCCTGCACGACATGCACCTGGGAACCCGTCCATCCCCATCCTCATCACAATATCCCAATTCGCCGGGGCGGCAATCGGCTTTGACACTCGGGTTGTGTGGCTTCCTTTCCTTGCCTTCGACCAAAATGGCGTATCGTAAAATATGGAGATAGGCGTGTATTTATGCACGCTACATGGTTGAAGACACCGCAAGGCTGCAGGGCTACCAATCTTAAGACGATCGGCTAAGGAACATGCATTTTCACTCCGCTTCGCATTCTATATGACTATTCGGTCGACTTTATTCGAACCAATAAAAATGGAGGAAGAAACGGGACGAAAAAGTGCGAGATCGTCATCTTTTTGGATCGTTTGTTCTTATTGATCCTTTTTGGCCTTGTGAAGGATAACAATAACAATACTGACGGGTGAATTGAAGGCAAATTGTTGAGCCTGGGTAACTATGCATGCTGGCTTGAATCCTTACGGCTGGCCAGCTCGGAATGCAGCTCTATTTTCCTCAATATTCAGACTTTTCCCGAGGAGAGCTCAAATTTGACAGGATCGGTGGCTACTGTGGCCAGACATGGAATATTTAAGCAATATAGATCTGGATATATGGTTCATCAACCGCAATGCCGTTGATTCTCGTTCATATATAACGTATACACATAAATACAAGTCAAGAATAAAACCTGACGACACCTCCGAGCGATCTGAGAGGTGATAATAACCACTTTTCTTCGTATTTTAATCACTATTGGAAATCAGCCGGGCTAGTCCGGAACTCGTCCATTCGTTGAACAGCAAGCAGCTCCTACACATTCCGCAGCCACATCGTCCATTTGGGCGTGGTTCTGAACTTGACCGGCATAGGCGTTCAACCAGGTTGTTGTTTAAATTGGGTCATTGACATAAAACGAAAATGCAAAAGACCCATGAACGAAATGGGTTTGGAATAAGACGAAATGAAAGAGAAGAGTCTTCTTGTCCAGGGAATCGGGCTTCTACTAGTTATGCTCAAGTCGTTGAAAATTAAGTAGACCTCGGGAAGAGATTCAGAGTGGAATATGTAGTTAACTAACTATTTGGCTCCAAGCAGCGGCAGTCGTCAACTGAGTCAGTTAATCGACTCGGGTGCTGTGTTTCGTGGATCTCTTGGTTCTATTTCTACCTGTCATATTCTCATTGCAGTTACAATCAAAACTCTCATCCTGGCGAACTCTATTCTGTCACATTCCACGTATGCTGCTTCACAAAATACAACAAGGACATAAATGGCATGAATAGCTGAAAGCCGACATTCAAAATGGACTGGCAGTTCCCCAACTCAATCTCTTTTTTGAGTCGGTTTTCGGTGTTCGATTCCCTGACCTGTCCAGCAGGTCGTTTTGCTCGTTAATATCGGGCTCCATACAAAGGACTTCATCGTCCGAACTTTTCAACCCCCATTATCCACTTGCTGATGCTCTCAACTGCTTTCTGAACGCCAATGCGCTTCTTTCTCCCTTCCTCGTTTCTATTTTAATCATTATTCTTCAGCTTTGTAAATATCCGTGGGATTGATTCTGCATCTTGGACACTGTTCTTTTGTCTATCTCATTGCTATTAGTTCCGTTCTTTTTCCAACTTCTATTCATATTTTCCTAGATGTCCATAGCTTGCGCCAATCACGGCGGCGGGACCGCATACTTTTGGTGACAGCTATTTTCTCCTCATTTCATTGGCATGCATTGTTATCCCTGGTCCGGAGCGGAGAAAGGAGAACGTATTTAACAGAGGCGTATATAGTTAACAAGCGTTTGTAGTTGCCGTGGATGTTTTCGCATCCGAAAGGTTATATTCTTCACCCAGCTCTAAAATCTTTGCCATTTGCTTGCACATGGCAAGTCATAATTTTTTCCCCCTTATTCTTGCAGACTTCTCAATGAGATGTTCGGAGACTGCTCTGCGCTACAGACTTCTGGAGAACTTCTCGTATATACTCTCGTACTTTCGCTAATTATGGGCTTAATACACCAGTTATTCAATACCCTCTATACATGACCCACTTAAAATTAACCTGATAATAGCTATCTAACATCCCTCATACCAAATACTGATATCTCGGGAATCAGCTGGCCATCGCGAGTGTCCGAAACAATGCGCTATCGAAAGCTCGAAAGCAGCGCATCGCCTTGGAATTTGGCTATATAAACACTGTCCTCCACGACGCCCCGAAGCCTGGTCTGCAAGGGAAAATGGAAATATTCAATGAGACAAAAGAGCGGAGTTTTTCCGCCCAAGCCATCCTCGAAACAATGCACTACATCTTCCAGAAACTCGAGGGGCATGACTGTCGGGGACTGGAGCAATCCAACCCTATCAGAAACACAGCGAAAAAAACAACAAAAACAAACCCAAATATGCCGCTGCACTCTTGAGACAAAAACTGCGTTTTCCAAGCCCACTACGATCCCGTCCGCCTAGTTGCCGCCATTCAGATCCACATAATACACATGTCCACGCCCACGAAACTACAAAGGATGAGGTCCTGGCCGTCCAGCGCCAGCTCCTCCTTCACCCAGAAGACACTGCCAAAATGAAAGGTTCCTGTCTGGTCTTCTCCATCAGCCTGGGGGTGACTTTTATCTTCGTCGATTTGTCCACGTGCCCGGCTCTCCTCTCGCTACGAGTGCCAGGTTTTGCTCCTGAGCCTGACCTGGATGATGGCTGGCGGGTGCGCACGGGTGAAGATTCTCCTTCTCCCTTTTGTGGCTGCATGTATTTTCCCCAGCCACAGGCGGATTTCACAGAAGGACCATATATCACGCGGCTGCGTGTGCGGGTTATTGCAGCGGGGTTGGAGGAGGTTGCATTGGCGAGTGGGTGCTGCGCACTAGCGGCTTATCTGGCGTTACAGAAAAAGGGGGGGGGGCCCAATTCGAGACATGTCTATGCTATTGAGCAAGGTGTAGATATTGGCAGGAGGAGTCAGTTGTGTGTGTTGAGGTTCGGCTGAATGACTTGGGGACGGGGGTGTCGAGAGTTACGCTTTCTGTGAAGGCGACGTTCGTGATGGAGGGGAAGTTGCTGCGAGATGTTCCTTTCTATTCTTTTACCTTTACTTATTCTGCTTCGATTTCATCATGAGGATTATTGTCCCCAAAATTTATTTCCCATGACCCATTTCTTTACAATATTCCATTTGCAAATGCACAAATTATATATGCCTCCAAGTGTTTGGGATTCGGGAACATACACGTCAAGCATGCAAGAGAGAACGAAAAAGGAAATTGAGCCGTTTATCAGCAGCATTCTATCTTTGCAATTGTATTTCCGATGTACGGGGCCCACGTGGCGTTCGTGGCTCCATGTGCATTTTCGACCTCGAGCGAGCGGAGAGTCAATGCGCCTCATAAATAATCCAAATTAATGCCGAACCTCCTTTTCTCATCAAAATTATCAACATTCACTTTTGGTCTACCGTGCAGAGTTGCTACACTCTCAATTAACTCAAGTCCTCCTGCCTCTTTTTAACATCTCTTCCGTCGCCCTTTTCCTTTTATATGCAATAGTGAAATAACCACAATTGTAAACTCCACTTACATTCAACTTCCTATCCAAGACAATAGCCATGTATATGTTCTGTACCCAATATCAGGGTATCTACATACAGACATATGTTCATACATTCGCCCGATCCCTCGGGTAACATCTGTGTACTAAGAATCCCAGGATCAGCTGCTTAGCATCAGAGTTGGGCACATGTGCTACATCGCGCAGTTGTACAGAACTTACATACACATGGATGAATACATACAAGGGCATCGGTGTATGGACCAAAACAAGCAAGACTATTTCATAAGTACAGAGAAGATCAAAACTTCTGAAGAGTTAACAACGGGGTATAAAAAAACAGCACATGTTCTTTTGCGTAGGTAGATTTAGGAATGTGGATAAAAATACATACCGATCGCACATCTCAAAATATCGCTTCATCGTCCACGATGCGCATGCCGTACGAGCATGGCAGGGCAAAAATAAGATATATCGCACCCATCTCCCGCCCTCTCTCGTCGCCTGCGGGCCCAACCGAAATCAAACTACCTGAAATGTGGAATGCACACCTGAATGAGCACCATAGACGAATGGAGGGCCATGTGGCCGTTGAAGGGATTAAGAGGAACAGACAAAATTAGCTGGAAGGCATGTTTTCCTTATAACTCTGTAGGTGAGAAGGGGAAAGATAATTATATATACATACAAGTCAGCTAGGTGGTCATCCAAGCAAGACGAGTCTGATTTGGAAGCAATGATAGATAATCTAGCCCATTTCCCCCCAGCCGATCACACTTTGCACTTTATAACATGAATCTCAAAGTGCAATGGAACTGGATATTTAGCAAATATGAAAAGGAAAGAAAGGGAGAAGAAAAGGTAGTAGAAATAAGATGTATTCCTTTTTGTAGATGGACGGGGGTTACGGGGTTAGTAAGAAGAAGATATATTCATTCATCATGGACAGCCTCAATACACGACTTGCAAATGAATACATTCAAGAAGCAGGTTGAACAAGATGAAGAGTCACCTAGTTCCCCATCTTCTAAAGATGGGTGCAGCTGAAATATTTGGTAACACGGACTTGTGATTCAGACGGTCGATAGAGGATTCATAGTATTGGATTCCGTTTTGAAGAGTGCATGAGACCGATGTTCGAGAGGTTAAACCGCGTGCTTTATTTTCAATACACGGGGAGTGAACTTTTATGGGTCGTACACGATTTTGCCTTGAGCCTCGAGTGAACCTCAGACGTAAATTTCAGTTAGATGGGGAATTGAGGACGAAAATCGCCGTTGAAAAGCTCATGCAATGATGAATCGCCCCTCTTTCTTCCATGATTGTAACTTGTGAAAATAGAGATGAAGGCTACACCGGTCATTCACAGCACAGAGTTTGAGGAGACTTCAGAAACAGGAAAAGGGGCAATTCACATGACAACGGAAAGTTCGGGTATATCTTCGCTGGATTCGGATGGAATTCCGCTCTGCTTCCCGCGCTCCGCCCCCGCCAATGTTTCCGCCTTGCGACGACCGAGAATCCCGGGGATTTGTGGACTTGTAATCCAATTTTACTCAAATAGGGGCCGTACCTCCCTCACCACAGCTTTTAGTGTGATGGGAAAAGATATAGCCTGCCTCGCTTCTGCATCCTATGATCTAAACCGATTCTCTTTTGCCCATCATCGGCCACTTAACCAAGCCATCTTTTCGACCTTGCAAATTCATCCATAAAGTCCGGAGCAGACGACACATTTCCCAATTGAATCATGCTTTGTTGGGTGCATCCCAGGCCATCGTTGGCTAAAAGAAAATGCACATACATATATCTTGACATACCAGTCTATGAGCTGCAATACCAAAGTATATGCTCTTAAACAATTTGAAAAGAAGGTTTCAGTCGAAAAGATTTGTCGAAGCAGTTATTCTGTTCAACAAAGATGAAGTTAGTATCCGAGGGATCATTGACTGAGTCAGTGTGGAAGTAGCTAATTTGTGAGCTAGCAACCTTAAGCAGTATGATAATGGAATTCTTTCCAGATTCCGAGGAGATTGATCAAGACAGTGATGATATCATAGCTTTAATCTCAGACAAGCTATTTCACACACGGCCACCCAGTCTTATATCTAGGTTTCTGATGGAAATGGCTGTGTGTTAACTCTTTTCAGAAATGACAAGGGGAGATTCACTCATGCATCCTTTGGTTTCCTAGAAGCAATTTTCAGACAGTGAAGTGGAAATAAACCATAAAAGAGATTTGCGGTCATAAAAAGGGGACAACCTGGAAGCTGTGGTTTGATCCGGCACTAAGTCGGAAACGAGCATCGAGAACGGCCAAATACCTCCAGGAATACTTTTTCCGTATTGTCACACCCAAATCGCTCCAAAATTTGTACAAAGTGAATGAATTAGAGCTAAAGAAGAAGCAGAACCAGCGGGATAGACACGGGTGTAGAACTGTTCAAGATCCCTCTAGAATGTCAAGGGAGATATTCGATGTAGAAATTCAGCAGCTCCAACAACTTCGACCGGTAGTTTTCTCCATCCACACCTCCAGCAAGTATGCAGCGGTGATGGCCCCCACATTTCCCGGGAATAGTTATATATAACCGGGAGGCAATCAATCAAATACAGAAATACCCCGGCTTGATACACGGATGATTTCAGCTCCTATGTTCATCTCTTTTGTAGCTGACGCCGGGTTGATAGAACAGATCAGGAGCTGCGACGGGCGACACGGACGATAGGGTGGAGAAGGGAAAAGGGAAAATGAGAAGATCGTTCTTCGTCGGGAATATCGAGGTAGAGCGGTGCCCCAAGGCCCAAGCAATGGCTGTTTGACGAAGTCTGACTCCAGACTGAGGTGCGGCAGTCCGTGTTCGATGATCCATGGATGCTGAGAGATCCCGTCCAAATGTAGTTAAGCCGCATCTGTCTTCCAACGTCAAATCCCTTTCCGGCTCCTCTCTTCCAACCTCAACCAACCTCACTATCGTGTCCATATATGCCTTCTCCTTGATATCGCCATCCAACCCAGACGGTGCTTTCCCATCTCCTAGACATCATCTTGCAAACGGCAAGGTCTCACCAGCCACTGACTTCATTCAGTATAGTGGCTGTCCCTGGATTTCCCAACATGGAATTGGTGTTCCTGGAGATGATTTCCTGGTCATCTCTCCCCTAACACTCCTGCGACGGACTCTCCGACGTTCCAGTTTCACTCTAAGTAATCTCACCTCATGCGTCCGGTATGGGTTATTCATACCGACCCTTCATGCTCCTCCTGCCTTGGCAGCTTTTATACAACTATACATGTTGCCAATTTTCCTCTTCTTCACTTTCCCTTTTTCCCTCCATCCCCCTTTTCTCCTTTGAGTTGCCTATTATTTTTCTTCTCTCTTCTCTCTTCTCCATATTGGTCCTTTGATGTCCATATGGTCGTTTTGAGGGATTGCACTCTTTTCTCACCCCCTAAATCTCCCTCCGTAAAAAAGAGCTGCTGCACATTCCTTTTTGACTGACGTTCATACTTTCGCGTTGATCGTGGAACTCTTGTTAAATTCTATTCTTTTCTATCTTATTACTCTCTCTATTCGGGGTATCTCCCATTGATACATTTTGTCTTGATATTTTCGACGAGTCAGCTTTACCTTCTTTTACACTGTGGCACTTGAAATAATCGAGGACTATTGGAATCCTCAAACATCGCAATTACCCTCTACACAATCGGCGTTCGACAGTCATGCAGTACAAAGGCATTTTGCTTGCTTTGGTTCTCTCGTCCGGCCTGCTCGATGTAGTCGTCGGTGGGGATCTCCGCGCTCGTCAGGCCGGCGCCCAAGATGCAGTAGGTCGTCCAGGAGGTCAGGGCGGCCAGAGGGGCCAGGGGCGCCAAGGGGGCCAGGGAGGTGAGGGAGGTCGTCAAGGCCAGGGAGGCCAGCAAGGTCAGGGAGGCCAGCAAGGTCAGGGAGGCCAGGGAGGCCAGGGAGGCCAGCAAGGTCAGGAAGGCCAGGGAGGCCAGGGAGGCCAGCAAGGTCAGGATGGTCAAGCTCAGGGCGGCCAAGCACAGGGAGGTCAAGCACAGGGAGGTCAAGCACAGGGAGGCCAAGCACAGGGAGGTCAAGGACAGGATGGTCAGGCCGAGGGTCAAGGGCAAGACGTCCAAGGGCAGGGCCAGAACAATGGCCAAAATAACCAGAACAACAACAATGCCCTCCAGCTCAATCCGGAAAACGTCCAGGAGGGTAGCCAGAACGACGGAACCGCTGAAGCTGAAGTGGGACAATCCCCTTCTCTTACGTAAGAACTTCAACCCATTGCCCCATAGTGTTGTTCTCATACTAACGATCTACAAGCGACGACGCCAACTTTATCAATTTCTGTACTGGGAAGACATTGACAAACGGTCTTCAACGGGAAGAAGGCTCTTGCAACGGCATTGGTATGTTTATTCGACATTACGTCACCCCTATACTACTTGAAGAACCAGCACCTAATCGGAGCTGCGCATAGTTATGGGTGACATCCCTTCTCGCAACAACATGGTTTCCTGTATTATTATGAACCCGGCTCCTGGTGAAGATCTCGCGGAGAACACCGATTTCACAATTCAAATCCAAGTCGACAACCTCATAGCTGGTTCTTTCACCAATCCGGACATCACTTACTACTCAGCTCCGCAGCAACTTACTCAAGGAACCATCGTCGGCCATAGTCACGTCACTATCCAGACCCTTGGGAATAATATCAATGCACAGACTCCACCGGATCCGGACGAATTCGTCTTCTTCAAGGGCATCAATGATCCCGGCAACGGACAAGGTGGACTCGCAGCTGATGTTGATGGCGGTCTCCCGGCTGGTGTCTATCGTCTCTGTACCATCAATTCAGCCAGTAACCATCAACCTGTGCTCATGCCGGTGAGTTTTCCCCTATAATTTCAGCTGCATTTAAAATGACGAGAATTAACTGGCTTTCCTTAGGTTGCTCAACGTGGTGCTCAAGACGATTGTATCCGCTTTACTGTTGGCCAAGGAAATGGGGGGAACAACGGCCAAGATGGTCAAGGCCAGGACGGTCAAGGTCAAGATGGTCAAGGCCAGGACGGTCAAGGCCAAGATGGTCAAGGCCAAGATGGTCAAGGCCAAGATGGTCAAGGCCAAGATGGTCAAGGCCAAGATGGTCAGGGTCAAGGCGGTCAGGGTCAAGGCGGTCAGGGCCAAAGTGGTCAGGGTCAAGGCGGTCAGGGTCAAGGCGGTCAAGGTGGCCGAAACAGAAACCGTTTCGGTCGCACTAGGCAGCGCCGGCCATTCGTCAAGAGATCGTTCATCGCTTGAGTTGGTGCAGTTCAATAGCTAAAGACCTGACCTAAGTCCCGACAAGGAGGGTGCTTAGCCTACTTTACCCCAGTCCCTGGTGCGCCGCCCCTGCGACGCCGTTCGTGTGAAGGGAGACATATACCTTGCTAACTTTAAGTTGCTTCCTTCGCAAGGAATAATACCCTCACCTCCCAACACTTTTTCCCATTTGTTTGATATTTCTTCATTCCAATCTCTTATATATTCCCTGTATCCAACCATGCTTTTTTGCATTCATGCTACACTTTCTTCCCTCGCCTTTTTGGACCCAGAATATCCTATGCTTAAGAAGATAAATGCCTTTTTTTAAACATGGATTCATAAGTCTATATGTGATATCTGTTCCGAGTTGTTTATGTGTACGTGCCGTGTCTAATTGGATCTCTTTCGATACATCACGTTGCCAGAGGCCAGAGAATCAGTTGTTAGTTTAATTTACTAGACTTAGGATATGTGACATGTTCCGCACTTAAACTACACACTTTTCCCTCATAAAATCATCCTCCAGCCTGCATCAGTTATGGATTTAATTTTCAATCCAGGGACAATCGCATTCCAAAAAAATATTGCAAAACATCTCTAACAAAAAGCAAGAACGATTTCTCAGCTGTAGTGCCAGTAACAGTAAAATTCGACGGCGAAGAACCCCTCCCTCACTTTTACACCGTAGCGGGACCCATGAATCGGATATTACGCGAGATGTTTGGGAAGAACAAAAATGCCAAGACGATCAGTTAATATCACATGATGTTCGCAAACCCTTATCGATAACTAGTTAAAAAGATCAAAAATTCGAGTCAACACTCCGTCCGGCATATCACTCTTCTTTGCCCCATTTTCTCAATTGTCTATGGATCAAAACTCCAATCCCGAAGTCAATCCATTTCTTTGTAGATCCGACTCCGCCCAGAACGGATCCTCTGCGTGATGCTCGCGATCCCCAGCACCCAACGAGCCAGAAAGATAACAATACCACAGAGCAATGACATCCTCATCCCCCCTGCTTGTCCTTCCGGGTGACCCAATCTCCTACCCACGCCAACAATCCCATCAGACTGGCCCCACTAAGCTCTCGTCAGGCTTAAAATTTCTAGAAACTCCCGCCAACAACCCCTCCACCTCCATAATCATTCCAACCCAAGCCGGCCTCATAACCAGCGACGCCAAACGCAACACCCTTACCCTCCACACCTTCCCACAACGCCGCTACATCCCCTCCCCTAATGATTTAATAATCGCCCAAATCCACCACACCAGCGCGGACTACTTCCACTGCACCATAACCCCGCACACCCCGCCCGCATTCCTAGCCCAACTAGCCTTCGAAGGCGCTACGCGCAAAACCCGCCCGTTCCTCAAACATGGCGACCTCGTCTACGCGCGCGTCTTATCTACCGGCATCGGCAATGCGGGCGGGGAGGTGGAGCTTACGTCTGTGAATCCCGCGACGGGGAAGGCGGAGCCGGGTGGTCTGGGGCAATTGATGGGTGGGATGGTGTTTGAAATTTCGACGGGGTTGGCGGAGAGGTTAATGATGAGGGGTGGGAGTGAGGGGGGGAGCGGGATTGTGGTTTTGGAGGAGCTAGGGAGGAAGTTGGAGGGTCATGGTGGATTTGAAGTTGCGGTTGGGAGGAATGGGAGGGTCTGGGTGGATTGCCCGGCTGCGAAGAAGGTGGGTGGGGATGCGGATGCGGCGAAGGGGGTGAGGATTACGGTTGCGGTTGGGAGGTGTTTGAGGGAGACGGATGAGAAGGGTTTGGGAATGACAGAGCAGCGGAAGCTAATAGGTAGGGTATTGAGGGAGATGGGATTGGGGAGTTAGCTCATGAGATTTTTGTATACTTGGGCTTTCTGTATTTCTGTTTGCTTTTACGAAGGCTACGCTGGAGTTAATTATCGACTATCGATAGACGTTTTGTGTTTTGCACTATTAGGGTTTGGATTTTGATCTACTACCCCTGGAATTTGTTAGAGTTGATCTGGAAAATTCGCATTTAGTTATTCATCTCGTAATAATCATAATATCTGCAGCAAATTAAGAATTAGATGAAATTGCGCCATCGGGGATACCAATTCCTTCATCCTCATCCCCTGGCTGGGTAGGAATATTATAAGACAAAAACAAATCCAGGACGCCCTCTTGGTTTCGTCTGTAAATCGTCATATGAACTTTGGAAATTGATCAGAAACAACAAAAGATAAACCGTTGCCGCATTCGCTGTTGCCCTCTATGCCATAATGAGCATGCGAATATAATCATAATTTCACCTTAAAACCAAAAATCCAGAATAAAACATACTCGGCGGAATCTTCTCACTTCATTCTCCCCGTTTAAACTGCGACCCAATCCAAATCCTCGCGCACCACGCCGTCACCAAAGCGTCCATCAACATTTCATCTAAAGGGGCATCAGCGTCAATTTGCAACCGCGGCTGGCGCATATGACCACTAACATCGTCACCGGAACCACGCGCAACCGTTTCCACAGCAACGGTACCCCCCCCACCATCCTGCCACCGCAGCATCTCCCGCCGCTGCGAACTCCGAGTCGGCTTCACCCGAAATAGCATTGTCTCCGTGTTCCTGCGCACATGCCACAGCACCCACCCAGACTTCAACAGTTTTTGCGTGGGTTTCAAAAGTAGAACGCCGGGAATTGTGCTCCGGCTTCGACCGGTGATTTCCACTGTGTTGAGCATGGGCAGTCGTCTAAAACTGTAGATATCCTTTTCACGCGGTTGCACGGGCCATATGTTTGCATTCTGTCTACTGCGACGCGGCACTAGGCGGGATATGGTGATTTCATGGTGGCCCAGGTCGAGGTGGAAGGAGGTGGCATAGAGGGCGGTGGCAGGGGGTGTGGTTGGATAGATTAGAGTGCCATCCAAGGTTATATCGTGTATATTAGGAGGGGGAGGCTGTTCGGAGAACCCAATTGTCGTTGAATATAAAGTTGACTGAAGATGAGGTTCGGAGTGACTGTGAAACGGTTGAACGACTTGGTCTGATTGCTGCTGCGGGTACTGAGATTCTGTCTCTTCGTAGGATGGTGGAGGATCCGAATGAGGTTGCGGCAATGTATCGGCCATTGCTTTGATATTTATTTGTTCTCTATAAGAACGATAAGGACAATTTCACTTAGACGGATGTGTATAAGATGTGAAGTGTTTCGCAAGAATATATCTAGTTTGAATAGAGATTGCGCTCTGATATCTCTGCGGTTTAACAGGATTTCGCGGGTAATAACTGCTGCACAGATAAACGAACTTAAGTCACTTGGCAAAAGCTTCGTATAAAATGGGCGCGAAGGCGGGCATTATTGTATTTAATTTCCTTCGATCTTATTAATAGTCAGATTGCTAATTGCTATATAACATATCTTTAGGATGGTTAATTATTGGAGAGAACTATAATATGCTGCAACTATATATGCTGCATCACGTGGGGTGGTCCCGCCACCGGGACGTCGTGTGTACGCCCCAACAACTAACAGCACAGCTATTGTCGAAGAGGCTGTGTTGGAGGGTGTTTAAATGTAGAACACCAAGCGTGTCAGGATATCTCAATAGCTAATGTTGCATCAAGTTGAGCTGTATATCCTCTGCATCTGTCTTCTATCTAACTGCTAGGAAAATAAGCAGAAAAGAGAATGTGCTGGGCTGACTAAGCGACTAAATGACTCATTCAACCACATGACTCATTGCCAGATTCTGACATAATCTTGACAAAGCGCCTGCATAACAGATGATAGATGCTGTAGTTAAGCTTTAAAGAAAATATAAACATCATCGATGCTGGGAATACAAATGACTCAGATGTGCTGCTATCTTGTTCGTCAGCATGACCCTTCCTTCAATTGATCGGCGTTATGAACGAAAACCTTGTAATTCCGACAGTGGAATTCGTAATCTCTGCACGCTGCTGACACCGGAAGAACGCACAATAGGACATCTAACCGTATCTCAAAAGCAGCAGAGAGGCTGCTACGCTTTCGGATACATCACAAGCGAGAACATATACCGTAGGTTCTCGATCAAGCCTGGGAAGATCTAACAGCAGCTTCTAATACCTCAATCGATGATTGCATTCAATCCTCAATGTATCGGATGCAGAGGGTAGCACCCGTATATATCCTGTCAATGGTTATAATAAAAAGCGTTAAGTCATTGGTCCCACAAAATCGTATTCTTTAGCGGGGTGTGCAGGAGTGCGTGCGGTATCCGTAAGATTTCGCGGATGGCATTTAGTAGACACGTTCATTTCAATGTGACCGCAATCTCCACCATATTCACCCAGCGTGTTCGCGACTCTAACAGTTCGCCATCCGAATCAACTGCTTCGTTCCGTCGCCTCTTCCTTTTCTTCGTTGTGGGTTTCAGCTGTTCTTGTCTATCTCTGCCTTTGCCCTGACCCGAGTCCAGGGTCTCATCACCTCCCTCGGTCGTTTTCTTAGATACGTCAGGGACGGTTTCATTTTCTCCAGCCTCTCCTCTTTTCTCTTTGTTTTCATGGTTCCGCTTCAGGCTCTCGTCCTCCACGATATCATCCACCACCATCACAGCCCCAGTATTCACCCTGATCGCATATTCCTCTTTTCCCTCAAACCATTTCCCTATGCTTACCGCCTTCTCAATTGCTCGACCAGTGGCTTTGATAAAAACTTCCTCCTTTTTCAGTTCCTCTGTGCTCTCCGTAAGATTCGCAAGCTTCTGCTTCTCGCTGGCTTTACTACTTAAATCGATTTTGGATGTGGCGCGTCGTTCAGCTTGTTTCAGAAGTTTTTGCACACGTTTGGCGGCACTCATAAATGGCGTATTGGTCGAAACATAGACGACTTTGGGTACTTTCGCGCAAGCATAGGGAGAAGCCGACGGAGGGTGGGGAATGGGTCTTCTTTGTATATACGCATCTTTCGAGTGAGAATGTTTTAGCAATGTATTTCGAGGTCAATTTGGAGGTTTGGCGACATACAGCTGGGGATTTTTCGCATCTTTTTATTTTTCTTCTCGAACTTCAGTTCAGGATGGGGTTTTGGCTTCGTCATTTTGTTGCGGGTAGATATATAAGTTTTTAATATGCTCAAGTGGATCGATTACAGGAGATATGAAGTGCTGGCTGCTTGCTGCAACCAAATATTTTGTTGATCAATATCAAGGCGCCAGCTGTTTGCTCTGTTTGCCATGGATCGATCCATGGAGCAATTGTTAGGGCTGAACACGGCAATTTTTCCCGACCGACTTCGTTTAAAGATTATTTGCCCAAAATTTCTCGAGTCCGGAGCTTCTCACAGCCCGACAGCAAGGAAAAAAGAACGAAATCCCCGGCCCCTTCCTATGTCCCCCTTCTCCTCTGTCAGGTCCTTTTGTTAATACTGCTGTCCCATACGCCCTCAAAGACTACTATGAGTGAAGAAACGAACGGGGTCTCCTCCGAGTCCGGAGGAAGATGCGCTATCGGTCTATCCTTTGGAAACACCAACAGCTCAATAGCTTACACATCACCAGTGAGTAACATGCTCTAGATATCCGGAATGATGATATGTGGCGTCGGCTGACATTGCGTGTTCTTAATCGTAAAGGAAGGGAAAGCGGAAGTAATAGCCAATGAGGAGGGAGGTATGTTTGGACTCGCATCTACGATATATTATTGATATCCAGGGACTAATGGACTCTGAACAGACCGTCACATACCCTCCATTCTTTCATACGTTGATGCGGAAGAATACCATGGAAACCAGGCCAAAGCGCAGCTTGTTCGAAATCCTTCGAACACCGTTGCTTATTTCAGAGACTTTCTAGAAAAAGAGTAATTTGCCTTGTCTCCTCCCTTTATCTCCAAGCCCGTATCAATCCATTATTTGATTGACGCTGATCCTGTCTTATTATCTATATTGTCTCGGAAACGAAGCTAACGTTCCATATCAATAGCTTCAAATCGATAGATCCAACTCCCTGTCATGCGTCTGCCCATCCTCAATTGCATGGTTCCACCATCGCTTTCAAAATCCATGATACCGCCAGCGAAGAACCCAGCACAGTGACGGTCTCAGAAATAGCTATTCGCCATCTGCGTCGTCTCCGGCAGTCTGCATCTGAGTTCCTTGGAAAGGATGTGAATGCAGCCGTTGTCACAGTCCCCACAAATTTCTCAGATGCCCAGCGCTCCGCCTTGACCGTAGCTGCGAAAGCCGCTGGACTTGAAATCCTCCAATTTATCCCAGAACCGGTTGCTGCTCTACTAGCATATGATGCACGTCCTGAGGCCGTAGTGAAGGACAAGCTAGTTGTGGTAGCTGATCTAGGTGGCACGAGGTCCGATGTTGCCGTCATTGCGTCGCGGGGTGGAATGTACACCATCCTGGCAACTGCCCACGATTACGAACTTGGGGGCGCCCAACTAGATCAAGTCTTGATTAATCATTTCGCCAAGGAATTTATGAAGAAACACAAGACAGACCCCAGAGAAAATGCCAAAAGTTTGGCTAAACTGAAGTTGGAGGCGGAATCAACTAAGAAGGCCTTAAGTTTAAGTACCAATGCCACTCTTAGCATCGAAAGTCTTGCGGATGGAGTTGATTTCAGCTCTACCGTCAATAGAACAAGATACGAGCTTCTTTCCGCAAAATTGTTCTCCAACTTCACCAAGCTAATCGAGGAGGCCGTGAAAAAAGCCGATCTGGACATCCTCGATATTGTTGAGGTTCGACCCCTGAAATCTCCGATTTAGTCTGGTTGTCATTTTCCTTGCTAACCTGTAGATGTTAGGTTATCCTTTCTGGTGGAACATCTCACACTCCAAAGATCGCACGACTTGTCCAATCTCTCTTCCCTGCCACAACAACAGTCCTCGCTCCATCCACCTCACCAACTGCCATCAATCCATCCGACCTGTCCGCGCGCGGTGCCGCAATCCAAGCTTCCCTAATCGAGGAGTTTGAAACAAATGACATCGAACAATCCACCCACCCCATGGTCACTGTAACCCCCCACCTCCAAAACGCCATCGGTGTCCAACTCATCACCGCCACCGACGACAAATACGCCGTCTTTAAACCACTCCTTAATGCCGAAACAGCCCTCCCTGCCCGCCGCACTGCTCATTACGCCGTTCCCAAAGCTGGCGGAGACGTCCTTATCCGCGTCTGTGAAGGTACCCGCGAGATCAAAGTCACGAAACCTGAGCCTAAAGAGAAGCCTGCCAAGGCAGCTGATGGCGAGGACGAGGATTCCGACTTTGACTCCGATGACGACGAGGAGGAAGATATCAGAGAAATTGCCTGGAAGGTGTCCAAGCCAATTGCAGAATTTGCAATCAGGGGTGTCAAGCCCAATGGCAAAGTTGAGGTTATGGTGGCCGTGAGTGAGCAGCTGGCTGTCCAGATCACAGCGCGTGAAGTTGGTGGAAAGGGTGGTGTTAGGGCTCTGGTGGAGCCGCCAAAGGCGACGGAAAACGGAAGTGCTTAAATTCGTTGCCTGAACATAACTCCTTTGGCGTCTTGTTTTAAAACTCTTTGCGAAGTCTTTGATGTTGTTTTCCTTTTTTTGGTAAACAAAATAATTAGAGGAATAAATCATGTTAGGTCTTCTTTTTTTTTTTTTTTTTTTTTATTTATTTTTCTTCTGAGTGATTTTCTCCATTTACGCCTTGCATTTTATATAGTGGACTAAAAAGACACTAGATATTACTAACCAGCAGTAAACATGAACTATGACAAGCGGTAAAAACTGTCGCATCGATGAAATCAACAACCACATCCCGATAGTCCACACTACCTCTCATTTTCACCACAAAGACATGACATGGATCACCCTCCCAACCACCCCAGAAGACGTCAGTTAAATCAAAGGAACTGAGGAAACCAGATTGGAAATTTAGCGTCCAGAAAACAAAACAGCGCCTGGAAGGAATGAATCATGAAAAAAAACTCCATGCACCCAATGGGCACCTGTGCCTTTTGCAGTGAGGAATTGCCGAGGGTAATAACATAAAAAGTGGGAGGATGCGAGGGAGAAAACAAAAAAGGACACTGCACTAATTATATAATAATATAAGAAGCGGAAGCAGGAAAAACCTATATTCAGCCCGTGCAACCAACCATGAAGGGTCATTTAAGGTTTCCGCTTTCTCACCCTTCGAGAGAGTGTGGTTAAAGTTGAGAAGCCAATCAAGGAAATCTCGACTATTAATTTCACCTTTAAGCATATTCCTTGTCTGCCGTGGCTTCAGAGGAACTTCGTTTGGTGCTACGGGTTTGGGGAAAGCCTCCATGATGTTGTTGTTTCGGAGCAGCGGTGCCAGCGACACTTGCCCCAGCACTCCGCCGCGATGAGGAGTGGACACCAGCTACGCAGTATAGAAGGCTGGCAAGGAACAGGAGGGTCACAGCGGTCCACATCCATGCAAATGCCTTTGTACCTACTTTGGCGGGCTGGCCGTTTGACGAGAAATTATTGCGACCCTTAACATAGCCGACGCTGTCGTTGCGAAAAGTTAGTAATTTGGTGCCATTGAACAAAAAAGTGATGAGAAAATGGGTGAGTGTGTGCCTGGGTCAGCGTTTCATACGTCATTAGTGTTGTGGTGATAATCTGGAAAATCAATCCGAGTGATGTAAAAAAGGAGGAGAGCCAGCCTCCAATGCTTGTGCAAAAAGCTAACAATCCAGTTGCCATTGCCACGAAAATCCAGAAAAGGCCAATTAACATGAATGCGAACATAAACCGGGTGATGAAGAAGTATTTGCGGGTTCTGCAGTTGGTTAGTTAATCATTCAACTACCGGAGTGCCCCGTGTGTATATCCTGCCCACACACACCCCCTATTCTTTTTATTGAGTCGTTTGACAGGCGATACGGTGACTTCAGTGGAACAAAAAGCAAACGACTTCAAGGCGGAACACAGCGCAGAGGGAGAGGATCAACAATACCCAATATATTGGCTGGGGACACCCTCAGTGGTACCAAAATTTCGATTCGAAGGAGGATCGAGAGGAAACCCTGGAGAGGTGCCGTTGCAAACGTTTTTCCCATCTTCGACACCGCATATACCCCAGAAAGTCCATCTTGATATGAGTTGGGCGCCGGGTATTCTCGAAGTATCTGCCTGCAGGAACCATGTGCGATCCAGGGGTGTTTTATTTTGTGCTCCTCCCAGCAGTGTGAGCATCATAAGTAGCCACGCTGCAGCTGTGAATATAAGCGCCACTAGGGCGACAAGTGGTTCTAGGAAAGATTCAGTAAGCTAGAATGTCGACATAAATTTAATTTTAGGAGAGGAGAACTCACTGCGGGCACCCATCCTCTTCAAGGCTTGATCCAAGGCGCAACAGGCAATGAAAAGAAGTTTGGGTATCCGAACTAGGTGGATAAAGGAACTCAGGAATTCAAGAGTAATTGCTTTTGCCTCCTTTGTTTATTAGAGAATAGTAACTCTAAATAATCACTGATATTGATTCCAATAGAAAAGGGAGGTAGAACAATAAAATAAGTATGACAGTCAGTGAGTAGAGCAAGCCAACCCCAGTCAGTGACAAATGTTAGAGAACAGAATAGAAAGGGGCAAAAAGGTGACTGTGGGAAATATATCGACAGACAGACACAAATAACATCACCAAATTTCCCAAGTTTGTTTATACGAACGAGCTGGTTTAACGTTAGTTACCCGGGTTAACTATGACATAGTTACTCACGTGGCCGATGAATCCGGGGTTAGTCTATGGGTCCCGGCTCGGCACCCTAGCCGTATATGGTTAGGAAACCAACTTTATCTGACCCCGGGCCCCACTTGAGCTGCATTAGGAAAGGCACGCGGCAGCCTCGAGTGACATTCGCTGCCATTTCGCTGAACCAGAACCACCAAAACAACTGTCATTCTCCCATGACGTCGGTTGCCGCCAGAGCTGAACATCTGATATGACAGCTTCTCTGGCTCTTCAAGGTTTGGTTGTCCTTTTCTGACAAAGATTGGGTTTATATCGGAACCCAAATGAGCACTGTGAAGGGTGTCGCTTCCTGTATTCCCTGAGCTCGTGACTGCTCTGCTCTGTCTTTGGGCATATCAGTGAAATATTTCTTGGTGATACCTTTTGTCTTTTTATTCCTCTTCGATCTTTGGCTTTGGATCATGGCTACTTGGGCCTATCCCCAACTCCCGCCCGATCGACTGAAAAGAGAGGAAGACGATTCATTGGTAAACCCAATCTCCAACCTACCATTCCGTTTCCCGCGCTGATGTTCGGCCCGGGAAGGCCCGGGAATTGAAATGGTTTCTAGGTTCCCTTCAAGAATCCCTGGCTTCGTTGCGGGATGGCCTGCAGGAGAGTGCTGCACTCTTATCACCAACTATGCCCGGGTCAACGCTGGTTCTTTCCTCGTTGCGGTCTGAAAATGTGAAGGGATTTGTCACCAGGGTCGGCACAAAAATTGTGAAAGGAGTAGGTTTCTTGTACCCCTTGCTGTTCTTACATGCATCGAACTGCCAGTTTCCACGTCCCTCTTACAAATTGTGCGATTGCATCCCACTGACAATAATTGATCATGGGATATGAGCTGTTCAACTAGTGGCCGTATTTGAAGGCTAGAGGTTCGACATGGATTTTCTGGGCTGGGCGTTTAATTTTCTAGTTGTTGCTAACTTCTACTCCAAAAGGACATCCAACTCCGCTTACATTCGTTAACGCCCCCCAAGGGCTCCAATTCCACCAGGTTATTAGTTTCTGATGGACCGGGAGCGGCGGAGATTGCTCTCCGCCAACTTGTTCTTGTACGGCGCTTAATAAATGAGAGTCTCGATGTAATAGACGTCAGCACTTGGACAGGAGATCCTATGGATGCGAGCTTCATCTCAGGCCAGCTACGGTTACTACATGATAACCTGAGCGAAGCTCGACTGACATTGAAGGGCGAAGGAGAGAAGTCGAAAAAACCATGGTACGAAGATAGTGTGGATGAGAACGTGAGCCACCTCTCCCAATCTTTTAAGATCCCGCCTGATCGAGGCTCGCCATGATATCTTGAGAGCATTTTTGTTAACTGAGATAAAGGCCTTTGCCCCTCCGCTCCCACCATATGTGTCATTTCACCTCTCGATCTCTGAAGCTGCTCTGGTGCTAAATCTCCGAACCCTAGAGCCCGTCACGCCAGAAAACACCCCAGCAACATCTTTTGCCCCGGAAATATCTCTCAGTGGCTTTTCCTTACGAGATCGGATTTTTGGACCACGACATCCTGTTCATGACGAATCCGGCGACGTATTTAATTGGAAAGGGGAAGAGGTTAAAGTGAAGGAAAAAGTTCGAGTAGAGAGTCAAGATCCCAGTCTCCTGTCCGCCATGGCCAAGCTGACCGCTCTCGAACATGATGTTTCGAGGTGGAAATCAGCACTAGGCGTTGTCATGGAAGAAGACGACACAGATAATGAGTGATTAACTTATCCCTTCTGGTTGTAAACTTGCATCTCTCCTTTTTCATTTTCACCAGGAGTGTAGAACATCCATCCCACTTGGTAGCAATCACAAACCTTAATTAATAGCCGTGCCACGCGCACTCACTACCTCCCATTAGTGAGTGCGCCCCACTGTAAAGAAAATATCACCGTAACAAAAATCTCTTTCTTGTATATTCATCACCAATCTTCAAAATTTAATAACCACTACCACCACCATGCCTAAAAATATTAAATATTCGGAAGATCAGATTCAGATGGCATTAGACACCATAAAATCAAATCCAAATTTAAAAATCACAGATGTGGCGTGAGAATTCAAAATTCCATATAGAATTCTGTATGGACACATTAAGGGAAAGAGATCAAGGAATATAAGGGCTCCAATCAATTGAACATTGAGTGACAGCCAGGAGGAAGCAATCAAGAAGTGGATTCATCAACTGAATAAAAACTTTTGTCCTCCTACAGTTGAACATATTGAAGCTGCTGCAAATCAAATGCTGAGTCATTATCACATCAATCCAGACACCCCTCCTCCTACTGTGAGCAAGATGTAGGTGTATCAATTCATCAAACATCTGCCAGATTATAAGAGGATCAAGCAGAAACTTATAAATTCAAAATGAGTGTCAAATGAGAATATAAGCTTTGTTATCAACTGGTTCAATTGCTACAAATTTGTTTTCAATCAGTATAAGTTCCACACCAGTGACATTTATAATTTCAATGAGATTGGATTTCAAGAAGAAGAAAACTATGAGCAATAAGTTATAACTGCCTATCAAGGTGTTAATTCTGTCATACAATCATTATATTCTTGTAAGTTAATAATAGTAGTGAAATGCATCAGTGAAGATGATACAATGTTGAAGTTATTGATTATAATAAAATCAAAAATTCATCTAGAAGATTGATATATAGTTATACTTCAACCTGCTTGATAATTATATCATCATTATATCTGACACTGGCTTCACTAATGATGAGATTGAATTTGAATAAATAAAATATTTTAATACTACTACTAAGAAATGCCAGGTTGATAGTTATCAATTATTACTACTTGACAATTATGAATCTCATTTTATTGAAAAATTTCTTCAATATATAAGCTTTATAACATTATTATATTTGAATTCTCATCTTATATAAATTATATTACAATCTCTTGATGATATGCTTTTCCAGCAATATAAACATTATCATATAAAAATGATTAATGAGGCTACTCAATACAGATATAAACAATATGATAAGAGATAATTCCTTACTAATCTAGAGAGTATCTGACATTAAATCATCAAACCTGTCATTATCAAAGCTGAATTTACTAATTATAAAATCTATTTAATCAAATAAAAAATAATCCTTCAACATTTGAGACAACATAATATAGATGACAGCCCAGAGCTGCTTGTTTATGATAATAATAATGAAGAATGCTCCAGTTTTACTTCATCTTCTAAGATTTAACCTTTCACTGCATCTTTTCAGTTGACATCCTCAAATATAGTCATAAAACTACATCATCAAATCAAAGCAGCAGATAAGATCATACAAGAGATGAAAATCACTCTGATACCTGATCTGACCTGGTGATTGGATAAGATCTTCAAGAGAAGTCTGATACAGGCAGAATTGAATACACATTGAAAAAATGAGTTATCTGCTCATTATTTGATGAATAGACACTGAATTGTCAAAAACAGCCACAGGCAGGTGCAGGTAAGAGGGGTCCTCACTATCAAGAATGCCAATCACAAGATCAAGCATCATAAGGAAGAGGAATCAATAAAAGAGAGGAATAGAGCTCTATGGTCAGTTGAGATCAAAGTCCTCAAATCAAATGCCAACCAACCACAACATGATATTATTAATGAATCTCAATCTATCAGAGATTCTACACACTCTAATGAGTATATAGATAATCTTTATATTATAGATAGGCATGGTGTTGACCATTAATTAAATTTTGAAGATTGGTGAACCCAGAAGATTTTCATTACAGTGATATTTTCTTTTACGGTGGGGCGCACTCACTAATGGTGAGTGCGCGTGGCACAGTTATTTGGGTAGTTTCCGCCGGCGGGCAGAATGCTTTGGCTCAGCCAATCAGATTCGCGATCTAAGAAGCTTATGAACAGCATTATATAGTTTATCACGTGATGTCATCCTGCGCAATTCGAGTCCCTGTCGTTCTTTTTATTCTCCTCCCTTCTCTCATTTCCCTCCATTTCATTCTGTACTTTAGGCCGTTGCTGCTCTAGCCAGCAGCCATGCTTTCCAAACGGCCCTCAACGAAGGTTTGCACAGCATTTTCTCAAGCTTGGATCCGCCAATTCTCATCTCCGCAAGCTCTCCTAATTCATCAAGCTCGAACGGGATTGACGTCCCAGATTCGCAGGCCGAATTCCCATCATTTTTATCCCAGTCGATCTCTAACCACTGCCGCCACACAAAACCCATGCGGAACAGAAGTTCGAAAACTTAATCATGATACTCTGCAACGATTTGCTTCCACCACTACCTATGGCGTCGATGACTCTGCGCAAATCAGAAAGGAGGCTCTATTTGACGTGGTCGATAATATACACCAAACAGAAAATCATATTGTGCAAAGCTTACAAGAGCTGGAGCTCGTCGATGCCTTTTCTCACCTTATATACTCCCAAGATCTCGATCTAATGGATACCCTTACCGCGATTGTTGGTCATCGGAGCGAAACGGACCTGACCGCCAAAGTTACCATGATACGGCAACGGTTTCGTGACTCAGTACCGGATAATATGTTAAGTGGGGAAGAGATGCGATTATATAAAACATTATATGGAGAACCAATGCCAATGGAGGAGGCGGAAGCCAACATTACTCAAGATGAGCCAGAGCCAGATCAGCTACTTCGGTGTGATGGTGAAGGAGGCTGGGTTGAGGTCGAACATCTTGCTACAGATACTGCAGTGGTTCAAAGCAGTGAACGCAACCTTACAAGAGTTTCAGAGTTTGAGAATAATGAGGAATATGAACTGGACTATGATGAACTATCATTAGAGGATCGAGCAATCTCGATAGCAAGGATGCTAGGAGGAAAAGTCATTTCCTCGTCCGATTCAGAAGGGCTTTGTGAAAATGGTGCTGACGACAGTGACCCGCGAGCACACCCTCTTACTACAGAGGGTAAGTTCACGCCCGGGTCCAAAACTCTTTCGCTCCCGTATGATAGCATGACTAAACCAGTATCACGCATGCTTTCATCGTATCCCAACAAACATCTTGCTGAAACAGCCCATAGACTTTTCGGTGGACCAACTCTTCCATATTCCACATCTACGCTGCCCAAGGACATTCCCCCAACCCCTATCCAGCTCGACGCTAGACAGCATGTGATGTCAGACATAGAAAGCCATGCCTACCTTGCCGTCCTCTATCCAGGAATATACGCTTCCGTTCTGTCTGTTCTTGTTGAGGTTCGCAAAAGGTTAGGCTCGACATGGCTTCGCGACCTGATCACTAAAGAGGGTGGTCCAAGGGTTCTTGATGCTGGAGGCGGCGGTGCAGGAATCCTGGCATGGAGAGAGGTGTTGAAGGCAGAGTGGTTGTTGATGTCTCCCAATAGCCCACCAGGTAGCCCCATCCCATTTGGAAAATCGACGGTCTTAACAGGGTCAACGTCATTGCGACATCGAGCGAGCCAGTTGCTTGTAAATACGACATTCCTTCCACGCTTGCCCGACTATCTACACGTGCACGATCACGCGACCATAACTGATGAGCGGCCCCATCCGCAGCGAAAGCAGTACGACGTCATCATTGCGCCTCACACTATCTGGCCTATCCGCGAGGACTACCAACGGAAGGAACATGTTGAGAATTTATGGACCCTTCTCAACCCTGATGGAGGAGTTCTTATCCTTCTTGAAAAAGGTCATCAACGGGGTTTCGAAGCAATTGCTGGGGCTCGCGAATTGATCCTCGAGCGCTTGATTTCTTCACCTGGGTCAACGGAATATGAAAACCAAATTCAATCTCCCGATGCCGAAAGGTTTGTCCAGAAAGACAAGGGAATGATCATAGCCCCATGCACCACTCACGCCAAATGCCCCATGTATTTGAATCCGGGAAAATCGATCGCGCGGAAGGATTTCTGTCACTTCCAGCAACGCTATTTCCGACCGTCGTATTTACAGCGGATCAGGGGAGAAAGAAGTAGAAACCACGAAGACGCAAAATTCAGTTACGTCGCTGTCCAGCGTGGCATGGATATGAGAGAAACCCATGGTATCATCCAAGGTGAACAGGCAACCAAAGCTGCGTTTAAAGGCTTTGAACACCTATCGTCTCAGAGCATTGCTGAGGGACCTCCCGCGAATGAAGCACCTAAATTCCACCATCTCTCCCTTCCACGACTCATACTCCCACCCTTAAAGCGCCACGGCCACTCCACTCTAGACCTATGCACACCCCACGGCAAGATCGAGCGATGGACTGTCCCGCGCTCCTTTAGCAAACAAGCCTACCGCGACGCTCGAAAGTCTGCCTGGGGAGACCTGTGGGCACTGGGAGCCAAGTCTCGAACGCCGCGAAACATCAAGCTAGGCTATGTGGATAACCAGAGTGGGGACAAGAAACACAACAGGCGTATGCGCAAGCGGCTGTTGGCTGAAAATGTGGTTCATGAGGAATATCAGATGGGTACTAATCATGGAACAACATCAAATGTTGAAAAGGAGGATGCGGAGGAGGTAGACAGTGGAATAAGAGAGCTTCGGGATGCGATTGGCCGACTGGATCCGTATGAGAGCCAGCGTAAGGTCAATAAGAAGCAGGAGAAAAAGAGGAAAGTCCCGGCGTGGGTGAAGAAGATAAGAGGCGAAGGAGAGGAAGGCGAAAGTGAGAAATGACTTTTGATGGTTTTGGCGGGGATGTGTAATGAAGGTTGGGGTGGAGGTGGAGGTGGATGTTGCGGGTATGTATAGTAGGGTGAAGTCATATGGATGGGTGGATTGGCGGCGTTTGGGGTTTGTTCTCATATGTATGGAGAAGGGAAACTACGGCCATCGCTGGATTTCATTAGATAGTTGGTTTGCACGTTTGACTTGGCAGACCACGTCACCTTTATCTAATAGACCATGAAAACAAGCATTTTGTTACTTAGACCCGCCCTGGAACTTTGCCGGTAGGGGTTTTTAAGAATCTTCTCTCACGTTGGGACCCAATGAACGAAAGAAATATCTATTCTGTACGACTACTACTCTTGCATTGCATGGCATAATTATACAGAGGCAAGCTTGGTGTAATCCTCCGTGCAGTCTTCGCTAAATCTAACATCGGCGTTGTCATCTCAAACAAAACCTATCCGAAACACATTGTCTTCGACGGTACGCATCGCTCTCCGAGAACCACGACGAAGCGGACCAGGACACAGTTGATAATTGCCATATTCTAATAAAGCCAGATAAGATGGGTGAATATTGAACATCGACAATTCTTGAGTACATTGTTACCCAAGACATTAACCTTGGGAAATCGGAGCTGGTAATCACAGAAACCGACGCAGCAATCAGACTCATTCACATTCACGATAGTTGAAGGAATCGCGATCGTAACCGCTAGATATCCAACATGCCCGACTCTGGGTGTCGTTCGCGACGTGCACCACATTCGTGTTGAATCCTTCGCGCAGTGCGAATATGGCTGCTCGAGCCCCCGTGTTCCCAGGTAGGTAGTCATTCCATCATAGCAATGTAAAACGTTGAGAAAGAGGATATCCCTTGGACCCTTTTCCGCTGACCATGTCCAAATCGTAATATCGACTGTAGAAACGTGTTCTCTCCTCTCGAACAACACATGCGTTCACACATTCGATCAGCATTGAAAACTCCCCCGTCTATCTAAAATGGCGACACCATTTCACTGCGCCGCCATACTCTTTCTTAGCTGCCTTTCTCTCTGTTTCGACTGCAACTCCAGCCTCTCAACAGCATACTTCAAACGTTCCTTCTTCTGCACTAATCTGCGCAACTCCGCGGCTTGTCCCGTTGCAGCTGTCTCCGCCTCAGATCGTCCATGAGACAAGGGCCTTAGCGTCTCATGAGAGTTATTATTCCGCCGGGAAGATCGCCCACAATCAACGCCACCATCATCACCGTGAGATAATCTGCCTTGTTGCAACGCGCACTTTGCTTTGAGTGATTGTTCGCGCCGTTCTAGCTTGTCGATATAGTTAGAGGCGAGGGAGAGGAGGTGAACGATGCTTGGGTTTATTTCGTCGAGGATGGCCTTTTGGGCTTCACGGAGAGTTGGTTCGGGGAGGAGCTCAAAGTGCTGGATTTTTTTGGTTTTATAAATGTTAGCCATGTATGCTATCCTGATGGAAATCTGTGATGTTTATCATACTCGTGTGGTCTGGAGGACTTTGCAGAAGCGGGGAAAGTCGTTGACTCCTTCATCAAGAATCTGGATCGAAGAGTCTAGCAATCGTAGGGAGGATTGTAAAGAGGATACTGATGATGATAGAGAGGCTGCCATTTCTTTTTTATTTATTTATCTGGAGGGATATGGTCAACGTTTTTGAAGTGGAGTTTGTATACATCTCCACCTCAACTGCCCAAATGTTCTACGGAATGAACCAAACTCTTGGGCTGGTCATTCATATATCACGTGATCTATTGCTTGCTGGGGTTAACCTCTTCATCCAAAACCTCTCCAGGCACTCTCCAATGCAATCATCGCAAGCATCATCACATATAAACCCTCTATCTTACCTCTCGCCACCGGCAAAGACCAAGGCCGTTTCCTCATTTACACAATTTTCGACATGTCTCTTCTAGGACGAAAGTACCCGGCGCCATTCGGTAGGTGAAAATTATCTATCCCGCGATTGCACCAATTTCATCCAAACCCATTCCGCTAACCCATATTTCTATATAGCCAAGCCAATGCTTCCTTTCTTCGCTGCAGGTATTCTTGATCCATTTTCCCTAGCTATGTCTCATGGCACTTGATGTTCCAGTGATTTCTTTTCAATGATGACTGGAACGTGGGGAACATTCAATATCTAACTCCGAATCCATTGGACCAGGCCTGATTGTCCTCTACGGCATCAACGAGTTCGCGAACGTCATGATAAACAGTAAGTAGTTTATTTGGGGCTATACTCCTTCGCCCGACCCTGTATATCCCGATAAGACGAATATCAACCGATCACCGGCAATAACCTGTAAAACCAAATGCTAAACGTTATCACGCGTTTACAGCACCCGAGTTCAAGAACGATTCGCGCAACCCCCACGCGAAGGCAGCAAAGCCTGAGGAGAAGCATTAAATGCGGGTGAAAAATATTCTGATTTTGGAGGACAGGAATCGGTTGATTAGGGGCGGTTTGGGACGTCCCGTCGGAATGAATACGCTGTAGATGTATATTGAATAGAGATGGATTGAACATCCAAAATTTCTTTATATTTTACTCTTAGCCTTTTACAAAAGCTGAATGTTTTGTTCAAACCTGTATCTTGAGCAATGAAGGCCAATTGGTGACTTTCTTCGACATACTGGAACAATCGCTTATCGTCTTTGCATTTGTTGCCGTTAATAGAAGCATCTTTCAGAACACCACCAAAACAATTACCAATATAATGCAAGTTGTAAGCACTGAATAATTCCATAGCTTCTGTTTTTCGTACCTCTTCCCGTCTTAATTTTCCAAAACTCTTCCCGTGCAGAGAGCGGCGCATCCGTGGACTCGACTACCTCCCGGACGTGCGCTAACCCGAATTGGTTCCCTACAAAAGATCCATAAAAGGAACAGCCAACTCAACCTGAACGCAACCCACCACCACATCGTTAGAACAAGAAAGGGATAGGATACTATCTTCCAGATATCATAAAAATGTCACAGTTTCGAGCCAAGAGGCTGGACATCTCCTGCTTCGTCAACCCGCGCGTCATACGGGACCACACGAAGCGGCAGGTCTTCAACAAATTCGAGCCCGAACGGTAAATAGTTACCCAATGCCCACGCATTTCATGGGGCTGTTCCCATATTTCCGTTTCATCTACATGATGTCTGGAGAAGCAATTGACTAACCCTTGGAATCTCTACATCCAGACAAGCGCTTCGCTATCTAATCCGCAACACCTCTCTGCCCATGCGTGTCCGCGCTCAGGCGCAACTCAGGCTCTCCCAAATGCACTGCTACACCAACCCCACGCAGATCAAGAACAGATGTATTGCCGGAGGCGTAGCTAAAGGTGTTTTTAGAGATTTCAAGATGGGTAGAGTACGTGTCTTGGTCCCCAACCTACCTTACTTCTACAGACTGGATACTACTATCCGGATCACTATCTACCTCGATTAACTTTGCAACTTTTCTTGTACAGTTCCAATTTCGAATGCAGGCTCTAGCTGGGAATCTTCCGGGTGTCAGGAAGGCGAGCTGGTGATTTATATTCCAGGATCTATGCGTACCTGGGGGCTGGGAACTCATTTGGAGGATTTGCCTTTCTTTTTCTTCTTGTCTTGTTATTGGGTATCCTCCGGCGTTTTAGGGCGGAGCGTTTTAGACAATATATGTAAACGATCCATATCATTATCCATTTCAATAGAACTCATGCCATTGAACAGAATGTTAATAACTACACCGTGTCTATTTCGTGTCTGATGTTGTTCATTTCAAGCGGGTTTATTAGTTCCCCAACAGGAGTACGACCATGGGCGGTTTTGATCCCCTCCGCATCTTCATCTTCTCACTGTCAAATCCTTCCAATCATTTAGTTACCAATCAATTCGCATCATGAGTAACGCGCTTCGAGCAAATGGATAGTTGTCATGCCCAAACGCCGTCTATTGGGTTTCTTGATTGTGTCTCTTTTTTTCTATTCGTTCTCTTAAATAGGTAATTCCGATTCTGAAACAAGCGGCAGGCCGCAGTCAATTCAATTTTGTTTTTGTATTGCGTCTTGTTGCTTGTGCTGGCCTTTCTGTTCACTTATCCCCTCCCTGTCTCTATTCTCTTCAACACAACTACATGCATTCATTTATTCCTGCTGGGCGTTTTCTTTGTCTTCTTTCTCTTATAGTAAAATACAAACATATACCTCTCATTTACGTTCTCACTGACCCACACTCTCATTCTCTCCAATGCTAACCCTCCGTCTCCTTTTCTCTCCTGTCCTCTCCATATTTCTCCTGGTTGACTCGCATCTATTGCGCCCTTTATACGACACTGCCAAACGGAGCATCATGTTTGTTTTTCGCAGAGATGCCTTGCCCAAGGATCCTGTCTTTCCTGCTGACCTGAAGCAGCTTGGGTATGCTTCAGATGTTACTGTTGCTTTTTGGTTTTTATTTCATTCTTTCGCCCACATATTACTTCTTTGGCTAACGGTAAAACAATAGATACTTCATAAATGAAAGGGACCAGATCAAAATGATTACAAACCCAGAAGAGGATTTTCTCTACAAAATTAATGCCAATGACCGCTACAATGTGATGCAGAAGGAAGCTATGAATAGTAAACATGTCTATTTCCCTCTACTTCTAAGAACTTCAACCATTTCCTCTGGCATCTCATGCCTGCGAAGAAAACAGAGAATCTCAATGCATGAGAAGATAAGGCTGACAACATTGCCATAATTTTTTTTTTTTTTTTTTTTGAGAAAACAATAGCATGTATCCGAGAAATTGTCACCTCTCGTCTGGTCAATCTAGGTTTTGAATCCCTCCGCCTTCCAATCGGCGCAGCAGCAAATTCCCAACATGTCCCCATCCTAACCTCCAAGTCCTTTAAATCCCAGACCCGCCTCATCGTGGTTTTTGGCGAACCAACACAAGAATTGGGCATCTGGGCTTATCGCGTCATTGGCAAGGAGGGCATCAACATCGGCTCTGCTGTGAATTTTGCTTCTGCTGTCCTGGGGAACAACAACTGCTCCAATGACCCTAAAACTGATGTAAACAGACTCACTAACTCTAACCCGCAGCCAGGAACAGGGCTCATTCTGACAAATCCCGGCCAGTTAGTATGGCACTGCGCCAACGAACGGGCTATTTCTCTGCCAATGTGGCATGCGCTTCCCAGACGAAGTGCCGTCGAGCCGCCAATGCGGATGACTTTCCGGAATAAGATTCCTGGAAATGAGACGTGGCAGAATCACATTACATATGTGTTTGAGGAAGTGTTGGGGAAACTTGCGCCGTCGGATGTGAAGATTGATGTCATTGGGTTGGCAGAGGGGGGATTGGGTGCTGTGCGCTATTTGGCTGAACACTGTATGTATATAGTTGTTTTGTATCCCGTCAGCGAAGCTGGGCGCATATATCGTCAACCACCAACCCCATACATCAAGTTGCAAACCTCTAACCCAACACAGGGAGCGCCTGGAAGCCCCGTATCTCCTCTCTCTGCCTCACCAACCCACTACACGACACGAACCACCTCCACCCACCCGACTTCGCCACCTTCATTTCCACGCGCAGCCGCGCCTACTTGCTCTCGGAAAAGCCACTTGACACTCCGGTCGTCGGCCGATATGAGCATGGCTGCAACTGCTACTCCTCAGGAGAAGCATTGAATGTCGAATGTATCATGCCGAGGGCATGGGAGAGTATGCTGAAATGGCTGGATTCTATGTTTGAGGATCCGGGATTGGAGGAGATTGGTGTTATTGTTACGTAGGAGGAGGTGGAGGATGAAGAGGATGAGGCACTGGATTAGCGGGGAGTAGAGGTCGTGGGTTGAGTTGTTGGATGGACCCTATGTGGACAGGGTGTTTTCTCTTGATCGACGGTGTTTTTCTCCTTTGAGATGTTGGCTGCAAAGATGGAGTTTTACTCTAAATTTTTTTTTTTTTTTTTTTTTTTTTTTTGCAACCTTTCATTGGAGCATGGGATTTGGAATGAAATACCCACTCCCGCAACTTTTTGCTGTTTAATAAAGCGCTCTGGGTGGATGGATATTGATGGAGGGCATGCTGACGAATACTTTGATGCAATGCAATTCTATCCTATTTAATTTGAAAGAAGAAAAACAATTAAATAAATCACAGTCATGTAATCATGATTTGTCCCCTGTTGCAGCGAAGAATATCGTTTTAAACGGTGGTTCCTTTTGCAAAGCATGGATTCTTCAACAAGAGGAATATGCGTGGTATTTAGTCCAGTGAGGTAGATTGAATCCTGCAGAAGTTCTATATCAAGATACATGCTCACATTTCAGAGGTTAAGACGACATAACCAAAGAACCAAAAAAAAAAAAAAAATTAAAAAAAATAAAGAAAGAAAGAAAGGGATACGATTACTATACAAGCTGCCCAGAAACGAAACTATGCTCGAAATGCCCATCTAATCCCCCAACACCTTCTATTGTCATCTTTTTGAAACACTAGAGCAGTGGTATCTGTCAACAATCAGCGCCGTCCGCTATGCAGGACACAATAGTCAACAATATCTATAAAACACAAAGACCACACCAAGACCCCTTCCTACGTAGTTCTGTACACGAGCAACAAAATACCAATCAAACACAAACATCTTTCCTCTCAACGTAACTTAAAACCATACCCTCATCAAAATCCAGGAACACACCCCCAACAACAAACCTCTCTCAAAAACGGAAGCGGGCTCAATAATCTTCCTCTCTGCCTGTGCTTCAGCATCTGCCCACTGACCTCATTGCCATCATCACCACCACCACCACCAGCATCCGACATATTCCCATAAGACTCGCAATCCCACCACTCTACCCACTGCGCGCGGACAGTCACAAATGACCTTGCACACACCGAGCAGTATTTCCCGCCCGCATCTCGGACCTTTTCAGCACGTTTTAAATGTTCCAGCGTTATCGCGGGGCCGGCGAAGGTGTCTGGGTCGATGAGATGGGAGATTTTTGGACCGCGGTTATAGGCACGTAGAGCTAGCTCGCGGAGGGTGGGGGTGCGTGAAAATGAATGTGATAATGATGACGGGGAAGAAAACGATGAAAACGGGATGTTGATGTTGATATTGATGTTGATGTTGGTATTTGTCTCAGGAGCGTCTACAGGGAGTCCGTCTGCGTCGAAATATTTCACAATACCTGTCGCGACGGGGATGGTGATGGGGATGCGATCACGTAGGGGTATTGCTAGTGGTTTTTCTGTGGGTGATGGAGTTGCATTTACTATTTTATCTTTTTTTTGCTCCGTGTCCTCATTCTCCTTTACCACAAATGTGCCATCTTGTCGGACGTGGCAATGCCATTGCGCCACATTCGAGGTATCAGGCATCACGAACGGGTTCGGATGAACTGTCAATTGCCTTAGTTCCGTGTCCCTCTTCTGCAAGAGCTGCAGCACCTCATATGGCAGATAAGAGAGCTGGTTGCCCGCCACATTCAGCTCGCGCAGCTTGGTCAGGTTTCTGATGGAGCCTGGGACCTGTTCCAGTTCGTTGTGCCGCACGCTCAGAACGCTGAGGTTGGAGAGTTCGAAGACTTCTGCAGTTAGGGTTTTGAGTTGGTTGTTGGTCATGAAAAGGCAGAGAAATGGCTCGAAGGAGCTGAAGAATTGCTCGCAGTTGGTGGGAGATCTGGAAATGGAAAAGGATAAAGAAGGACGGGGCTTGTCCATTTGGGTGATTACGGGATACTTGGTGAATTGAGAGATTGGGCGGAGGAGTCCCGAGGGGATGGAACCGATATTAAGGTTGCTTGATATATATCAATGGATGTTTATATTTAAGAGGGGAGATAGGAGATATCCATACGAGATGTCAATGAACTCATGCCCCATCTCAAGACAATCCGAAATAATCTTCCGTGCCTGCTTATGTTGATATGACTCTTGCACCACCGTCGTCATCGTCTGGACAACTTGTGCATTATTATCCACTTGGCGACTGCGCGCAAACATAGGTCCACGGAGGAATACCGAGTATTGCTCTCTAGCTTCAACATATCCATTGCTGCCAGTTGATACGGCAGCAGCAGAGGCAGAGGTAGAGGAAGCAGTAGTCTCTTTACCATAAGGCGAAATATCAGCAAACCCTCCAACCCCATTCGCACCGGACGCGCAAGTATTCCACATTCCGGACTCGACAGAATCATCGCTAGCCAACCACACTCCACTATCTAAATTGCGTTTATCCTTAAATTCAGTCCTCCTCTTCTTGTCTGCAGCCGCATGCTTCTCCTTCTCTGTTTCTTCCTCCCCCCACCATGTCCCCCGATATTGCCGTTTCCTCGTCACCGGCAGTTGCGGCACTCTCCCGCGACTACCAGGACGCGTCGTCGCATTCAATTGCTGCTGCTCCTGCTCCGAGCCATTATGATAATTCTCGAGAGTTGATAATTGGAAATCATCACTTGAGAATAGCGGTGGGTCACTTGAAGGCAAGGAGCTCTCGAAGGTGAAATGATTACTCTGATGGTGCAGATTGGGAGGGAGAGCGGTCGCACGTTGGCGAGAGTGGCGCGGCGGTGGTAGGGGGAAGTCGTCGTCCATTTTACTTATATTTTTATTTCATTGTGTGTTTGTATCGCACGTTGCTTCAATTGAGTGCAATTGCGTGCCGGCAAACGGCGATAAAATAAAAATAAAAATAAAAAATAATGCTTTCTGTTCAGGAGATAAACAGGTTCTTGACGTGCGACCCACGATTTTGGGTCGGTTGGCAATGACTAAGCACCGATCAACAACATCTTGGAACCTTAAGAAAAGTCCCAGTGATCAAAGGATCAAGCGACATTCGATAGCGGGCTTTATCTGAACGTTATGGGACAACTCCATTTTAAGGAAACGGTGGGACAGCAACCGGGACGGACCAATGGTTCAACAGCTCGTCAGCGCTGATTGGAAAGCATGAAATTTCGGTGGGATATGATCTACTAATGAATTTAACGCGTCATTTCTCAGTCATATCTCACGTTGTTTGAACTAGGGCGATTACTTTTTGTTTTTGATGAAGTTCTCAAAATCCGGGTTGAATAGTAAACCTACTTGTGACGAAGCGGAGAATTCACATTGAGCAGGAAAAATGGGACTGAGTGAGTGACCAGTGAATCTTACCCATGTCATAACTGTTGCTGAGGGGATGCAACGCAATGATATTATCAATAGAAAAGAGTGAAGAATAGTAAAAGGGGGAGATAAAATATAAACCCTCAAATCGGTTACCATAGAAATGTTTCCACAACAGATACAACACAGCCACTCCCTCCACCAAAACAAGAAAAGGAAAAGGTCGGGCAAGTCTAAAACAAAAAACAATGAAACGCCTCCGCTGGGCAGGACCTGGATATAGTTCTCGTTCTTTTCCATTGCAAACACCGTATCACATCAAAAATCAAAGCAAATGCTTCGGAGAATAACGCAAGAAAAAAGGGGGGTAGAAGATATAAAAATCAAAAAAAAAAAAAAAAAAAAAAAAAAAAAAAAGGCGAAGAGCCAAGGATATATGGATAGAATCAAAGGTAGTAAACCAGAATATCTCTGTTCTTCTTCAAAATAACAAGTTTCTAACGAACAAACGGGCGCATGTCGGTGTGGGCAGTGGAGAAACTGCGAGGGCAAATTGACACGACAGCGAAGAAGTGAAGATGGGTATTTATAGGAGCGTTCAAAGGTCATCATCCCTAAAGTTCGGATTGTAAAAGGGGGTATCTTGTCCAAACCTTGAGAAAACAGCAGGGGATTTTCCCATTGTGTATCCATCATTATAAAAATAAAATTAAAATAAAAAGGCGAGCACAAATAAGGGCTAAGGTATTTGAAAATAAAATGGAACTATCGTCGAGAAGCAAGTGTCTCAAAACATGAGCATGGAAATTGAGTAAAGGAGACCAGGTCTTCGGAAAGAAGACGAGGGATGTGAAAGCAAGGAGGAGAGGATGGGAGTTTGAAGGATGGAGTATTAACAATACAGAGTTGGATCGGTCGCGCAAGGCTGGAAACGGGGAGCCGGTTTATGTGCATGTACAAAAGTCGAGTCTTGACGACAGCAGAAGACGAATCGAGAATGAAATATATGAACATTCCACGGAGCTGGATGTGGGTATCTTTCGAAATGAAGTCATCATAAAAAGATAATAGTGGATTAAAAACTAACCAAATCCGGACGCTTAATCGATCTTCCTTGGAGTTGCTGTGGTTTTTATAATCTTGCGTTTGCGTTCTTGAGCCTCTCTCACACTCGTCTGAACAGCCTCCCATCCTCTTTTTATTCTTGTTTCTTTCTGGGGTTTACAGAGCTGCGCCAAGCAGCACCGCGAAACCTCCAGCCATCACCATTGGCAACGCGGTCGGCGCAACGCCCAAAGCAGCATTTGATGTAGTCAATGGGAAGACATTTGTTGTATTAGCCACAACTGCGTTGGGAGCAGGAGTGGAAGTAGTGGAATTTCCTGCAGTGGTGGGGGAGCCGGCGGAGCGGAAGACGGTAATTGTCACGGTGTTGGTTATTGTGGTTGTTCTTGTTGTAGTGCTCTCGTCATCAGCGAATGCAAGTTGCGGCGCAAGGAGCAGGAAGAGTGCAGAGAATAACGTGAGGATATTCATATTTGCAGTTGTTTTTTGTTTTGTTTGGACGTTTGGACGTTTTGAGTATGGATGACGAGACGATACGTGTTATAGAGGATATTCACACCAGACAACAACAGCAACCAGAAAGGAATATTGATATCGATATGGAGATTCTCCGTGCGACGAGGATGGGATAGATATTGCAAGGGATTAAAAGGAGCGGGATTTACGGGCGGACAGGAACTCGCAACGTTTTTCGGAAGAAAAATTTGCTCGCAAATGGCAGACTGCAGTAAAGCGCTGGAAGGTCTAGATTACTTTAAAGAAAACAGATCAAGTGCGAAAGGAACGGTTATCGCAAAGCGATGGTTTGTGGTCCCAAGGAATGACTGATAAGGAGTGTAGAGAGCACTGCTCGACCGGAAATGGGGTGCTTTAGAAAAGAGCGTGGGAGGCTTTGGGAAACGCCTGGTAACAAGGGACCAGACGTGCGGGTATATGAGAGGCACGACGAAGGAGAGCGGACTCGGGCGCAAGGCAAAAAGGCAACGAACTGGCCAGGGACAGGGGAAAGGATTTTGGTAGATTACATTAACTCTTTCGACCCCACCCAACCAAACCAAGACTAACCAGAAGAATCATAGTGGGTAGCGATGATTCGCTCTCTTTCGCCCGACCCAGCGCCCAGGTTCCGCCAGGCACACAGGCACAGCCGTATTATTCGCAGATCCACCCACCCGCATGCCAGATCCGGATTTTCCACGAAATATTGGCTATTTGGGGGGAGATTGCGGCGGTGGGGGGCATTCTTGAGGGGATATTATTATTATGCAGAGCTCCGTCGCAACAAACCCCACATTCCACATGGTCACTTTCTTCCGTCCTCTCTTCGCTTTGCGCGTGCCCTGGTTTGAACCCGGATGCGCTCTCAATTCAATGTTACCTTCCAACGGAGAACCGTTGGCTATGACAGCGTCCACGCTATTCCAGGAATTAGGTGCTTCATGGGCAGCGCCAACCCAATACATCTGGACGAAGGCTGACAAAATATTATCTGCCCTATTTCGCTAGGACGGTCTCATCTCGCGTTGGCAAAATCTGACAGGCAGAAGGCGCAAAGGCAGAGACGACGCCGAGACGCCAGAAATGATATTATGGTGTTCCTGGACGACCTAGGACTCCCCCAGGTTTCTTCCAGCGTTGTGTCTTTTATTCCCTACACTGTAAGAATGAATCATCATGCTCTAGCTGTAACATCATCCGCAAGGTAGTTAACAGGGGGATACTGAAGAATCCATCAGGCAGGCACTCTCCAAAGTTAAAAAGTGTGGAGATTCTTGCGTCTATATCGTCATCGTGATTGAATTTGGAGAGCCTGGGACAGAACATCCGTACCTGCATATAAGGTAAGGGAGGGGAACAGGGCAGATCGAAAATATAAGACATCATCGTCAGACAACAAACAACAACAAACAGATTCTCCAGACACAAACAGAGAGAAAATCAACATGATGCAGAGAAAAAAAGGTCTAGTTATCCTAAGTTCTTCACCATTGCTTTACGTAACGCCTCCACCACCCCACTCCGCAATCCCTTGCGACGGGCCAGTCGAGAACAGCTTGAATGAAGAAAATGGCTGGGCTTAAGAAAACGGAAGTAAACAGATTGCGGTGTCTTATCAAAAATATTTTCACGGTAATTTAAATCTGGCGTCCTAACTAATCACAGCGACCGGTCGTTCTTCAGGTCCTTCGAACCTTTTCAGGGCTGCTCCGGAGTTCCTGGTTGGCTGGTTCCTGGCATGAAAATAATAAGCCCAACGACCGATCAACTTCTCCCTTTTCGTCTAGTTCTTCTGTTTGGTCCGATGGGGCAAATGAAGCACGGTCAAAATGAAGAATTCGATCATTACTTTCTGTCCATTTTTAGTAATGCTGTACTTTCAAGGCTGTGAACCACCAGAACTTGCTTTTTGGTCTGTGGTCCAATTAGGGCTACTCAGGTAATCCTAACCCTAACCCTGGTATATAGGGGCGGTGACGTTGAACAAAGATGCAGAAGTAGTAAGTGTGTGTGTGGTGTATGTGCAGAGGATGTTTGCTCCGTCGGCTGTGTGTTTTTTAGATGATGTGATCAGAGTTGATCAAGGTTTTCAAAGTGGGCCAAACCACGTTCAATTGTAACCCATTACGAGTTAACATCGCCTGCTCAGAGGAAGGAAAGAGAATGAATGCTTCTTGGAATCGGCGCAAAGGCTAGGTAGGTTCTCTCATGGGTAACATTAGCTATGGGTTTCCGCTCCTAGGTCGAAGCATACTTTGAATCATGAAATCATGGACAGTTAAAGCAGACGCCTCCAACTGCAAAGATATGGGTGCCGACAAGTCCTTCAAATCTGATTTTTGAAACTGATATTCGCAACCTCTGATAACTTGTGAATAATGACGTTATCATCCCTGTCTGTCAACTTCATTCTTGCATCCATTTTTTGTTTTGGAATTGTGATCTCTCCATTCATAAAGAAGCTCTGCTATTCTTTAACAGCTTTGCCTCGGACAGGGAGAGATATCCCTCATCAATGTTGCCATATTCCTCCAGCCACGCTAGATGGACTTATCCATCTGAACTTCGTGGTGTAAAAATAACATCACCACATTCAACCACCAAGGCGAAGTTGAAAGTTGACGTTGGCTCCTCGGATGTTTCGGGCCGAGGGCAGGCTCACCCATGGTCAATGCTTATAAAAATAAAAGAAAAATAAAATCAGGTTGCATTTTCTCTCGGAAACACGGGCCTGCTTCTGAAGCCATATCTTATTAAATATGCCGATTGTATCGTCATTAGATGTGGATGTTTTGCTGCTCGTATGACAAGCTCAATCCCGTATTCATGCGCCAGTTTCACTCTAGCCCTAAAGGAATTCATGCGCTGCTCTCAATTTTGTCACCGCCGATCATCTCATCTTTGAGGAGGAAAAATAAAGGGGAAATAGAGTTATAAATATTAATGCTTTGACTTTTCAACCCCATTATTATTGCTGATCACGGCGATCAGACGGCACGCGAAGTTTTTTGGCGCACAGTGGAACTGAGCCTCAAGTAAAAAGAGCTGCTAATTTTCCTTCGACTATTTTTTATTTTTTATTTATTTTTTACTTATTTTCTTTTCGAAACGCACTTTTACTTTAAAACTTTGAAAGGGAGCAATCGTCACAAATAGCGAATTCCTTCTTTTAAACTTGCCAACCTGCTAAAGCTCGCTCAGTTTGACCTTGCATGCGTGAGCAGACTAGGTGTGGCAGTAATCAACTGTAAAATTTTATTTTGCTGACAAGCTGCTCTAGGAAATGAAGTTGTACCGGCCTTGGCCAATTTCTACTGCGAGCTTATTGATGATAGGCTGGGAACGGAGTGCAAGGCCGGGTTATTGCAGGCCAGATTGCGCGGGCATTGTCGCCAGTTCCTGACAGCCCGGGAAATTGCCGGATGTACGGTTTCGCCATTCATTATACCCCTAATTACATGCATCATGAATCATGATACAGTACGTAGGCTGCAGCAAGGTGGGAAAGGGAAGCGTGGAAACTAGTTGCAGAGAAAGGGAAAGTAGCTTTATTGCATACGTCAAGGGTAACAATAGATGGGTTTAATGGCATGGGCATGTTTTCCTGGCATGGGACGTGCTGTGAAGCCCAAAAGAGTCCGATGGCATTATCGATTTATGATACATCCCTCCTTTTTCTATGTTGTCGTCGAATTTGGTTTTCAACCTCCTCTGGGCTATAAATCTCAAGTGATAGCATCCTACCAAAAAAAAAAAAAATAAAATAAAATAAAATAAAATAAAAAATAAAATAAAATTCTATCATGAAGAGATGTGTTATTACCTCTTACGACCTCAAATCAGAGCTTTAGGATCTTGTCATTGTCAACTTTCTCATCTATTGACACTTAACATCTTCCCAGCATATAAGACCTGGTTTGGATTTGCAAGGGACGCGCTTTTCCTACGGGAAGATTCAATTGCAGTTGTTAGCATCTTCCTATAAATCCGGCGGCTCGCCCAAAGCTGCTCCGTCTGCGAAATAATGAAGCCAGACTGCAGAGATAATCTATGAGCTGATCTCATGCTAAAATAGCCAAAATAAGTTGATTTTCACTCATATTTGCTGAAGAAATGCTGAATATTAAATGTATGAAGGTTGAAGCAACATTGTTTGAAATGGTGCACTAAATTAGACTATATCACGTGAGTAAGTGATCCAAAAAGTGTTGTAAATCATTAAACAACAGAGCTTTGCAGAGCAAACCATGAACATGAAAGTCTTGACAAGATGTCAAGCAAGGTGCTATCAGCATATGACTTCTATATTCAATACCGCCCAGGTCAGCTGAACCCCACTGACACGCCGTCAAGGCGCTCAGACTATGCTATAGTCGATGGGAAGAAGATCCTGTTACTGGACCTCTTCCAACACTGCAGAAAAAGCTGGCTGCAGGGGGTGGAGAACTCTAGAGCTGCAGGGCAGTGCCACGGAGGCAACGGTGCACTCCATAAAAGCAGGAGACAGAGTCCTTGAGTCTCAAGTTGAGGCTGGCACTAAAGATCATGAACTTCTCATGCCATGTCTTGCTGCAATATGCCTTGCAGAGGATGAAGCAGTCTACAAACTTTCAATCAAACAGCTTCTTGATTTCATTAAAGAGCTGCAGGAGAGGGACACCTCAACAGCATCTTGAATAGAGAACATAAGGAAAGAAGGACCTGGGTTGAACTTGACTGAAGGGCTTTTAGAGCAGAGAGATGCCTCTGCAAAATCAGTCTTTGTCCTGAACAGTGGAGCAGCGCATCAGGAGCTATTAAGAATTCATCATGATGATTGTTATGCTGAGCACTTTGAGATTGAAAAGGCTGAAGAGTTTCTTAAAATATAAATATATTTAATATGAGCTAAGGACAGATGTCAATAAATATATGAAGATATATGATATCTGTCAAAGAATAAAGATACTAAGATATAAGCAATTCATCAAGTTATTATTACTGCTAGTATCAAAAAGCTTATAAAATAATATATTAATGAATTTTACTATGAACTTTTTTAAGTTGATAAGACTAAAAAATATAATTTTATTTTTATCATAGTTGATTCTATTTTAAAAATAATTTGATATATCTCAATCATAAAAAAGATTAAAATATAAAAATTTATTAATCTTTTTTTAAATGTCATTATTTAAAATAATAGTTTTTTAAAGTTAATAGTAACAGATTATGAATTTTTTTTCACTAGTTACTACTGATTAGTATTTTACTATTATTTTATAATAAAATATTATCTCAGTACTGTTCTTTATTTATAGATAAATAAATAAACAGAAAAATAAAATCAAATTGAGAAAAGTTATTTATAAGTATTTTATTTTTATTATCAAATTAATTAATTATTACTATTATTAACTATTGAATTTTATTTATAATAATATAAAAAATATTATTTTAAAGATATTTTTAATTAAATTTTATGATTATAATAATATAATTTAAAATTTTAAAAAATTATTTTAAAAATTATATAATAATAAATATAAATATTATTTTCTTTTATATAACTACAACTTAAAGAATTTTAATATTTTTAAATAAACATAAAATTATAAAATTTTTAATACTCAATATAAATAATTAATTTAATTATTTATTAATTTTAAAAATTTTATAAATTAGTAAAAATTATAGTAATTAATTTAATAAAAAAAGATAGATTAATAAATATTAATAATTTAGTAAATAATTTAATATTAAAAAAAATTAAAATTAAAATTTATAAATATATAAACTGATTAATTTTTTATTTTATTAAATATTTATTATATAAAATATATAATTTTAAAGTTTTAAAGAGTTATAATTATTATCTAATATATTTTTTAATAATTATAATATTTTTATGATGTCAAAACTTTTTATACTAACTTTTTACTCTCACACTGCTTATCTCACACTGCTTATCACACTGCTTACTAAAGCACTTAATGTAATTGATAAGCAAGTTAGCTACATAAGTGAGTCAGTCACTTTCCTTCTCACTGTACAACAAGAATGCCTTCAAAGTTTCAACTATAAAGAAAAACTAGCAAATTACATTATAAATTATTTTCTATATACTTAGAGCATGTACAGGCAGTATGTTCAATAATCTCATATACACTACATCATAATGCTGCACATTTTTGTAATTATGACTCAGCAGTTTTAACTACTCCCTGCTCTTATTTATTGATTTTTCATATGTGATTTAAGTCTTCTTCAACTATCAAAGCACTCTCTTGAGCTACATATGTACAGTCTCTTTCTTACTTCTTCTTTTGTTTAGCATTTGCAGTTCTTAACTCTCTGTTTTCAGCTGCTAAAATAGTAGCACTGTGTATTGTCATTTGACACTTCTTGATCAGCTGACTTAGAGCATAATTAATTGAACTGAGTGAGCTCTGCATATAATGCTTGTTATATTCTTTAACTTTCTCAGCCTGCTGCTCTAATTAATGTATATTATGTGGTGTAGCTGTGACCCAGGAGGCCTAAGAGCTGTAAGAGATTTCTAAGAGAATGAGAATACACATTATGATATTAAGCTATGAGAGAATCTACTCAGAATTGTACAGAATCAGCTCAGCAGTCATAAAGCTGCACTTAATGTTGCTCTCAGTCAGAGCCTGCATCTGAGTTGCAGAATAAAGACTTAAAATCTTCTTCTTGTCAATATGATTGATCTCAAGCTATATTTAATTTTTCATCTACTGTCTATATGCAGTTTTCAGAGATGAGAAGCAGTTAACATCCAATGACTGAAGAAGATGAGAGAAATGTAATGATATATAGAGGATAATAATTTGATTCTCAGTGCAAAATTAATCAAATTTAATTGAGACATAACTTCAATGTCAGTCTAGAATCAATAGTTAATATCTGTTCTTCATATAGAATAAAATCTTCTCATTAAACATCTCTTTCAATTAGTATAAGCTCAGCTGGTCAGTGATTCAGTCATTCTCACTGACTTCAATCACTTAGTTGCATAATAGTCCTTCTGTCTCATATCAACAAAATTGATATATCTTTTCTTTGAGAATAATTATTGTATGCAAGACTCAGTCAGTTGCATTAACTTCAGCAGTAACAGTCATTTATTTCTGATTTTCAGATTATACAAGCTTGAGATTCTCAGCTCTTTCAGATTTAGTTATCACTCTGACAGTTTTAATTACACTCATCTGAAACTCAGTCTTATCAAAGTTGTAGATATCATCTTTCAGGATTTCATACTTCATAATAGTATTTCATATGAGTCTAAATCACTCATAGATAATCTTAGAATCTTCACATAAGACTTACTGATAATTATACTTGTGTGAGAACTTGAATTTCAGCTTATTATGATATTTGATAAAGTTTTATACTCAGCATTTACTCACTGTGAGTGAGGAGTTGAATTCTCAGTTGACAAGAAGAAGATTGAGTATTTCTCATACAGTTATAATTCAAAAAGGCTGATCTCATTTATTTATAATCAGAATTCATTGAACAAGAAATTCTTTCTTTGTAAAACTAAGTTTCTGATTCTTTGAAAAAGTGTTAACATATACTGTATGACTATGTATCTGATCATTTAGAATAAAATATAAAATATTATACAGCTTTACTATAGCTTATACACTTTAAATTTGATTATTTTTAAATATTTAAATGATTTACAAAAGTCTTTCTTCCTGAGTAGAGGCTTTCTTTCTTTGTGTGATTGATATTTTTGATGATGAAAATGTTGTTCTGAGATGAGATGAAAAGTGACTGACTTGCTTATGTGACTGACTCACTTATTGATTATATTATCTTCACATTACTTATCAAAGCATTTTAGAATCAACATCTTCTAAAGAATCAGCATTATTTCAAGATTTAGCACTTAGAATCAGTACAAATTAGCATTTTTAAAAAATTAATTCTTTAAAATCAGTACTTTCTAAAAAATAGAATCAGTATTTTATGAAGAATTAAATTACTACTGTATTACTAATTTTTTATTTTATAAAAAATTAGAGATAAAATCTATTACTATTCATTCATATGTATAATTATTCTAAATCTTCAAAGTTTCTTCAAGAGATTTAGTGATTAACTACTATTCAATTCTTCACTTTTATTTTATTTATCACTATTTTCTTTTTTTCATAGCACTTGCAGTATCTACATATCTACTCTCTTACAATTTTAATTATAGAGTTTTTTACATTTCTTTTGATATTTAGTTCATTCATATTAATATTTTTACAATTTTTTAATTATATAAATTTTTTTTAATAAAATATTATTAACTTACTACTTTGATAAAAATAAAATAATTAATAACTATTAAAACTATTTACTAGAAATAAATAATTTAAATATAAAATAAAAATATCTATAATAAATAAATAAATTATTATTATTAAAAATTATTTATAAAATAACTATAATTAAATAATTTAAAAGTTTAAATTTATATTAAAAGATATTATTATATTTATTATATATAAAATTATTTATTATTACTAATTATTTTAATAATTTATTTATTATTTTTAAAGATACTAATATTTTTATAAATAAAAAAATTATAAAAGATTATATTTTAACTTTTATAATATTTAAACTTTATATTATTATTATTATTATTATTTATTAAATTAAAATATAAAATAAATTATATATTTTATAAAGTTGAAATTATTTAATTAATTATTTTATATATTATTTTTTTATATATATTAGTATTGAAAAAATAATATTTATATAATAAATTGATTACTGAAAATAAATTAATAATTAATATATATAAAAATAAAAAAAATTATTAAGAAAAATATAAAATTATATAAAAATTAAAAGAGTTTTAATAATAAAAAATTTTATATAAAAATTATTAAAATATTATTTTTATAGTAAATATATTACTTTAATAATAAAGATACTAATTTAATAATATATAAATAAATTTTAAAAATTAAAAATTAAAATATTATCTTAATAAATAAAAATATTATTTTGATAATATTACTTTAATAGTAATATTTTAATTATATAAAAATAAATATAAAATTATTTAAATATTATATTATTTTAGAATAAAATTTTATTAGTTTATATATTAAATTATAATTATTAATTAAATTTATAAAATAGTTAAATTTTAATTCAAATAAATAATAATAATAATAATAATAATAATAATAATTTATAATAATTTAAATATATTTATAAATAGTATATAAAAAATAAAACTAATTAAAAAGATTTTTAATTTTAATAAATATTTATTTTATATTAATAAAAGATTTATAAATTTTATAAATAAAAATAAAATATTTTTTACTATTATTTTATTTTATTTTATATATTATTTATAATTCTTTAATATATATATATTTAGCTTTTTGTAATAATATATTTATATAAAGTAAATAATTTTTTATATTTTAATTTTAACTTTTTAAGACTTATTAATTAAAACTTTTAAAAATCATTTTATGTTATATAAAATTATACTTTATAAAGCAGAATATTAAGATTATTTTCAAAATAATTAAAATTTTACTCATTTTCATCTAAACAACTATTGAAGAGCTAGAATAAATGATTAAATACATTTTTAGAGATCTCTGAAAAGTGTATTACTTCTACTACAATTTAAGAACTATATTGTAAAATCAAAAAAATACAGTTTCAACAGTTATTTCCTACTGAAGACTTTGAATAATTCACATTAATGAAAGAGTTATTGAAAAAAACTACTACTTCATAAGAACAAGAATTTAGTCAACAGCTTGAAGCTTGAAAAGAAAAAACAAAAGTGAGACAAGGCTTTAGAGGTCTATTTAATAAGAAGCATGTTGATCAGACACAGTTTTTCTTTTTTAAAATATAAGATATCATACAATCTTGCTGCTTTGTGAACAAAGATAATTTCTTTATTTTTCAAGATGAATATCATGAGTTCAATCCTTCCCTTTATTCCATAGAGTTTCTTTTGTTTTTATTGCCAAGTTGTGGTATTTTGACGCGTCAAAGTAAGTATGTTAATAAATTAGATACAAGTTTCAATTTGGTGTCGACTTGGGTGTCTGACTGGTTGGGAACTACGTCAAATTAGTGATTAGCTAAGAATCTCCTGGAAACCCTGACAAGAACTATATCACTGTGATGTTGTTTTGTTTCAAGCGGGATTCTACCTAGCCTGTCTCTCTTTCTTCCTTCTTGTCCGACTTTCTACATACAGAAGGGATGTGGTATTTACATGACGCAAACATGCCTCAAATCCCAAGGTCTTATTTGTGAGACTGTACAACGGATGTACATACATTCGATGTGGGAAAAGGGATTAAGAAAAGGGTGTTGGGGATGATGGAGTATGTATGTACAGAAAATGTATTTCCCTCTCCTTATATCTGTCATTGGGAATATTACATTTATCACCAGTGCAATCATTGGGATTTTATGTAGTAGCTCGCTCTTTTGCTCGTGAGACCAGCAGAGGTTGGTGTTGAAGCCGTCTTATATTTTCGCTGGCCATTCATAAATGGATACAAACGCACCATTCCCTGATGACTCGACTCTCCCATTCTAAACATTCCAGATACGATGCTCCGTGAAGGCAATTTTAGCCTTGAATACGAGCTTGAGAGTATCTCGAGTTACCAATAGACACATCTGTTCTGTTATTGGTTAGAAACCACGCTTGGAATCGGTAATCACCACTGTTGCTCCCCCACATATACACAAGAAATTGTATGGAAACCCTCGGAGCTATCTCTGCTCGTAAGACTCGAGTATCGGAAAAACAAGCGTACAGCATCATTGACCCACAGGAGAACTCCTGACGTTGCTGTTTCGAAGGACCCCTGACAAAACGCTGCGCCAAAATGTGAAGCAAGATAACATATCTTGATCATTCTTCTATATAGATACGATTTAAAAGTGAACAAAAGTTGAGTAATTCCGTCCCACAAACGCCAGGGTCAAGAAGCCTCAGATTTGGGAGGTCTAAGGTACATACGAAAAATATTCCCCTCAGCCTCACGCCAGGTGAAGAATTGTCAAGAATTGTCGAAGCTAGATATCCAGCGACAAGTGGTTCCTGCTCCCATTAAATGTACAGAACATAAAGTGTGGTATTGTGGTATAATAATGCGTAGCCACCAGATACACCTCCCTTATCCTATGATACATGAGCAAGTTGACATCTTAATCGTGTCGTGGGCGGGGATGATATTGCCGGGGAATCATCATTGGAGCCCCACGAGCTCTCGCCCACACCTGGTTGGAGTTGGTGTGTCCGTCTGTTCGGATAACGCTTCCTATGGACATAAAAAATCTGTTTGATAAACGAATAGAATTAGGGAAATGTCTTTTAAAGTAAATGATGAAATGTTGGGGGTGTAAAGGAAGCGGAACTATATCTATATACCCGAATGTTGCCCCAGAACCGATCATATATTTGCCCAGGGTTCGCATGACACCGTTGGGTCCCGCACCGTATTGAAATATCGCAACAGTTCCTGGAGAGATATCAGCCTATTTCGATCCGATTGCTTCAGGGTAACTACTCTAAATGTAATACGTACCCATAATGAAGCCCATGATCAGACCAACCGCTGCAAGTTTCAACTGTTAGAAATTGGGAAGGTTGGGAAGGAAAACATATTCAACCAGAATGATGCACATACATCCACCCATCAGAGCTCCCATTTTAACTACATGACAAGTCAGTCCAGTCAGGCTCTAGCTTCAACGGGTATTTCTCATGCAGCAGTGGGAGACTGACACTTGTCAAAGGCGGAGGGACCATGCATTCCACCCCCACCACTTGCAGGGATCACTGGCGGCATTGTTGCTGGCGGCTGATACGGCCTGTTTTTGAAAACAGAACGGAGGGCCCACGAAGAGGGAGGGACTATTCTTGCAGGCAAGAGATACGTGGATATTAACAGAGCTTCGGAATGCTCAGCTTTTGCGCTTCTTCCTTGCCTGGTTCGTTTGTTCGTTTGGTGAGCTTGAAGCTTACCTAAGTTAAAGTTGTCATGCGGGAGCTGACTCAGCGTGATGATTGTTAGTCAAGCTTAGTGGAGGACTAACCCCTTTTGGGACATTCGTTTCGCTTATTGGGAGCCAGCGCCTCACGTGACATTCCAGACGCTTGACCCTTTTCTTGGATGATTCTGTCCCCATCATCAACCTCCTCACTGGCCAACGGTGCGTTCCAACTCCCTTTGACCAGGTGCATTGTTTTCTAGCATGATTCTTTGGTTACAATTGCCTTCTTCATCTCTTTATGACATCTTGCTGTCTCCTTCGCTGCTTTCTGCGTCTGCTGTCGCCCGACCCGCATCTCAAGAGCCACGCGAAATCAACCATTCACTTCGACACTTCAACAATGACCTTGACCTTGCTGTGATTTTCTAGGCTCGTGAGTGTTTACCATGTTCATATTTGAATCGCCAACCATTGCTTTAAAACCCCTCGTAGATGTCTACCTGTCATTTAAGTTCGGAAAGAACATCGTCGTAACTTCAGCACTCTCTACCGACATCGCTAACCTACCTATCCCCCCAAGACTAACGATCTCCCAACCGACCCTGCATATTAACCACCTTCCTATCCTCTATCTGTGCGCTATCTGAAACTCGTTATGCTTGTTGCAGTACACTGCTTGTTCTGAGGCTGTCTGTGTCTCGCGTAGTGGTGATTTCGGTTTAGAAAGTGCAGAAGGTGCGGCTGATCCATAGCGATTGACAAATTTGACCGTGGATTGTGGCCACAGCCGTTGCCGATCCATGACTGCCGTGGCGTCCCCACCAAGTGTGCAATCTGGGCCTCTGGGATGGTATCTTGCTGTTAACGGTGCCAAAGGAGCGCTTGCCCATTCAAGATCAGACGAAGGACTACGCATGTTTATGCCTCGGAAAAGTGTTCAACGAACAAACTCTTCTTCATCTCTAAACTCAACTTCATCTACGACATCTACAGTATCTGCGAATTCGCAACACAGTAATGCTAGCCTCGCATCCAACGAGTCGGGATCTGCACCGTCTAAGAAAAAGCCTTACAAATACAGCTGGTCTAATTCCAAGGCCGAACCGGTGTCCGGGGTGACGAATGCTAGATCCCAGACTGTATCTGCACCACCCTCCGGAACCGCAGCATCACCCGCTATGTCTGCTCCTCACCAAGCTTCCCCACTGCTTTCATCTCCACACGCACTTCAATCTCAGCAACAAAATGGTGCCCGCCTCACTAATGGGGGAGGTCTTCACTGTGATCCTCCGGCCATCCTGAGTTTATTGCCAATTAACGGGACTTTTGAAAGAAAACAGATAACAGTTCCCTATTTTCCCGAAGTTCTCCGCGTTGGGAGGCAAACAAATGCGAAAACGATCCCTACTCCCATTAATGGTTACTTCGATTCGAAAGTGCTCTCCCGCCAGCATGCAGAAGTTTGGGCTGACCGGGCAGGAAAAATTTGGATAAGAGATGTGAAATCATCCAATGGGACGTTCGTCAATGGCCAACGTTTATCTCCAGAAAACCGGGATTCCGAACCACATGAACTTCGGGAACATGACACACTTGAGCTTGGAATTGATATCGTTAGCGAAGATCAGAAATCAATTGTCCATCACAAAGTTTCCGCAAAGGTGGAGCATGCTGGAATATACGGCCCGAATATGAACATCTTGGATTTGAATTTTGGCGACATTGACCCAACCGCTGGGGGAGGCCTTCTTCCTCCGCACCTCAGCCACCCCCTTTCTCACATGCGTGGCAGGCCAGGAAGTTCCGCTTCTATTGGTAGTAATCGCAGCAACCAAGGCGCTGCTGGAAACCATATGGGCCTGCTGCATCAGCAACGACAAATGAACTACTGGCTCTCTCCCATTTCAATTGAGCAAGTTGTGAAAAGGCTATCGGTAGGTACTCGACTTTAGAAATCCGCTAGACTTCTATTTCTCATATACCTAACTGACGGTTACTCCCTCCAGTCTGAAATGAAACAAGCGAAGCAACAAGCTCACGATCTTAACCAAACCAACAATTTTTTGAGCCACTTGGTCAATTTCGAGACTTTAGAGAAGGAACGGCCCAAACCCTCACCCACGGAGAATCACAACGGTGGGCGTTTGTTGAATGGACGCCCCAAGATGCCGAAGGTGGATCAGATATCTAGATTTTCTGACCCACCCGCACCTCCACCACAGCAACCCTTACCCGAAAAACCTGATGCTCCATCTCGTGGTATCCCGGATTCCGTGCCCCAGGCAAGCTTGAAACGATCAGACACAGAAAAAGCTAGGCTTCCTATGACTTCGCCGATAAATCGCGAATCAAGCCAGATATTGTCCCTGATCGAGGCGTTGGCCAATGCCAAAAAGGATCTTGATGCACAAGGCGCCCGGGTTAAGGAACTGGAAGATCTTTTACTCGAGGAGCGAGCAGCCAGAGAACAAGCTGAGGAACGGGCGCGAAACCTGGAAGCAAAACCCTTAAATCAAGACGTAAGACCGGAAGTGGAAGCAGCATTTGAGCCCCCCAGTGCGCCGGACGACAATACTCTTGTGGCTGAGAAGGAGTCCGGCATTGAGCCATCCGAATCAGAGTTGTCGAAGCCAGCTCCCAATTCAATCCCACCTCAACCTAGCAAACTGTCATCTGACTTGACTTCCCAACTGCTGCAACGCCGCCTCGACAATATGAGTGCTGAAATGGATGAAATGAGGAAACAAGTTGTGATATATAAACAGTCTGCACAGAAGGCTGAGAATGAGGCGTCTGAGACCCGCAAAACTCTTGCACAAATGATTGAAAAGATTCGAAATACTCACACCGAAACACCCCCACATTCTCCAGCGGAAGCCACCAGCATTGGTTTGGCTAACAATAAGACGAAGACTGACGTCCTTGTTGATAGCTTTAATAAGAACCTTGATCAGCCCAATTGCCAACGCTATGCCAGCTCAAATTCCCACCAGCTCGATCTAGCAAGCAAGGAAGCATACGAAGCTTATGTTAAACAGCGGCATAAGAACATGTTGGATCAATCAGTACCCTACGCTTCCATGCTTGGCGTGGTTTTACTCGGTGTGGGGATCATGGCCTATTTAAATGGATGGCAGAGAGGGGATAAATGATGAACTCTATTTCTGATTGCCTTCTCTTTTCCCATTTGCTCTTTCTGCCGCAACCGGGTGCTGGATTATCAGGATCGACGACCTTCTTGAAATCCGACCGTGGCGTGTACAACACGACCGTCTTCATTCATTTTGCAGCTTATTTTCTTTGTGATGTTTTCCCATTTACCTTCTTCCAATCTTGTAGGGTTTGGTTATTGCAAGCACGTTTGGCGGTTCATTCGAATTCGGTTCGGAGTTTTCTCATTTCATTTCTTTTTTGTGTCATTATCGATTCTCCCTGCTGTTTCACTTCCACCTTTTTTTATTTCATACCATTAACATGCCCTGCACCAATCATGTAAACTTGGTATGTCAGGCCACGATGACGAACTTGTCCTCTCTTGAACAGTCCAGGAGTTAATAAGCTATTTTCACTACTCTTGAGCGAGTTATATATATTTTGGTTTTCTTCGTTTTCTTCTTTTTCAGTTTTTCTTTCTCCACCTCAATTGAATCTGCAAAGAACATTCTTCTAACCACTGTCTCTTATGTCAACGATGTTCCGATCTTTCCGTCTTCCGTCAATGTTTCTTTATGTACATGGTTCTGCTCTTTAGCATGCACTTAAACCCCGGCTGCGTTTTTGGTTATTTATGACTTTTGTGGATGAATTATTTGGATTTCCAGTAGTTATCAGATAGTTAGAGAATCTTTGATTGGATCATCTACCAGACATAACTCCTAGAGGTACCTCAACTAGGTATGGTGTATCAAATGAGCATCAAATAGGACTACCTGTTTTCTCCTCTTTTTTGGGATTATGCTCCATTCCAGCATCTATTCAGGAATAGCTTTCTCCAGTTGAATGCAAGGATGAAGCTCCCCCTTGGTTGTAGTACATGCTTGCGGGCGTTGCTGAATTAATCTGTGCACTTGTGATTGGCCGGAACAATGCCCAAGTCGTTGTTCAGGTTGGCTCTAGATTTGCCTCGACATGTAGGAGCGGGTTGGTCTGGAGCCTGTGACTGGATACGATCACCTCCAGACTTACGCAGCTAGTTGGCAGCTAACACGGTTCCACCATGCAGCCCCTTCTGGCGACGGACATAATACTGTATGAAGAATAATGTCTAACAGTCAGCCCTTGGCATTGCTCGTGCTGATTGCTGTAAATAAATCTACCCAGACATCCCGGTCGGTGTCTGTTGCTCCCAGATATCCCCAGGCCGCCATTATTTGTTTTACATACATTTTAGGGGGTTCTCAGAAAAGGCCGAAAGAACACGCGACCTAGTCACTGGAATTGCGATAAGAGTCCCAATAAAGCAGAAAAAACAACTGCGAAGACCGGACAGAAAACGTTTGAGAAATTTGGAATGGATTCAAACAACAACATCCCCATTTATGTCTTCCGGGATATCGTCGGGACCGATATTCTGTCACCTATTTCCACCGAGGTCGTCAATCATATCATTTCCAACCCTCCATTCGTTCCTATCCCGGGGCTGTTCAATTTCCGAGACCTCAGCCATCCGCTCATCACGCCGCCACTCCTGAGACAAAACTACATCTTCCGCTCTGGCATGCTTTCGTTTCTTGAGGAAGAAGGGAAGGTCAAGCTTACAGCTGGGCTAGGAGTGAAGAAAATCTTTGACTTGCGGTCTGCGCCGGAATTGGTCAAGTTTCCATCCCCGGAGATCGAAGGCGTGGAAGTGCGTTGGCTGCCGACCGTACCGGAAGCAAAGCATTTTCATGTAGCTGATTATGATGTCGGGGATGCCGGCGCGGTAATGACGAGGATGTACCAAAATATTCTTGTTTCTCATGTGCCCATCTATACGTCTGTGTTTGAGCATATAAGGGACCTCCCCGAGGAGCCTTTCTTCTTCCACTGTACAGGTGAGACACATGTTCCCTGTGGATACTTTATTTGGAGGGTTTTTGTATATACGTACAATCTCCATCCTCCTTCATAAATTTGCCTTCCCCCCCCAACCGAGGACCTAGTTTGGGGCTTCGTCTCTTCTAACCTTGTTTCACTTGCACAGCTGGAAAAGACAGGACGGGTGTTCTAGCAGCTCTTATCCTCCATATTGCCGGCTGCTCCCCTGACATCATTGCCGAAGACTACGTTCTCACCCGTGTGGGTTTCGAACCTGTCAGAGAAGTTCTACTTAAATCTCTACTTGATGGAACAGAAAATGTGGACGAGTCAGTGAAGAGAGCCTTAGCAGTCGTTGGAGGAGTTCCGTATGAAGCAATGGTGCAATTTCTTGTGTTTCTAGAAAGGGAATTCGAGAGAGGGGCGGAGGGTTATCTTCGTACCAAGTTAGGGTTTTCGGTGGAAGATATTGAGAGAATTCGGCAAAATTTGAGAGCTTAAGAGGAATGAAATCCTGTTTGGGGGGATAGCGTTAAACTCCCTCAAAGAGGGGAGGTTGTGGAAAGATTTCCTTCCACGTTAAAATGTCGCGGGAAATGGCGAAAATACGACATTGGGATCCAGTTGGCTCGGGTGACCACGAAAAACGCAATAACTCGAATGAGATACAATTTTGTGAGTTGCATGCTAATACAACGTAGAATGGATCCTTTTTCTTTCCTTTTTTTGTTTCTTGATTTTTTATCTTGCGCTCCTTTGCATTAACAACGATGCAGCAATTTGACTGTCAACCCGGAAATATACTGCTGCAGCTTGTGGGCACTCTTCTACGTTAGCTAAATGCTATATCGCCTGAATAGCCCCATATTTTTATGCTGCTACGTTGCTTCACTGTGCAACATGCGCCCACAGGATTCCAGGACGTTTGGGATGCCTTCCACCTCGAAGAGCCGTATAGCACCCATCCCCCTCTCCGACCAAAAAGACGTTATAAAAGACTTCGGAAATGCTCAGACCCACGGACTGAACATCTATGAATCGTCCTGTTTGCTGTCTCTCGATCTCCCAATTGTCGACAAATATACCTCGCTCAGGCGATTCTGTCAGCGGTTTTGCAATGCCCTGGATTGCCACTTCCACCCAAGAGCAATGCTTGCGGGCTGCTCATTCCTTTCATACGGCATTACAGATCCATGTTGTTTATTTATCTTTTAATGTTTCTATTCTGTATTTCCTTTCCTATTCCTTTTCCTGCTTTTTTAAACCAGCCTCGTTTTCTCCTATAAACTCGTTCATCTTCCATTTAAACATATCCTAGAAAACACTTATAACAAGGATCGCCCCAAGAGGTACTGCTTCTTCCGAGTACACCTTTTATCTTCGGATCACTCTTAGCATATAATTTTCTTATTGTGCTGCAACAGCATCTTCTGGCATTTTTACTGTCGCAATGCAGTCGTTTTTACTGCTACTTTTTGGTCTGGCATCGCTGCAGTATGCGCTGGCTGAATTCAATTTCTATGCCAAATACGATGAAGCTACGGCCACGGAAACTCTTGGTCTATCCACCCGGTGCTTATCTGCCTTGTATGTTTGGCTCATTTTTGCCCCGTCTGGATGGAGATCGTGTTAACAGATGAAGGAACCAAACTGTCGGCTGTGATGCTGTCAATGCGGCTCGGGCAGCAAATGGTGCTGATGGTGAATGTATTTACCTATCCTAATTTATCCTTCATTTCCTCTAATATTTATACACTTGCTGACATACCGCAACTAAATAGTCTGGTTTAGGGATAATGTAACTTCGCTATGTACCGTGGAGTGCTCAAAGGCTCTTACGTCTTGGCTCTCAGACGTCGACATTCAATGTTCCAGTGATCAGCTTGTCACCAATGGCCGTTTCATTGATCCTTATACGATCCCTCTGAAGTACGTCGCTGGTTATGATATGGCTTGCCTGCAAGATAGGTATGAACCTTCATCCTTCAAGTGACATGCAATAATTCTAACTGGCAGTAGTTTTAATAATTGGTGTTTTCTGGAATCCCAAGGCTGGGAGGGTGTTGGCAATCCCGAGTGAGCTCTTCCCACTTGAGGATACTTTCATATATGGAATTGAGATTCTGACGATAGAAGATGGGGTGCCGACCTGTGTTATGGCGACGATCCTCCACCCAAGTGCGAAAAACAAATCTTGACGATAGAAGACGAGACCCCCGATTTTGAAGAGATGTCTGTGACCGATATGTACAGCGAGGATTTGGTAAGCGTTGAAATTTCTTGTGCCGGCTGCAATGCCAGAGGAACTAACTTTTTTTTACAGTTTTGCAGTGAATGCTTTATGCTGATATGGAGACAACGACTGCTTTCTCCATTCCTCTCTCCTGGGAAATTTGCGGAGTATCTGTTTGACCAGTTCACTAAAATGAAAGATACCTGCTCTCCAGACTCATCAGTTACGACTCCTGAACCTTCTGGAGAGAATGAAACCCCCACATCCGTTGGAAAACGAGCAGAAAATCCTTATGAAAACGCTGGTAGGATTTCAGTTCACTCTCTTTCCTGTCGAAGGTTTAGGACTAATAATACCCTTAGTTACCCCACCGGTGCCAACTCAGCCAGGATCTATCGGGGAGTGTAATTACTACTATAACGTGGTTGCTGGTGATACGGTTAGTTGTTTTCCCAAGAGTGTTTCTAAGACAAATGTCTGCTAATTAGAATATTCCAAAGTGCATGTCGATTTCATTAAACTTGTAAGTCGGTTAAACATTGATCAAAATTCGTTAAACATTGGTCGTCTTACAATTCTAGGGGAATATCTCTCTATGACCTTAGAAGACTCAATCCGCAGGTTAGATCTAATGATTATGATATTGGCTTTAAGTTAGTGTTTCTGTATTTTAGATTTGCTGATTAGAGTTGGCGATACAGCTAGATAGGGACTGTTCCAACTTATGGGTAGACCATGCTATTTGCATAGGTCCTATTGAAACGTATCCAATTTCCGAAGATGGTAACTGTGGTGATGAGTATAGGACTGTTTGTGAGGGATCAGAGTTTGGCTCGTGAGTTTCTTATATCCTCTGAAACAGTTGTTCGGCGATGCTAATAAACGTCGTCTAGATGTGTAAGATTCAGTCTGAAGCTTAATACGGCGTTCTATTAACTCCCATGAGTTTGTAGTGCAATTCGAACAACCGATGTGGACCTTGTAGTCTTGATGACTCAATTCCAGAAGATGTCCCGATTGATCCTACACCTTCTAATCCAGTCCCAGACGACTCCATTCCCGAAAAAGGAGGTCCTGCAGAGTCTAAACCTGCCAGTCCAACTCCAGACAACCCTACTCCCAGCACCACTCCTCCGAGTGATGTTGCTGATGGTCCTACCAAAAGTCCGATACCCGTGGATCCAACCTCTGTCAGCCCCATCCCGCCAAATGAAACAGGGCGCCCTGATAATAGCACATCAAAGATTAGTTTAGACGGAAAGTGCAGTCCCGATATCTCGTGTACCGGATCTAGTTTCGGCGAATGTTGCAGCATCAATGGCTTTTGTGGGACAGGACCTGAATGGTGTGGTAAGTATGGGCTCGTGATAAGCCCTTTCATGGGCATTAAATTTATGTATTCTGAGAGCTGATGATGGCTAGGTCTCGGGAACTGTCTCTCTGGCGCTTGCCAGAAAGACACGAGCGGGATAAGCTTTGATGGAACTTGTGGGCCCCTGTTCCCTGCTAACAGGACTTGTGTTGGCTCAAAATTTGGCGATTGTTGTAGCACCTCTGGTTATTGCGGCACCGGGCCCGGCTGGTGTGGTACGCAATCCTCTCCTCTTCTGCCACCTATAGACCTATTTCTGCACATTGTCCAGCGCTCACATACTTTTTAGGCTATGGAAATTGCTATTCGGGTGCTTGTGATACCTCACTGGGTGGCGTGAGCTTGGATGGAACCTGTGGTCCAAAGTTTTCAGGAAATATGACATGTGTGGGGAGCGCATTTGGAGAGTGGTAAGTGAAATAATGGATTTCTTCAAGATAAATGAGTTTGGTTCCTCGACATTCCTTATCCACTACAGTTTTTATCGAGAATGAATGAAGTTGGCTAGCTTAACTGACTCTCTGTCCAGTTGCTCAACGAGCGGATTCTGTGGAACTTCATCACAACATTGCGGTATTGCAACCTGCTATTCTGGAAAATGTGAAGCCAGTCCCAAGGATGGCAACGATAAGGACACGGAAGATAAGGACAAGGGAGAGAAGGAAATGGAAGATAGTGATAGGGGAGGTAAGGAGAAGGAGGAGATGGAGGAGAAGGAGGATGGTCGCACTGAAGACAAGGAAAAGGGAGGGAAGGGAGTAGACGGTAGGGATAAGGGCGAACAGGAAGGGAGTGGGAGAAGGGGAGTCCAAGGACATGGACGTCGGTGGGATTAAAGATTAGGTTGTAGCCAGGTGTGGATTGTATTGTACTTTGGGGAAGATTGTCACTCGTTAGGGCTGCGCAAAATATTTCGAAGAGACGTATAGCCAAGCATGAGAATTTCGAATGAATGATGCGAGCAGCGACCTGGATAGGGTATTCTAAAAGGCTAGGCATGGAAGAAGAAAATCTATCGTTGCTAAGAACCTTTCATACCATTCATTTTGTTACTCTGTACCATTTCCGCCTTTTCCGGATGATACAAGGCTTTGGTAACCGCCCTGGATCTTGTGGTTCGCATTGCTGCTCAACCCCTCCCCTCCACCACCCCCCAAAATTTATTGCCCCGCATTTCTAATGCTCAGGATTAACTATGGAACTAATGGAGGCCAATCCCAGAGAGTATTGGCCAACCAAAGACTGCATCGTTAACTACCTCACGCTCACATCCGACATCAACCTGATTCCTCCAAACACCAAGGCACGAAGCGAAGCGGGCAAACAACCGTGGACGACATGAGGGACCCAAAGAAAAGGCTCACTTGGAGGACAATTCAACTACATAGTTATTGGAGAGCTCAAGAGCTGGCTTCTGGATTTCGACACTCCATGAGCCGGATTTTGCCTGTATTCTCTGCTGCCGGCTGCTCCGCACATTCTCCGCTTTTAGATTTCGTGTGTGGTGGTGAGGATACCCCGCATTGACAAGTCAGGATGAATTAAAGGACGTTTTTGCTAGTGGAGAAGATTTAAAAAATACAAAGAGGATGTGAAGGGGAGATTAATGATGCTGTATATCCGTCCTCACAGAGAATCCTTATCACGCACAAGGCAATATTAATCTAATTGGAGCTGCTCTATACTGACCTTCCGTATATCACACAACTACATCAGTGAGAGCAATGGATTCTCAAACTCTCAGCAAGAAAGACCTGCTTCCTACGGGAGCACAGATCCCCCTTCAGTCATTTCAACTGCCTGTCTTTCCACCGGAAGCATGTAAGCTCCAGGAATTTGACTTTGACATCCGATATAAATTTGCCTGACTACTTGACTTTACTAAACACTGCCCTGACTGGAGACGCTATCCCCCCATCCCTACCGCCTGGGATTGAATCTCTCACCCTAGAGCTTTTCCTCCTAGGCTACGCGGCTCCATTCCAATCACAGCTGCCAAACTTGAGGTCATTGACTGGATACAGCCAACTTATCGATGGAGTGAGTGATGAATCAAGAAAAGACGGGGAGAGGGGGGGGGGGGGTGGGGGTGGTTCTTCAACAACATGCTTGCTGGTGTCAAAAGTGAGACAACGACAACAACAAAGAATGGAGGACTGAAAGAATTACATCTTGATGCCTTCTGTCGTAAGGGGTTCATGTCCGGGATTGGTGCGATTCTTGAATATTTGCATCGCATGAATAACCCCGATGATACCGAAAAAGAAGAAGGGGACGTGCCAAAGTTGCGATTCTTGGAGATCTCTTATACGTACGCGGCCATTCTGATATATCCCTAGCGATGAGCTCCCTGCAATGCTAGGACCTTCGGTAATGGCGGTTTTGTTTAGTTTAAATGCACCTCCATCGGTGAATCCGGCAACAGGCGATAATGGTGACCTTCCACATGACCCCGCGGATATGGATGAGGAGGAAGGGAATCCGATTCCAGGCAAAAAGCCTGAGGGGGTCATTCCACTTCTTAACTCGAATGCGGGGACAGAGGTTCTTGTCAGGAAATTGACTGTTGGTGAGGTTGGCTCGACATCGAAAGGAGGTAATCAGGACGAACAAGAACTCTCTTTCTCTCCGGTTTCTGGATCGGGCCCAGCTACCCTAAAACTGCTGAAATCAACACTATATACCCTTGACACTGGTCAGTGAGATAAAATCATGAATGTTCAGACAAAATAAGTGTTTTGAGCGTCAGTGTGCTTGTGGAGCGGGTGCGAATGGGTCTGGAGGCGCGGAATTGGAAATTGTAGAGGTTGTTGGTGTTCCTAATGATCAATTTGATAAGGAGGTTTGTTTCTTTTATTTACCTGCTTGCCAGTTAATTTCAGCGCTGACACATATTATTTAGGTATCTTCCTCCTCCACCTCGTCAGACCCTCAGGAACTATCTTCTCGATTTTGGAAAAAGTGTTTCCGTCCGCTACGGATATGGCATTAATATCGAAATACTCGCCTAAATTAGAGAGCTTCCGGATGACGATCCTTCGCGTCACTAGTTTTGGATACGTGGAATGGAATAGGGCTGAAGGAATAAGTGATGGGTGGGTTGGTTGCATTAAGCTGGGAACTGCTTGAATTAGTTTTGAGTGGGAGAATCGCCAGTTTCGTTAGGGCAGTGATCCGAGAGGAGATGGTACTTAGACATTTCGAGAAGACTAGTGGAGAGCTGTGGGATCACTTTTACATTGAATTGAATTTGCTAACCTATCACAGAATTACGCCGTCGTTGGCTTGTCAGGTATCAGCCTTTAGCAATGAAGCTATTCCGGAAACACTAGTTCTCACCACACCGGCACTTTAATTGTTATCTCTTATGAAACTGTCATTTGTATGAGATCTTCTCTTTTTTTTCCTTCTTTCTTTTTCTTTTATCAGGAATAGGGTGATTCAGTTACCCAGTATATAACCGTGGTTCAACCTCTCATACAACTTAGTTAGACAGCGGCATGCGAATGACATTCTTGACTACTTCCATAACATACTTTCTTTCATATTAGCTTTGTCATGCACTAAATACCAGCGAGGCGTTGTTTTTGTTTAGGGATTCGTGCTTTTCATAGAGCTACACCTTGATAGGCGCCAGCTTTCTACGTTCAGCCTGAATCCCGGGGGGAGGTGTGCTTCCACCAGGTGCTGGTCAGGGAGTTGAACCGCTGCTCACCGCTCCCCCTTGGGCATGCTAGCTCAGTTGCTCACCCTTTTGCATGGCCGGGTGGCCTGTTTGTCATGCACGGATACGATATGCTAAATAAATCTATCCAAACATCCCAACTTAAGAATGTTAAGATTCGTCGGTTACAATACGAATGCACATAAAAAGGAACGTGCGGCATAAACGATCCATACTCTACTCCAATTTTTTCATCTGATCCATGGTGGGTGCCCTGTAAATAGATTTCTCAAGGTTGGAAGCCCAAAGTGCCCCGCCAACCGTGTTGGTATACGAGAAAGCCAGAGATGCAAAGGGAACCATTTCCAGAACAAACGCCGCTGCCCCGAAACTGTATACGGGTGGAAAGTAAAGCACATTTGTTAGTCCCATCTTGATGACCAGATAAAGGCTAGAAGAAACAGGATTAATAGCTCTCTAAGAGATTCGTTCTCACCTCGTATACGCAGCCTTATGAGCCGACACCCACGCTTCCCTTCTTTTCCCATCCCACCCTTTCAACTGGAAGTATCTCTCATGTGTCACAGGCCCTAACCTCTTCCCCTGAGAAATGACATACAACACCGTTCCCACCACCGGAATCATGTTCAACGGCAGATACATCAACGACCTCATCATCGACGATAAACGAGAATACCTTCGTCGGTTTACGAATCACATCTCCCAGCCGTGCTACAGGATCTGATGCAGTGCTGCCCTTGATCTGTCGGCCCTCGGCGACAAGCGCCATCTCTCCGCGTGCAATCAGCGTGCCGTCGAAGGTATCAACGAGAGAATCTCGGAGGATGAAGCTGCGTGAGAGGTAGTTTGTGATTGTGGAGCTCTCGCTGAGCACGAGGAGGATTGCAGAGAATGGGGCAAGGGGTCCGCTGGTGAAGGCTAAGATGGCTACTTGCGGGATGTAGGTGAAGAAGAACATTGTGGTGGTTACGGCGAGGCCGAGAGTGATTGTTGGGCCGATCTTGGATATGAGGGGCTGCCAGAGAGAGCGGTGGTAGAAGAAATAGAGGATTCCCTGGTATGTTCTGTTAGCATCACTGTATTGTAGAGCACCGCTCCAGTGTGTTGAAGACGGTTTGTAATTTGGCAATGGGAAATGAGAAATATGCGCACACCTGGAAGGGGTATAAGTATGTGCCTGATCTGGCTGCTTCTGTGAGAAGCACTTTGAGATCATTGACCTCGTTCGTAAACAGAGCTTTGAGCCTGTCTGCCATGATGGATAGATAGATATATATATGAAAGTGGTGAGGCTCTTCCCGGTTCAAAAGGTTGACTTTTCAGTCAAGTTGGGGTGATTTGTAAGGGGAGAACTAGATTATTATATCTACTTTCCATGGGTTAGTTGGATGCGTTATTTCAAGATTTATATACCTTGATTTAAAAGATATACTTAAATAACCGACGTCAAATCTCGAAATGTTTGATATCGAGCTAGAGATGCGATGACGTCAGTCAGGTGACCTAAGCCAAGCCGGCGCGGAAGAACCTTGGATGCCAGTGTGCAGAAGAGTCATGGGGAGTAATACCTAGGAGCTGTATGGTTACACATTTCCGTTATATTGATGATTTACCAAAGACAGGCATGATGCCTCTATGGACGCTAAGACCAAGCAAAGCTATTTCTCTCCTCAACCGCCATAAAGGAATTCAAGGAAGCTATAGGATTGAGCAACAACAGTTGAACTGGAGGCAGCCCACATTCCCCGTCAAGAATTTATTTATAATTTGGGATGGACCTAATTCGAAAGGGATCCCTCAACTAGGATATCAACCACTGAGACAACGCAACAAAAAATGGAGCAAACATAATATTGGTGATTAAACTTCCCATCTTACAAAGTCTCGAGTATTAAAGCAAATGTGATTCATTTTTGCAATAACGCCTAAAACGCCAAAAGTAATCCGCTCCTCAAGAAGCCTCCCAACATTCGCTAAACCTAACAAAACAAAGGAGAGGCTGAAAATTGTGCCTGTAAGGGAGTGGGGTATGAAGCTGAATGCTCCGTCAATGTGGGGGGGGGGGGGGGGGGGGGGAAAGGTGATGCTTAAATGGAGGATGTTGATATTTAACGGTTTCGATCGGATCGGGATGGTGTTTGATGCCACATCGAATCGCCCCTGAGGGCAAAAAGGCGTAAAGACGCGAGATTGCTCCAATTGGATTGGGAACTGGAGTTCTGGGAATTGTTGAGCAGTGATGTCGTGAAATTATCTCCTTGCTCTAGGTCGGAATCGATATCATCCGGGACATAATCCAAGGGAACAGCTGCGGAGGGGGAATCGTTGCGAGTTTCAGCAATGCGGGCTTGCATATCCTCTGACATTCGCTCGGGATGTCCGGATCGCCGAGGACTAGAAGACCGACGGCCCAGTGAACGAACGACATCACCTTTGCATATTGGACAGGTACGTCGTCGTGTGGTGAGCCAGGGGGTGCTGCAGACAGACCAGTCAGAATATGAATAATCAACTGAGGAGTGAACGGGGCGGGGGAAGAGAATACTCACATGCACTCTGCATGGAATTCATGACCACAAGGGAGGCTCATTACTCTACTCTGTCCATCAATATACTCTTCAAGACAGACGGCACATTCGACTTGTCTGCTGGTATATCTTCGACGCCATAGACTAGAACCAGAATTTGATTTTTCAGCGCTGGTTGATGGTGAGTCATTTGTGGCGTCATGCGACGAAGCAGCTACAATTCCAGAGGTAGTCTGAGAGCGCTGTCGTGGGTGTGGAGATCGCGGCCGAGAATGGGATAGCAGAGGTGATGAAGGAGATGAAGCTTCAGAAGAGGAAGCTGCATGAGAACTGCACGAGGATGAGGGCATGGAAGTTATTGTATGGTACGTCCTAACGGGTAGTCGATCAACTACTGCTTTCGGTGCACGCCAGCGGCGGCGTCGAATACGAGAGCGAAGCAAAAGCAGAGCGTAAACCACCGTTAGAGTTATTAAAGGGCTGACCACTAAAACGAGAAGTGTGTCGAAAAAGGGACTGGTAGACATGCTCGTTGGGGTCAAGGTTACCCAAAGACCTTCGTGATCCTGGTGCTTGCCGCTCTCTTTCGAAAACTTGTGCATGGGGACTGTAGTTGCTTTGGCATTATTGGCACTTTGTCCTTTACTCTTGTTCTCTGGGGAGGTTGATGAGCCATCGCCATGGCTTCTTCCGCCCCAACCAAACATGTTAGACCACCAATGCGAACCTTCGTTGGAATTTCCAGGCCGTGAGTTTGTTGCAACTGATGGAGAGTTCGAACCGCCTCCAGTCCCCTTAACGTTGGTTGATTTATCATTGGGAGCATATTCACCGCTACCCGGAGTTATGCTTCCCCCCTTAAGGCCATTACCGCCGTGACCAGGCTTGCTGTCGCCGCGTACAGCATCAGCATCCTTTTGCTTTGAGCCGGTGGTGTTTGGTTTTGAAGTGGACTTGTGCGAGTTGCTGTTTTTACCCGCTAATACAAGGTCTGGATCTCGCCAATCCTGAACCCCAATGACGAAGTCATCGTTACTACCCTGGGCGGATTCAGATGATTTGCTCGCTCCGGCTGCTTTCCCCTGGCGATTCTGCGCTGCCTTCTTGGAATTCGGAAGGGTTTCTTTATCGAATTCATCAAGCATGACCCAGTCAATATTTCCGCTGCTTGGTGGGCGACGACTATCTTCCTGGAGATGCCAAGGATATGCGTGGTCATGCCCAATACCAATGGAGGAGAGTAAAGAGTTGAAGAAACCTTTCTTTGGAGAGGACTTGGAGTCTGTGGTAGAGGTGGGTTTCGAAGCAGTGATTGTGGCTGTTGGAGATTTGTCGATTTTTGAATTCTTGTCCAATTTATCCCCTTGTGTGACTTTTGAGGGATCTTCTGAGGAGTTGGGCTCGCCTGGAATTTCTGGTGGAATAAGTGAAGAGAGGAGATGAGCCGTGGTATGAGACGTAAATATGGCGGGAATTGTAACATTCGAAGTGTCTCCGCGAGCGTACATGGTCACCAGTCCACCGCCTCTTGTATGATCACCAACAACCAACGCAATGCCACCCCTTCGTTGAACCCATTTAACCTTTTCCAAAAACCCACAACCTCCTCTGCTCAACAAGACAATTTTCCCTCGAATCTCCGCACTCTCTTGCAGAGACTGGATATCAGCATGTTCTAATTTCTTGGTTTTATCCGCGTCCGGGGGAGAAGGGGATCCGGACTCTGGGAGTGGATGATGCAGGTGATCATCCGTTCCATCATCCTTGGATGGACCATCCCCTTTACCTCCAAGCCCAGCGTGATTGAAAGGATGTTCATCGGCTCGTTTATCGATAACTTTCCCGGCATCGTTGGTACTTGTTTCCGACTTGATTCCTGAAGTAAGCCTTTTGGGTTCCCCACCAGAACCACTCACTTTGTGAGGTTTTTTGTCACTCTCCTCCCAACCGGGAACATCAGAGCACCCAAGTTCGCCTTCCGCCCCCGTAGTTATTCCTCCCTTCCGCAGGGCATCGTCACCAAATCCGCTGCCAATCCACAGTTGGCCACTCAGTCCGGCATTGGGTAAGGTAGGCCCGAACGCTGCAGGTCGAGCCAGGAAAAAGGTCGAATTATCATCTGTTAGACTTATCATCGCAGTAGGGGGAAATAGTGAGGCAGGTGCGTGGAATGAGAAGAGTGCTTTTAGACGCCCGACCCCTGAAACAGAGGATTGAGAGTTAGTGACATGCCGTGGATGTGCTGAAAGGAGTGACAGGGTGGTCAGGAGAATGGGGAGGAAAATAAGGCAAGCCAGCAGCAGGATGAGGCGAGGAGGACGCATGACGGTGGTGGGATGGGAAGGCTCGAGAAACAGAAGATTCTAAGGACCGATCCACGAGGTCGTATGGCAGGCCAACAGCCGCTCATCGACAAAGGTGGTAGCCAGCAAAGTTGCAACAAACAGACGTGAAATGCACACACGTACGGACGACAGAATAAAAAAGACAAGAGATAGAAGATAGAAGAAATGAAGTGCAAACTGAGTTTGGGTCATGCCAAGAATAAGGCAGGATCACCTGACTTCTCGTCGTCTGAAATAGAGTTGCCAAGACATCAAGTCCAGCTCTGCCATACTTTGGCTGCTCCTGATTGGCTGCTCTCCGCTTAGCGAGGTGAGTTGTTACATTCCATCAGTGCCTAGCGTAGGTACTTCGACAGTGACAATATTTTGGCTTGTGACGCAGGTACTTGGGGAGGAAGTAGTTTGAAGCGGTCTGTTACCCTCCCCCCTCCCTCCCCCCCAAAAGAAAAATAAATAAATAAATAAATGCCCTAGATAGGCCTTGAGACCACTGAGCTTCTTGTTTTACAGAAGGACACATTTAATTACGTGGCTATAGGTAGCTCCCGAATCTGAATCCGATATCAGAGGTTCACCATTCCAATGTAAAAAACGTGGCTTAAGCTGAGCAAAATGATGGAACTGAAGGGTCCCAACTCTCGTAAGCTTGGGCGCTTGGTTTAGTGGTATAATATGTCATTCGCATTGACGGGGTCGCCGGTTCGATTCCGGCAGCGTCCAAAACTTTTTATGGTTTTTTTTTTTTTTTATTTCATTTTATTTTTGTTGGACCAACATTCTATGAGCTTTTTTTTACACCTTGTTTATTTCTAACTGCAGACTAACCAATTAGCTCAACTAACATTTCAAGAAAGCTCCCAATGTTATTAAATACTCTCCGACAACCCCATTCAGCTGCATTGCCCCTTTAAAAGCTGACACTGACAATGAGGAGGATGTGGCACAGAGGGGAGCGGGTGGTTCATCGTCAGCAGCGTTCATCGCTATTGCACGGCCACGAGTATCAGGACCATTGCCTTGAGATGTCATTTAACTATCTTCGCTGTACTACAAATTTTTGATAACAAGCTAAAAAGGCTAGGCGAGTCTCGATTTTTTCTATCATTTATAGACATCGTTTTCATTGAACTAGGTTTCCTCATTTCCTGCTCGAGAAAACTTTTCAAAAACTTGAGGAGAGCGCCGAAACCGACACACAGAGCCAGAAACTTTATTTTGATCCATTGCATTTCCATCCCCATTCACGCGGAGCCTATTGAGACATTGATCTTCAGAGCGGTTTGGACACGGCTAGTAGACAGAATCCTTTGTCCTTCGTAAGGGCTGGTCAGGAGAAATTCGCACCCCCATTTTCAAACTAAGTGTTGTAGCCAAGGGAGGAATGTGTTAGCACAATCTTAAAACGACAATAACGGGCCATTAAGATTCAAATGTTGGAAGCCCATTTCTCCTTGGCCTCCATAGCAATGTGTGGATAGAGCCCAGCTGCAGATATGGGAGAGGTTTGGCGGACGGTCACATTCCATTTTCTTCGATCTTTGTAGACAGCAGGGAGCGGAGTTACGAGGTTCTAGTTCAGGCATGGTTAACAGATCCTGTAACCAGAATATCATAAAAATGACGTAAACGAAAACATACCTGAACATGCACTTAATTTTGATATTGATTTTGTTGTCGACCAAAAACAGGTCTGCGAGACTTTATACCGTTTGGCGACAAGCTGCGGAGATCGTATGGCAAAATTTTGAAAGTTTTATTGTATAAGCAAATATGACGTCACAAACCGATGTTAACATCCACCCTTTTCATGAACTGAGAGCCTCAACTGTGACGATATGGAAAGGGGATCAGGGATTCAGGTAACTACGTCGAAATGGATCATTGGGGGACAGTAAATCAAGTTTCCCCCCACAAGAACCCTTTCATTTTGCCATCTGCGGGCATTGAAAGCCTGTGCTTTTATTTCCATTCGATGGCAGACCACTGCCGTCATCATTACAGCATCTGACTCGCTGCATCTCTCGCATCTTGTTCATGGAGTTTCTGACACAATGGCTCCTATTTCGATGGTGTCCAGGATGTATGGATCATGATAATTTGCCAAGACGCTTGCATATTTCTCTGAAGTTGTACATTGAGTGTGGAGCGGGAAATCTCAGATATATAAGGCTCCGTCAGGGTCCTGATGAATTCCTTTCTCCTGTCTCTATCAAATTATAAAAGATAGAATCAACTGTTATATATTTGATTAAACAACTACTTACTCGAAGCTAAAACTTCCATTAAATCCTACATACCTTTACATCCATTTGAATTGAGTTCATTCTATTCCATTAATCATGTCAGGCATCGCACAGAAAGTTAAGGACGCGGTGACGGGGCATAGTCACTCAACAACCCACAACCAATCCTCCACTACCGGTACAGGTCCCTCGTTTTTCTCTCCCGTTTCACTGTTATAAAAGGTGCATGGGAGCTGACCCTCCTGGTATAGGCCACGGAACGCATGGAACTGCTGGTTCTTCGCACGGCGGTGTGACTGGAACTAACCATGGAACCCATGGAACTGGCGCAGGCACTTCGGGGTTAGGTCAGACCGTCCGACCCGTAGAGGCCAGCCAAATGAGCACGGCGGATAATAGGTAAGGCGGCTCAAAGCTCAAAAAGAATGTCTTGTAGTTGCAGAACAGATTTAACAATATATTTTCTCAGATATGATACAAAGCTCGGTGGCCACGGCCAGGGACACACTGGCCCGCTTGGTAGCGGTGGAATTGGATCGGGAGGAGCTGGAGCCACCCACACCGCGGGGCCACATAGCACCGATATCGCGAACAAACTCGACCCAAGGTGAGTGGCACAAAGCGACCTTTTCTCTTTAAGATCAATTAGCTGATGCATGCTGCAAAGAGTCGACTCCGATCGTGACGGCAGAAGTGCATATGGCACCCATGGAACTGCTGCCGCAGGAACAAATACCCATACAGCAGGTCCACATAGCTCGGATGTCGCGAACAAGCTTGACCCGAGAGTTGACTCTGATCGCGATGGCAGAGGAACATATGGCACCCACGAGATGGCCGGTTCGGGAACAGCAGGGCGTACGGCAGGTCCTCACAGCTCAGATGTTGCAAACAAGCTAGACCCACGGGTTGATTCTGATCGTGATGGCAGAGGCATTACCGGCACTCATGGTACTACGGGGACCCATGGTACCTATGGCACGATTGGTACTACTGGCGCCACTGGCACCCACACAGCTGGTCCTCATAGCTCAGATGTTGCAAACAAGCTTGACCCAAGGTGAGTTAAAAGGAGGCCTGCTCTCTTGAGATCAATCAGCTGATTCGCTCCACAGAGTTGACTCTCATCGCGATGGTAGAGGAGCATATGGCATTACCAGCACTCATGGCATTCATGGCAATACTGGTTCCCACGGAATGGTCGGTTCAGGCACAGTAGGACACACAGCTGGCCCTCACAAATCGAACGTTGCGAACAGAATGGATCCACGGTGAGTTCAGAGGAGAATATCTTTTTATGTATAACCATGTGCTAGCAGCAGCCGACAAACATGTCAATCGAAACAGATTCGACTCTGACATCAACAGAGGCACAAACTTAACAAGTGCAACCGTCGGATCAGGAGCAGCAACTCACACGGCTAGCCCTCACGACTCGAATATCGCGAATAAGCTGGATCCGAGGTAAGTGCAAAGAAGAAGAGAAACTCCTTCCTTGCTCTTCACTCAGGCCAACATCTAACAAGATATTGCAACAAAAAAGAGTCGACTCGGATCTCAACGGCAGCCGCACATTCGGCGGCAACGCAACCCATCAGTAAGGTTGAGCCCGCCTAGCCCTGGAGATGACGGATTTCTCATTCTTTCGGCAATTTCTCTTTTAGCTCCCAAACCGGACTTGACTGCAAGGACCCAACGGACGCGGCTCAGGTGCCCCCGAGCGTGATGGCTAAAGCACATTGGACCTCCCCATGTTGCCCATGATGACCCTCCACACGATCATGCGCATCGACATGGAACGAAGACCGGTGATTCGCTGAAGAAATACGGATCCGGGGCTGCCCAGGTTATTAATCTTGTTATATAGATTCTTCATTTGAATATGTTCTGGTTAACTATCAAATCCTTTTGCACTCCCACCAATTTGAACATGGGAGGGGGGTTAACGATGGTGAACTTGATCGGTGTGGTGGATAAATTGTCGCTTTATATAGCGTTTTCGTTGGTGTACAATAATAATATATCTCAATCGACTGACTACATACAACATTACGTTGCTGGTTCCGAATTAATCGGCGGAGTTTTGAATGTAAAATGGTGACTACAATACAATACATTAATACACAGCCATCCTGCTCTGCGAAATGCGCAAGACCTGTAAATCGGTTACGAAAATTACCGTCATCGATCGCCTCTTTATGCGCCTTTTGGGACGGAGAATTCAGGACGTTGCCCATTAATCTTCCATCTGCTGCTGCTGAGCCAAACCGAGACCGGACAACCCAGCAGATCTCCTGGATATTAATCATGTCTCTCTTCTCAACTCTCTGCTCGGGTGTCCCACACAGAAGCCAATAAATATTATCTGCTTCTCTTCCTTGTTTCCAATGTGCTTCAAACGCGTTCAAAGGACACAAAAGTGAATTATTGTTATTACGATTACTGCTACTATTATTATTTCCCGTATAGAACAGAAGTAAGTTATCAAGGGCGGGATATCATCCAACTGCCAGTCCTCAAGATAAAACCTTTCCCCTGCTGGAGCGCAGGGCATTCATTTTTTCTGGGAGGAAATATTCCTCCTTTTGCTCTCTTGCCTCAGATGCTCTGCGTCTCACATCTCCTTTGTTGTCAAAACCCCGATCTGAATACTTAGCCGTAGAGGGTATTTCATTATGTCCTCCACAGTGGTGCTGCGAATATCTTTTCCATTTTGTTGGTTTTTGTAATTGTCCAACCCAAGTCTCAACTGTTTGGGTTTTTGTCTCAAGAGAAGAATCATTCACTCTGTCTTCGTAACATTGCAATCATGATTCTTTATGTCCAGATGAAGCTGGACCTCACTTTTTTGTATACTCCTGGCCTGGAGCCTTCTAGAGAGTGCATGAGCTGGAGTCTCTGCTATAGACAAGCACGGTTTATCAGCAGGTCTTCTATATGAAAACAAGAGCCCAAGAGTTGGTTATATGTGACCTCTTCTTGTCCCTGTATTCTCTACCAGCAAAAAAGCCAAGGGAGACCAAAGCTGATATAATATATATATATATATATATATATATATATATATACACCATCCAATGTTTTTCCGCTGTCGAAACTGCAGATTCTCTCCTCCTGTTCTCCTGTTCTCTGCGGCGACAGAGCCCGAGTCTTCCTTCCTGCTGCGGCACGTGAGCAGCCCCCGACCTCCTCCCTCAGGGGAATGTGCATACAACAGCAGAGGAACTCCTCACCACCAAATTGCCGCAGGGCCGGATCTCTGCACGTTTTTGCCGTCCCCGCAGCTTTGTGTAGGCGTTGGAGTTGTAATGGAGGCGCTTTATCCCATGAAGACCTACCGGAGTATGTACTTGGCTTTTCCTCAGAACCTAGAATTGGCCTGTCAGCATTTCCCTTCTGTTGTGTTTGGATGAGACTGACAGGTGCAACGACACCTCCAGGATCCCGGTCTCGACGAAAGAAGTCCATTACCAAGATCGGGAGCATAGCCCCCGACAATACAACCGTTGGATCTGTCAAGTCTGAGTCTGAGGCTGACGCTGAGCTTGTGGTCTCTGGCATCTATGTCAAGGATAGCAATGGCGATAGCAATAATAGTAGTGAGCCTGTTCAGGGGAGGAGCAGTGGTGCAGAGGTTGGATCTCTTGTTGCATTTACCGCTGTCTCCACAACTAGAAGAAACATTGATACTTCGCTTTTGAATGATGCAACAAAGCAGGCTGGCACAGCAACTATGTCAGTATCGGCGCATTCCATGTTGGTTTGTTCTGCAGAGCAACCCACAAAACAATCTGTTGATGCCAACACCTCTTCCTCTACAACACACACCTCAAAGACTGTCCCTCTCATATCCTCAACTTCTTCTACCGTTAACAAAGCAGGGATTCCAACTATTTGTCTCTCACCTCCTCCTGTCACTAAGACCGATTCCAATATTTGGTTCCGTTCGAGGTCACCTGCTGCAGAGATTGCTGCACCCAACACAGCGATCTTCCAACAGGCGCGTCAAAACAACTTCAGTTCTGAAAATACATCGCGTGGCTTGCCTTCCGCTCAACCCCATTCTCGGACATCAAGGTCAAGAAAGTCAAGCTCAGAATCTGACGATATTAGCAGCCTTCTTTCCTCGAGACCTGTCTCCTTAGGTTCACTCGTTGTTCGAACTCATAACCGAAACAAAGGTTCGAAACCGTGGATACCGTTTAGTGTTGAAGAGCTGGACGAGGCCCCTTCTGAAATGCCTCGACGCCAAAACAACAATATCCTAGGGGGGCCGGTTGGATATTATCCTGCCAGTGCCGCAATGGGCCACCACCCTTACAGAAATTCCCCAATGATGCATCCAGCGACAAACTATTACGCCTACTCTCATACTTCGCCCAATCGCGTCCCTTACTGGTCTAGAGGAAGAGGCCAACAGCTGCATCAGGGGCATCAGGGGCATATGGGCACTCTCGGACACTCTTCACAAAATTATCTTCAGAACTATCAACAGGACTATCAACAAACCTTAGGTGCCAATGTCCCTCACCATGATTCTCCACCTTTAGTGATACCTCCTATCGGAGAATCTCCCATGCCTCCGATGGGATTTGTCACTCCAGAAGCTGGCCCGCGCGTTATGGTGCCTGAGGATATGACCCCTACAAAACACGAAGAAAAGCAGTCTTTGAGGGTTCTACAGTACAATATGACAGAGGAAAACGACCTCCAAGCTGGTGATTGCACCCCTACCCCCATGTGTGACCCTTTCAATCAAGCCCAAAGCAACCCCCAGACGCCCCTTGGATCAGGTGACGGGTACTTCCAAGAGATTGCAGGCCCTGAAGCTATATATGACCAGGGAAACTGCCACATCGATCATAGCTACGTCGTGCTGTCACCATCCGTGATTCGAGAAAACGGCAGCATTCATTACCCTGCGGACGGCCCTGGCCCAACCCAGTACTCCTCCATTGCCGCCATGTTTTCTGAAGCAGCGATTGTAGGTACGGCGGTAGAAAAGTTTCGAGAGAAAAAGGATAGGAAGATTGCTTCGACTTCACAGTCGGCCCAGTCACCAACTTCTGTTAGGCCACCAGTTTCCCGTCAAATTCCAGGAAATATCACCCCTCCGCGCTTGGATTATTGGGGACGACCAGACGCGAATCTAGCCGAAATCGCTCGATATCTGGAAAATATGCCAAAGGATTCTCAATACACGCGCACATGGAATCCCGTTCGAAATTCGTATGAGGTCAACGGTAATGTCGTTAATGATACCTCACCGCTTTCCCTCAAATCTCGACAAATCTCCCAAGTTACCCTCCGCCAAGATGCGGATCCAACAAAGGGCGAAGCAACACCTCAAGCCCAGCGTACGCCTAATGATGGACAGCAACAAGGAGATTTGGAGGAACTCTTCCTTGCGTCAACCTCCATGCCCTTAATATATACCTCTCCCCATGGTCTGACGAAAGTGAGCTCGGCATTTGCAGCAGCATTTGGAGACGCAGTCGGAAATGACCGACCTTTCACCAAAACAACTACTTCACAACGATCAAGGTTTAACTTCAAGTTCGCCCCTCCGGGGTTACCAATCCCGCCAGGACTACAACAGTTTCCTGGTTACAAAACTCCGTCTGAACGGGAATATCCCGTATCGAGACTCGTTCAGTCCAATATCTGGTTCCACACTGATAAACGCGGAGAAGATATTTTCCGCGAGCGTATTGTTGAGATGGCACGGGAAGAGGCAGAACACCAGGAAGCTGCGAAGATTCCACTTCGTCTTGGTGAACGGCCGGGTATGGCTGAAGCGGGAACTGTAGTCGTTGGAAACGTCCTTGCCAATCTTCATGCGTACACTCTGGATGGTTCGAATCAGGAGAAAGGTTTTGCGAACTTTAGGTCTGCACCCGAACACTGCTATGAGCATACGCATGATGGTTCCCGGAGTTTCTTTGATAGCGATCCTCTCACTGGCGTGCAGAGATTGCCCGCTCCCTACCACCTTTTGCCGAAGGATTTGCTTTTTGTTAATGAGGAGGCGATGGGTTAGAGATGGGGCCAGAGGAGAATTGGGACTGTCAGGATAACAATGTGTCTAGGAGTCTGAGGAAGGAGAGTTTTAACTTCGCCTTTTTTTTTTTTTTTTTGGTTTTGCTGGTTTGTTTGGCAACTTTTCTTTTCTTTTCTTTCTCTCTTTCTTTTTTAATTGGGAAAAGGACTCTGCTGGTGCTTCGAAAGGTTCTTCCTTTGGCTTTACGTTTGGGAACACATCGGCATAGATAACTATTTTCTATGTTTCTCGACGGGTCTACTTGCTGTAAACATGAACATGTTACTGTTATGGACATACGGAATGGCGCTGTAGGATTATTAAGCAAATAGTAAATGGTGCTTCTTTTGCTTTCACATACTCTTCCCCACCCTAAAAGGGGTTTTTTGTTGTTTTGCTTTTAATTAAACACGGGTTTTGGCTGGTGGTACTAGGAAACTGGATGTGATTTTATCATAAGAGCAGAATAGGCTTTGCTTTAGGACTGCTTGTACTCGTTAACTAGTTTGATAGAGTCCCACCTCAGTATTCAGCCAAGTGTCTTTTGCTATTATGTTTTTCAATGACCAAACCCCCCCCCCCCCCAAACCCTTTTTTTTCCTTTTCTTTTCAACGATCATCTCATCTCCCTTCTGTTTCACCATTTGGGTTGCCCCTTTTGACTACTTAGGCAAAAAGAGGAATCAGATTTCTTCTTATAATCAAACTTGGGGATCGTGTTCAG